GGGAGAACCAGCGAATAGACCGCACGAAGGCTCTTGCATAGTACATGCTGGCGGCTCTCTCTTTAAATTCATCTCACCAAGTTTATTCTTAGTGCCCGCCTCGGAGAAAAAAAAGAAAAAGTAGAAAAAAACAATGAAAGCACGTCAGATTAATGGAGTAGACATAAATCGATTGGGTCGCAAGTGCAAAAAATATGCAAGTCAAATGCCCAGTCGCCCAAAAAGGATTATGCCGCGGGCCGTTGCAAAGTTAGGTACCGCTCTATGGACTTTATGGAAAGCGGCAAGCGCCGCAAACTTAATACGCACCCGCTAAGTGCCTGCCTAGGCGTTCATTTACCAGGAACGCAGGAAATAGGTAAATTGGGCAGGAAATGACCAAAGCTTAATGGGGAATTGGTCTCCCCTTCCGGTGCCCCAGTGGCTTTTTTAGCTTACATAAGATCAGATATGTGGATATCATGGTGTAGCCTCGAAATGTCACTTCTCAACCAAGATTCGTAAGCCACCATTTCGTTAACAACCTTTCATAGGTAGGAATTGGCTATTGATAGTCATTAATTTAACAAAGCCGGCACAGTAAATATTTTCAACCCAGCTGCGATTAAGCCCCCGGATCGAGTTATCGGATGACCTCGCGCTGCCCGCGACAATTCAAGCATCAGCGGCGCTGAGATCTCAATATCGAGGATGTGATCAATAAGCAACCGCACGGCACTTACTATGATGAGGGCCACAATGGCAATTCTGAAACATGATGGACTCGACGTCACGAATGTGATTGAAACATCTCAAAGGTGGAATGTGGGTTATACTCGACCGCCATGTTTAATCTTCCGCCAAATCGGAGAAGGTGACGGATGATTGATTATCTCATTGGTGTGCCTGGATTCCGCATAAACATGCGGCAGGCAAAGCACCGAGCAGAAAAAGGTCCTCTGTGCTCTTCGACAAGGTCCCTAGGTCCCTTGGTCCCTTCTTGGTCCCTACACTTGACAGAATCGGGGCGAACCACAACCTTCGAAGGTGTCAATCTTCAACACCCTAGCCACCCGGAACCTTGCATATTCAATTTTCGGTAGGCGGTCAGCCCTTTTAGACCCGCCCACCAAAACTTCTGAAACCGACATCACGGACATCATCAGCTCTCACGTCGATTTTCCGCGGGTGACCCCCCGCTTCCTTTAGCCAGGTACATGAAACCGGCATAGCTTGTCACAAGTTCTTCCAGAAAGAACATCGAATTACGAAATGCGATGAATGTGGCCTAGTTTTGTCATGCCGTCCTACTATCGCCGTCAATGTTAGTTAGGATTGAAATCTACGTCCCACCAACTATCCACCACTACGGTATTATCCCGCTTGTGCGGGTCTCCACAGGTTGCGAGAACTTTGGGCGCGTGCGTACGCTACTGTCGCTGGCCTAGCCTATCCGGCAACGCCTTCGGAGTCCAGTTGTCATGCTGGCGGCAAGGTGCATAGTGGCATAGGACACTACGGAGTTGCAATGATTACCAATCTCATGATCACGGTCATTGGCAGCATTGACGTTGTTACCTCGAACTCTCGAGCCTCCATCGTTATCTACCAGTGAACAAAACCAATCCTATTTACGTGCGTGTGTGAGTATACTATAGTACGAGTGTTTGAGTGTTTGAGTGTTTCACAAGCTCATGAAGCTTACCTTGGACGAACAACTTAATGACGACTACGACGACGACTGCTATTGTTACTATTTTGGCGTTCTGTTTATGTTTGTTTCATATCTCGGTATTTCTTTCCTTCGAGGTCGTGATGACTTCAACTAGCAGGACTAGGTAGACTCTTGGCTCCCCAGAGATCGGCCTGTTTCATCCTTTCGGACAATTTACACCTTCCACAATTGTCACAAGCCCTGTAATATTAACCTCAATCAGAAAGTTCTGAATTACGAGTCCCCGCCTCACTACCACGCTACCAAGCTACCGTACCATCCCTCGTGGGTCTCTCAAGCTTTGACTTTGCGCTGCCCTACCATGGGTCAAGTTCTGAAACGCTAGCAGTCAAATGCCTTGTGTTTCAGCCTTTTAGAATGACAATTCTGTAATTCTGGCGCTGGCGACCTTGAGGCGTTGCTGGCGTTGGTGCGAGCTCCCTCGATACAATCCCATCTAGCCGACGGATAATTCCCATCATACACGACACCGATTATTCAGATCATACCCTGTGGGATTGCGATCCACGCGCATCGAGCTAGTCACCAGCTATACTATTCGATTCCTCGCTAAGTGTCACAAATGTCACTGCATCGGCTTTTAGGTCATAAATGAAATTCGACAGGACTAGCTAATTCTGTTCACCGATGGCTTTCAGCCACAATTTTATGTACTACCTACAAAATACACATCAATATTACTAACAAATATCTTAGTCACCCCTCTGAACCCAGATCGATCTAAGAGCCAGTCACCGAGAGAACTAGCCGGAAGCTAACCGGCCCCACTGACGGGGAAAAGAGATCGTCTTCTGAAACGGCCGGGGGGCTCCTTGACCTTTTTTTGCTCGATTTCCCTGAACGCTCTACTTGGCAGTCAACCGCGGCATAAATTCTGAGGATCCAGAAGCATTCTTGACGGGGACCAGGGCACTTCGATATACGTACGTTGATATACCAACTCGACGCGATTTATTCGTAGATCATGAGTGCTTCTCGGGCCGTGAGCACCAGCTGCCCCGCCGCATTGCTGCTTGATGGCTCAATGCAGGAACGGGCCATGTCGAATCCTACCGTAGTAAGCTCAGACCACTTAGTTGGGTGTCACCAGACCCCCGTATATGCGAATACTCTACATACGTAGTAGGCCTAAGATACTATTTCGGGACCTTTTTAGGGTCTAGGCAAGGCGGAACACCCGAAAGACCATTAGTCAACATCTAGAAATACCCAGGCTTGGTCTTCGAAGACCAAGTTTTCTAGCTCAGATGTTGGAATTGGAAAATGGGACTTTTGAAGAACTTGAAATCGCGAATCCCATTGAGAGCCCATGAGTTCCATGTTCTCTCATCTGATGTGGGAGAAGGATTCGTCTTTTCGTAAGGCATATGAAACACCAGAAAATACCAGGCGAACAATGGGATGGGATAGGTTCACCAGCCTCGGGTGGCTTGACTACCTGGTTCGCATGCTAGGCACCACGTAGCTACTCGATCTTAAAACAAAGCTGAATTATTATCGAATCCTGGCAGCTATTGGTCTTGTGTAACTATCGAGCAAACCGTCCATGGGTATGGATTCTGATAAGTGATCGTAGTAATATGACAAGTAATTATTGACATATGAACCGGGCTAGGCGTAACGTCATAGATTCCGCAGGAATCCTGGGGATGATCTGATCTGTCACTAAAGCAATATGAGCTTCTTCTAAGAAGATTTGAGTTACACGAGCTGCGGATGTTACTAGGACGATACCCAGCAGAGGTTTGATGATATGGTTTATTAGGTCGATATCCTTAGATGTGATGGTGTTCATATAAGGTTATCGTGATGTGATTATCCCGCGGGATTCATTTCTAGGTTAGTTGGAACGGCACGATAGGAGATCGCTATTTATCATAAGATTAGTGTTATGCTTTCGCTAATTGCATTTCTCTTTACCTCTCAACGGTGTGTTGATCTAGGTGGTAGGTAGACGCAACTCCTACGCTCGACGACTTATTATATCAGCTTGGACTTGCATTGACCACGAGGGCCGTTCTGGCCCGTTCTGACGTGAAGTATAATGCTAACAAGCAAGGGCTAGCGGCGAGATCGTTGCGGGATAGAAGATGAGTCAAAAGTTGCTTGTCAAGGGTACGGTCAGACTTGATAACATCCCAATGCGACAACCACGTGTTGGAAATAAGACGTATTAGCGTTCTAGAACCTAACGTCTTCCTATAATGTTCTTTACCGAATATCTCTACGATGATGAATGCTGTAAGAAAAGCGAAAGAATAATATGATTGTAGTGGCTTTCTGGTATACTGTATTAATTGGATGTATCACATTCTGTTCGTCATATATTGTAGTCGACACTGTTGAACGATGACTGTTGACTACAGACATATTTAAGGTTTATAACCATCTTCTCATCCCCTATACGACGGTAACCGTTATAGCGGCGATATAAATAAGTGGCTAGAATGTTCTGCAACTTCTGAGCGTTAGCAAAGTAAGACGGGAAAGACTTAATAAGCAGCCGTTCAACTTTAGATAAGCTGCCCGTTCATACCACGCGGCATGATTGCGTACATATTTAAATCCGAGAAAACCTAAGCTGAGATGTTTAACTTTATTTCAACCTATCCAAGCATATCGGCCATCGCCGCTCAGAGTCTGTGTGAAGGGACGGTATGACAAAGCAGGCCATAGGACATCAATTAGGCTCGGGCTCAGTCCGACAATATTGTTCCATGAGTTAAAAATAACATTCGTTAGATGCTATACGGAGAGGCTTATACGCACCGCTAAGAAGCTTAGGGGTACTCGAATATGCAGGGTCCTTAGGTATATTTCTATTTCTTCAAGGTTCATGCGCATTTGACATAAGTCTAACCATTCGACGAATTCAACTCTTTGTTGGATCATATTCGGGACCGACTTTTCGGTTTGGTGGTCCCCCGCTGCCCCGGATAATGGCTTGCTTAAGTTCTGAGGTGTTTGTCTAGAAGTCTAAATGCGATAAGCTCCTTAGCGTTGGCTGGGAGGGCTGGGTCGTAAGAACTGTTTGATAGGACACAACGGTGAGGGATTAGCCATTGACCAAGTCCTAAGACTTTTTCATTGCTTCCTCCATGATTCGAGCCGAACAGAATAGTCCTTCGACTACCACCAGTCGAATATGTCGTCTCACAACACGATTGGCGGGGTATAACCAATGCAGACCGGCAGAAATATCAAATTCAAAGCTATCCCTATACGCCAAAAAGTCGCTGAAATGACCGACCCTAGTACGCCTTCCACAATACCCTAATGAATAACTTCACAAGAACCCATCCGTCCTCGGCTCAGGCGGCGGCTTCGGCTTAACCCTAACACTCAGACACTTCAGCGCCGCCTCGAGGTCCGGCACATCGTCAGCAGACGCGGCGACCTTCGCCCACTTCACGACGCCATCCTGATCGATCGCGAAACCGCCGCTAGTCTGCCACCTGCTGCCGCTCTCGCTGGGGCGGTTCCAGATGTGCTCGTCGCGCGCGAGGCGGATGGTGTTGTATAGCGTGACGGGGCTGAAGACGTGCCAGGTATTGGAGACGCCGAGCCCCCATTGTCCGTACAGCTCGCGCTCGTAGTCGACGACGACGTTGACCTCCCAGTTGCCCCCCACGTGCACGACCCACCGCTCGGTAGCCTCGGGCGACGAGTGCGAGATCGCTACGAAGTGCACCTCGGGGTACTGCGTCGAGAGCGAGGTTAGGTTCTTGAATGTCTTTTCTGCGACTGTGGGGGTTAGCTACGAGGGGGTTTTTATGTCTGGTATTTGGGGAGAGGGGCGTGGTTTACATGGACAGCCGCAATGGCGTAGGAAGACGATGACGGTGGGTTTGTCGGTCGGAAGGGCTAGGTTGGGATGCACGGGTGCTTTGGCGCCCACTTGAGGTGCGAGTATGACCTCTTTGGCGGGAGGTGTTTTGGCTGGTTCTTGTGTTGGAGAGGCCATTGTGAATATGGTATTAATGAGGAATATACTATCGGGATATTTACAATAAGTCTTGGGAATATACAATAGGGAAGTTTGTTCAATGGTAAACATGAACTGGATAGTTCAAAGTTTAAAGCTGTCCCGAGGTCATTGGCGTGAAGAAGCTTTATCGATAACAATGGCCCTGAATGTGGATCTCGATGAGATAATATTTCTTGGCACTTGGCGACAGTTGCCATTTCGTCATACCATGCTTTTTAATACATCGATGTCGCATAGCGTGATTTTGATGATTATAACTTCCGCTTTACAACATTGCCTAGGTTATACTCTACCGAGGTGATAATTCGCAATAATGCGGGAAATAATTACCTTACAGCTCGGCCAGCAAAGCAATTACCTAGCGAGCCATTTTTGGAATGCCCAGGAGTCTTACTTTACGTATGGCGCGGAAGAGGAATCGCCCATCGATCACGATGTTCATTTCAAGCCCGGTATTGGGTCTGATGGCACCGAGACCTTTATGCCCCGGACCGTCATTTACGACTTGAAAGGGGGATTTGGTACACTAAGAAAAATTAATTCTTTGTATGAAATAGATGGCGATCCGTCTTCTAGTAGCTTATGGTCTGGCCAAACCGTAATACAGCGACAACAGCCTATAGAGGCAAGCGCATATCAAGAGAGTCTCGATGCTGGACAGGCACCTGCTGAACTCACTACAAACACAGTCAGATACTGGTCTGACTTCAACCGTGTATTTTATCACCCAAAGTCCATCATCCAACTAAGCGAATATGAGCTCAACTCAACTGTCATGCCTTTCGAGAAGTGGCACATGGGAGAAGAGTTATTTGCCTCCTTGGATAAGGAACATGACCTCTTAGACCGGGATTTACGTCCTTTCGTTGAAGAGGCAGACCAAATGCAAGGTCTCCAGATTATGACCGGCATTGATGATGCCTGGGGAGGATTTGTAGCGAAATATATGGAGAGATTGAGAGATGAGTATGGCAAAACCCCTACTTGGGTTTTTGGGTCGCAGGCGCCATCCAGGGGATTACCGCGGGTATATATTCCTATAATATCATTATTTCTGGTGTTCGTTGCTTATAATGAAATAGGAGAAGAGACTATTGAAACTCGTCAACAAGGCTCGGACTCTGTCAGAACTCAATTCGCAAGCTTCATTAGTCATTCCTCTTGCCTTACCAGAACGACCCTTGCCGTCAACTATACAGTTGGATTATTCATCATCCTGGCATGTATCTGCGCTATTCGCTGCGGCTTTGGAGAGTGTCACTCTTTACACCCGGCTAAGGACATCTGACCGAATTTATTCGAGTAACCTCGGCAACATGACGGATCTCCTTAATGTATTTGGGAAGCAAACTATTGCAAACTTGGAAATGAGCATTTTCGAGGCGCCCAAGCCTCATCAGAATGGCACAAATGGCACAAATGGGACTAGTGATGAGACAAATGGGTTGAATGGAAGAGGTGAAAATATAGGCAGGCTGTTTGAGAACGGGATAAACCTTGACGACGAGTCTGAGTCTGGTTCTCAAAAAGGGGCTGCGACTTTGGACATCGACTTATCATCCCCTCAAGACCTTAACCTCGACACCAGTGGCAGGAGACGCAGAAAACGTCACATTTTCAGCCAGGTTATAGGTGATAGAGGATTGCAGAACCTGGAGCGAGCCAATGATGATGGCAACCGAGAGCTGAGGGAATACGGGATGCGACGCCGGCCAAAATTCCACAAGTAAGTGCTATCCAATGAGATTACATATCCTTTTATCGCCATTTGACTCGGGATTGACTCAAAATATAGTTATCGATCACGGGTCGCTTTCCCTATACTCGACAGCTATCCTAAGATATTCCGGGATAGTTATGGTCACCCCGTAAGAGAGAACGTATCCGTCAAAACTGCCTTATCCACAGACTCGACGGTCACGGATAAAGTTAAGGCTATACGTAATACCGTCGTTCGCTCTATTGGTCTAGAAGACCGCGAGACGATAGGCAACGAACTTGCTGAGATTGCCGATAGTTATAAAGAAGGCTGGTCTAGCGATAGCGACGATGACGATGATGACGAATGAAAAGCTGGCTTCTGAATTAATGCCAAGAGTATTACACAATCTACGCCCCAGATGTGCACAAATACAAAGGCATCTCGACTAAGCTATGATTCTCCGACGATACGGCTGAATTCTCTAGAGCAAAGATATTCTGCTTTCGAGTCGTATTTTCGAGGGGAGACTATGGAATCATTCTACAGTGGTGCTCGCTTAGCAGCAGTTTCTCGACTTTCTTCCTACTTCGTGCAGAATCGAATTCTAGAGGATTCTTGGGATTCTGTGTCACCAGATCGTCGTCGACGTCGAACCACAATAGTACAGAATAGCGCATTACCCCATCCCGAGTGACAATCCATCCCATTTACAGAGCTCCGGTCTTAATAGATTCTCGGTATAGCTAGGTCTATTCCCTATACTCTACCGAAAAATATCGGTTATCATCCAATACGGCTCAAGATCGGGGCAGCAACATGACCGTCGTCCTACACCGGTTTCGGGTTCTCAGAGCCTTAGCTTCCGGAATAGGTTGTCCTAATTCACCATCCTTACGAGGTACATGACATAACGTCACATTCTTCAGCAATTTAAAAAATGCCATCGGCATCCCTGTCTAGCGCGCCCTGCGAATTGCCCTCATATGCCGCGCTAAATCCGGACCGAGACTCGACTGGCGGATGGGAGACACGGCCCGATCGTCACCAATCCTTTCCGACCTCGCTAATGTCCATCCTCCTACCTACATACTTCCACTAGGTTCTACTACTATTACTAGTCCCTAGGCAACACCACGCCATTGTCAAACCGGGATATTTTACTCTATCCGGATGATTGGACATCGTTGAAATCTTCAGTCACCAGACATGACACGGCTGCGTGTTGGGTCCACACAGTGACGATGCTAGCGGATGCGGTGTAACGTGTAACGTGTAAGCCACAGGCGAGGATACAGTTCGCGCGCCTGTGAGCCTGCGGCGTTGAGAGCCTGCCGATGATGATGAGCACGTCGTTGACTATGAAGAAGACTCGGAAATCGCCGTCGGAATTCGGGGCGGGAGGTTGATGCCGATGGTTGCCGGTGCGCTTAAATGCGAACTGAAGAGGAGAGCACGGGAGGGGGTTGTAGGATACACTGCTTCTATGGTGGCTTTTTGTGATGTAAGAGGAATCTGGAGAGTGCTCGGTGTTATGATATCCACTCGCATCACATATTTGTAGCTAAGATTTTAAGGTTGATGAGGATAATAGTGTCTAAAAAGGGGCAGAGATGAGCGGGGAATAACTACTGTCATAGGCACAGATGAGAATTAAAGCTCCCTATTTGGTATTTGGCATTTGTATTTTTGAGTTAATTGTATAATTATCAGTTATACAAGTAGAGACCGAAAATTGAGTAGAGCCAACAGTACTGTAACCATGATTTGCCTAATTCTTAAGCTGTTGCAACACCTTTCCCATCCTCCAATTTCCCAAATACGTCATCGAGCACGGCAACGAATCTGTCAACGATCATCTCAATAACATCCGAAGTGACATTGTACGCCGGCATAATCATGATATGGTCACCTCTGCCTTGACCAGCGCAGCCCTGGCCATGGTATATCGCCAAGTTATGCGGGGCGCTTAAAGCCGTCTGCTGGACACGCAGCGAAAGCTGGAGCTTCGGATCGAATGGCTTTTTAGTTGCCTTGTCTTCGACGAGCTCGACGCCCCAGAACAAGCCACGACCTCGGATATCGCCGACGTGCGGGTGGTCCTGCAGCTTGGTCCGGAGCAACGTTTCCAGGTATCGGCCTTGGACTTTGACGTTTTCTAGGAGGTTGTCGCGTTTGATGATCTGCTGTACCTTCAGGGCCGTCGCGCATACCACGGGATGGTCCATATACGTGTGCCCATGCGTGAAGGCTACGTTCTTCGCTTCCATTACTTGTACGATCTTCTGGCTGGCGAGTATAGCAGAGGCAGGCTGGAACCCACCACCAAGGCCTTTTCCGACTGCTTGGATATCTGGTATAACACCTTCCTGCTCCCAGGCGTGGAGGGTTCCTGTCCTGCCCATACCACACATAACCTCGTCTAATATGAGTAGGGCTCCGTACTTATCGCATACAGCCTTCATAGCCTTGAAATAGCCAGGGACAGATGGCATGCAACCGGCGGCTGCTCCAACAACTGGCTCCGCAATGAAAGCTACTACTGAATCCGGTCCAGCTTGGATGAAAGCTTTCTCTAACTCCTCGACCTTCCGAGAAACAAATTCCTCGTCAGCCTCCCCCGGAAGCCTTTGGCGGTAAGGGTTACAAGCCGGTATGTGGTAGACATTGGGCGTTAGGAGTGGTTGAAAGGGGGCTCTTCTGTTGAAGTGACCTCCTACAGACAACACACCCAAGGTGATGCCGTGGTATGATTCATCCCTCGCGATATAATTAACACGCTGGGTTTCTCCTGTCCAAACGAAGTATTCACGGGCTAGTTTGATTGAACCCTCCATAGCCTCGGACCCTTGGGGTAAGATGAGCTCAAAGATTTCTATACAACAAAGGGCTAAGAATGCAACATACCGGAAGATGTGATCCACGCTTTGGTGAAGTGGCCACCAGAACTTTGCGAGAGCCATGTATTTAAATCCCGCCGACTCTGGCTGTCGAGGAATCCCCAGGGGACATAAGATACTGTGGAAGATTGAGCGAATATTGCGTCAGAGACTTCCTTGACGCCGTGTCCAAGACACTGTGAGGCTCAATATTAGCAAATTGCCTACTTCGATATACATCTTAAGAATGGATATATACATTGATTTTTAAGGGAATAATGTGTGATGCTCAAAGAAACAATTATTTCTTAGTAAAGAAGCAGGAAATCATTTTACTTACTGCCACAGCTGCCCCTCCACAACCGTCTAGTATCTTTCGTCCGTCCGCCAGGGATAGGTAGTTTCCCTCGCCTCCGACAACGAGAATTCGGCCGGAGTTTGCCTTGTCCTCTTCTAACGTGGATGATGCTACCAAAGTACTTGATGTGGAATCACGGTCGAGGTCGTGTTCAAGGGTCGGTTTCATGGCGTCGACTTCTGCGGTGGACCATGTTGAATTCAGTTCCTTTTCCAGGTAGGCATCTTGGTTTCCTTTAGACGATTCTACTGACATTGTGATTATGGTATTCTAATGTTGGTGTTGAGACTGGATGGTTAGCTTGAAGTTGGAAAAGTCGATTGCCTTTATTGTCTTCCTTTGTCTAGGAGACGACCCCGGCTTCGCTTGGGTCCTATATGTACATCTATGGGATCGGTTGGGGGCCGAACTCGTTCTCGGAAGCTAGGACAGCATCCAGATGGCACTAGACTGTGCCGCTACTAGCCCAAGAATATCCAATCATAATATGAGACCATCATGCAGTCGATGAAGTATAACCGGATCTGCCCAGTACACTAAGCGGGATAATGGAACGACGCATAGAAATCAGTGGGCGTAATTAAGGATACGGCAACCACCGGGGTCACTAAATCTCTATCATAGAGCATAGAGGGGATATATCAAAGAGCAAGTAATCGGCAGATCGTGTCCTTCGTGCCCACATGAAAGATAAGAATTCCTTAAATAATGAATATTCCATCGAATATAGAGTGTACCTATTGACCGAGATCTAAAGGCATGGATTAGTAAATTTTTGTAGATTGAGGGGAGTCGAGGATTTCCAGCAGATACGACCAGTCAAAATCGCAAGAACATCCAAGACTAGTGATAGAGTGTGAACTATTCATCGTTACAAACACTAACTAAAACGGTCGTGACGACTGAAACGTAAATCTCACCGCCATATAAGTATGTATACCCGTTCAGCCAATCATGATCTGATTAGTTGATGTTGAAAAATAACTTCTTAGTCTGCTTGGCTACCGCTCGTAAATAACCCGCTCTCCTGTGGACTAGTCTCAGAAGCATGGCTTCTCGGGGTGCTGTCCGAAGGGCTGGGTTTTCTTCAGCACTAGTAACGCACATGGACAGTGTGGTTGCAGGCATGCCGAAATCGCGGCATATGCAGGCTGAAGGGTTCGCCCTCTTTCATACCTATAGGAGGTCGGTCTTGGTGGTAAATTAGGAGGGCACGTGTAACGTCGTCGGCAGGGCGTACATGAATTCTCATGACAGAGCGTTTCTAAGAAACGTAACTTTTTGACCCTTTGAACCTTTAGTTAGGCAAATCACCATGTGATGATTCCCATCAATGACCTTTGCTTAAGGAGCGTTCTTTAGCTAGCTTGGGTAAGCTGGCCGATCAGTTTATGTGTATCCATATAACTATAATGAGCCAATACCCGGTTAGTATAAGACGCTAAAGATAGGTTAGCCTCCCGCTATCCGGGCCACCAAGTGGAAGTTCAAATACCGGGCCGAGATTTTTTAGTTATCAAAGTCGACTTGAGACTCCCGAATCGTGTAGTGCGGGCCGACAACAGAAGTGCGGCCGGAGGATTTCGAGTAAAGGTATTATTCGGCAATGCAGTTGTCGTGCCGCATGCAACTTCAGTTAGTGCTGATGCCGGGGACATGTCACCGACATGTTAATTCCCGATTATCAATTCCTGGTATGAACGATGTCGTATTGCGAGGAGAGTTTAAACTTCGGACGAACCTAGGTTCATAGACCGTGTGGATGCTACTAACAAACGACCCGGGTATAGTAGGTATGCCGTGGTCGTCTCCTAGGTCGCGTAGCTTGAGGATATGTGGCTGTGTAAAGCGTATCTAATGGCATCTGAGATCTGGCGTTGTGACATGTAACACACGTGTGTGTGGTGGTCGCGTAGAGGACACCAAGACTTCTTTACTCGCTCTTGATTGGATCTACCATTTTGTTCATCGCCAACCTCGGGAGTCTCCTGATAATATACCCTTCCTGAGAGGTGGCTTTTAACGCGCTGCGACGCTTGGCAACCTGACGCGACTAGCTCACCAATCAGGCATTATGAAAAGTACATGTCGGTACTGAGTAGGTTGGTAAGACCGTAGGTAAAGAACGAAAACTACTAGACGCTTGGTGTTAAAGGTGGTGTGAAGTGGTTTATTCGTAGATCGATGGACATATAAGAGGTCAATGGACAATGAATGACGGGGCTGGGTGATTTATTCATTCCCTCTACATGACGTATTTAAAGATCGAGTCTATTATGCTGCAACCCGTAAGTGCGGATCTCGTACAATTACGTCAGGAGGTAAGGTACCGGACATACCTACTAGGTAGTAAGTAGAGAAAGAACTCCCCAACGACAATACCCCGAATTGAGGAATTAAGATGGGTGTACTTTCCTCCCTGAATGAACCTTACTTAGGTAATTGGAGTATACGAATCCTTTGCTCTTTCGAGATCAATCGATGCTATTCAAGTGTGTATAATTATGGGTTACTATTTATGTTACCACGACATGTACTACCACCCTCTGGCGTTACAACAATCGATGTCAATTAATACATGGCTACCCTCCTTTTAAGAACAAGGCTGATACTATACTTTTAGGTCCTCTGCATACTCGCGTTACATCTTCCGTCTCGCGGCGCAAGATGACACCCACAAATGGGACCCCCCCGGTGATACTGTGATGCTTTCCGGTGGCTTGAGTCGTTCCGATTATGGCAAACGCCTCGTCGTATGGGCTGAGCTATACCGAAGTTGGCACTCTCTACACCATAGTAGGCTCCGAGAATACAGCTGTAGCCTAATATAAGATAGGTACGCACGCCTAGAATTAGAGTGAGACTAAGTCATCCTTAAGGATTGGATATCGATTCTAATAGTATTTTGGCATATTTTTTATATTCGACGTGAAGCCGTTTTTAAAAGCTGTGCCTTTCACAAGCGGGAGCCCGTCCCACGTTCCACTACTTATATGTCTTAGACATACCCAGACTGTTGCATTTATAGTGCAGTTCTGCGAGTAGAGGGCATGACTTATCGGGAGGAGACCCGTTTGCTTTACTGGTGCTTCCGCGGTAGTTCAAACCGATCGTCCAGATTGATAATTCCCTTCTGTTGGAATGATACCTTTGCCACATCTTTATAGCTTGAGGAGTCGGTGTCAATGGGCTAGGACTCATGGTGAACACTACCTGCCAAGATAATACCGGCAGCAGTTGCTATTGATTTCCATAGCTAGTGGGGGGTATCGAACATATCGAATCATTCTCCTCGGACCACCGAGACTCGGCTGCATCGGATGTCTCGGTCTTGCAGCGGCAGGAAATGCAGCACATACAAGCTCCCAATGGAGAGATAGCGGACGTGGTAGAACTCGACTATTTGAGAACTTATATAGGAAAGCGAGGGAACTTACTGAATTATTGCTGGTATCAAGTTGCGCGGAATGGCTCATTTTCCATCGACAAACTCCTCTTCTTTTTTCTTCTTCTTCTTTTCTTTTTTCTTTTTTCTTTTTTTTTTAAAAAAAAGAGAAGACTAATTGTCTCGCGTGGGAGATAAAGATCTTCCAAGCCCTGCGTGATACATGGGATATCCTTTACAACTACTTCAGAACCGGTGAGTGATATGACGACCTATTGGCACGCCACCCATGTGAGGTATCATCTATGAAGCAGTGGTCGTCGATGAGATCTAGGTACTTATTAATGGATGCTGATTAATGATTTATTTGTCACCATAAACAAGTAGCAAGCGGGAAAAGACGATCTTCGATCTTCTTTGGTCACACTGCATGAAACGGATGGATACAACGTGCGTAGAGACAGTTCTTGTCTATGTGTATACCAAGTTAACTCAAGATCGTACTTTAAGCAGGGAGTTGGGATTAGGTAACCATTTCAAGGTTCGAATTTGTCATGCGCAAGATCGAATCATTTGTCAGCAAAGCTCGAAACCCTATCGGAGATGGGTAGGCTTCGTGTTGAAAGCTCTGGCTAACCATATCCCCCCTGCCTCTCGTGCAAAGATAATACACGGGCGTATTTATGACAACGTACCTGGTCTTTCCTATGTGGATAAGGCTAGATAGAATGCTTTAATATAGAGTAGAGTAGGTATATCAACAAGAAACAAGCTGAATTGTTCATTATGGACTTGCGCCTTTCAAAGCCGATACTTATTGTATATTTTCCCATCGGCTGAGAGGTGGGAAATTTAATCTCGAACTGGTTGGTGGGAAAATTCGTGGCTCATTCTCGGCAGTCTCTTTAGATGACGGTGATGGTTGGAAGCATTACGTACGCAGGCTTCAGTTGGCTTATAGCATTAATCAGAGAGAACATCTCGCTAGTTGAACTGAGAAGTTAATGGATTACAGGCCCAAGCACTGAAAGTTATTAGTAAACTGATTAAAGATATATTCTAGGTATGTATGACGAATATAATAGATGTAAGCAATGGTGTTTTGCAGATATACAGGGATGTACCCATAATGGGGAAATGGAACAATGGGACAATAACGGTGTGCGATGGATGATTTTAGAAGTTTGCGCTAAGATGCACTCTGCTATTGTTTGCAGAAGTGCATCATGAAAATGGAATAGAAACAGTAGGCTGGGTTAAGTGGCAGGACAGTCTCCGCAATGATGCGCAGATACCGAATTCAACCTGAACCAATAAGAAGAGGTGGACGACTTGAATCTAGCGAATTTGGAAGTTTCTTGGAGGAAGTGGAATTGCGGGCCTCATGGCCTTGTGCTTTGAATGTGTTATGGACAAATGAACGATCATAAGCGACAGTGGTAAACATTTTACTATTAAAAGTTAAACGCTGGGTAAGGACCGATAATAGTAAATAATGCGCAGGCTATAAGCTAAATGCGATGAATAATAATAAAAATAGTTATGCATTGCCCCATTGGAGATATGTATGTACCTTTTTGGATTACATATTTCTGTGTGAAGATAAGATGAGGCTAAAAAAAAAGATTGTGTGTGAGGAGGGGAGGAGCGAGGAGCTTGGGGCAACTTTAAAATAATTCCGGAGCCTTAGAAGGCTTGATGGGTTTAAATGGTTTAAAAAGGTGACGCGCCTCGGGTGGGAAAGCAGGTGGACAGGGATACCGGTTTAAGTTGCGTAACAAGGCAGAAGGCGCGACCGATCGACAATTTTTAAACAAACCACATCACCAAGTCAAACCAAGTCAATATTTGAAAACCTATCGCCATCAAATCGAATCGCATCATATCGCATCCCACCGCACAACCACCAACGACACTGTATTTGATTGACACACTCGAGCGCATTTACAATAGTCATCTCGATAATACAAGACGACATACTTTTCTAATTATTCCATTGTGGATTTAATTGTCTTTAGTCTTTAATAACTCCCTCATCTAATTGGTTTTTCTTTTTTTTAACCTCCATCTACGGACAATCCTTGGAACCTTCCCGCCTCTTACAATCTGGCGCGCCTCATATCCTAGCTTCCTGCCCCCGCGTCAATACTACCATCACCATTATCGCGATCGCTTAGATTTACTTCAGTCTCAAGCTATCACTGATACTTAAAAAGTCTTAACATCCCGATTCAACTACGTTATTTCGCGACTTTCCTTGCCTCTGGACAGTGCGGGACATCGCCAACTTTATCTTCAACTAACGTTAAGGAGCTATCACCCCTCCCGCATCCCCGCTTGGTCCGAATACGCGACTATTATCCGATTATCTTTTAGTAATGGGCATCTAACATAACATGCCTGCCTCATCAAAGCGAAGTCAGAGAACGCGCCGCCCTCGCGACGTTAGTCCGAGCCCAGCCCCGCTAGAACAGTCCTCGCCGTCGCGTCCAGCCAAGCGCAGACGGAAGGTAGATACCCCCGCTTCCCCTAGTCGTCTGCATATCTTTGCTGAACATGTGCCGGACGTCAAGGTCGAGGAACCTCAATCGGAACCTATTGAAGATGAGGGCTCAAGCCTCACTGTCGACAATTCGAACCCCGAGGGTTCCAGCGATGATGACCGACTGATCACGCTGGTAACGCAACATCTACGAAGCATCCATACCCAAGCCAGCCGAGACCACGCCAATGCTATACATGAATCTAAGACCGAGGATATAGAGGCATACGCTAAAATCTCTGCTCAAGACTGGACCTATTATATTAGGTCCTTGTCTATTAACATTGGTAGAACATCGGAGCCGTCCCATACACGCCCTTCCGGGCAAGATGATGAGGATAAGGACTTTGTCCACATCGACCTCGGCCCCTCTAAAACATTTTCGCGCCAGACAGCCATTATATACTATGACTCGGATCCCGGCAAATGGTACCTCTTGCCAAAAGGACGGAATGGGCTTAAGGTTGACAATGCCACTCTCAAGAAAACGGATGACCCGCATGCTCTGTCTAGTGGTGAAGTCATCGAGATTGGCGGCATCGAGATGATGTTCGTCTTGCCAGGAAGCCTTGCCCCTCTTCGTATCCATCCCATGTACCTTGAACAGGCCGGGATTAAACAACAGCAATCGAGTCCTGCTCGTGAAGCTGGCAGGACAGCTTTACCAACAGCGCCTTCAGCGGACCACCCGTCGTCTCAGTCTACGGCAAGACCTTCTTCCTCTCGGAGCCAGCTCTATCAACAACCAATAGCACCCGCACCTCCTGATTATAGGCGACCAGGAACTCCCCCTTCGGCCAAGACCCGCCCCACCGCTGCACAGCAGAAAACGCCTGCGCAAGGGTCTTCCGGAACTGTGATAATGAGCCAGAGCGACGTGGACCTAAGCAAAGACGAAAATAAGCATATTAAACCTCATTTCAGTTATGCTCAGATGATAACCCAGGCTATCATGAGTACTGCTGAGGAGAAGTTGAACCTGGCCGGTATCTATCAGTACATTACGACTAACTATGCTTATTATCGACATCAACCGCCTTCTGGTTGGCAGGTGAGCTTTCTATACGAGTTTTTGACATCCGAGAATTGCTGCGCTAACTAAATTGTAGAACTCCATTAGACATAACCTATCATTAAACAAATCGTTTATGAAAGCACCGCGATCGACGGACGAGCCTGGAAAGGGGATGAAATGGGAAATTGTTCCTGAGCAGCGCGAAGATATGATCAGGGTCGCCTATAAAGGTGGAAGAGGTGGACATCGCGGTTCTTCCGCCCCCTCGTCCCCAAGTCAACCTAGCCAGCTCAGTTATATCACACATGGACCTCGAGACGTTTCAACCAGGGAGCCCACATCGGCACGAAAGCGTAAGGCTTCGCCAATCGCCTCGCCGCCCCCGAAGTCGGCTATGACTCTATCTCAGGTGACGGTAACACCAGACCGTAAGTATCTACCAACAGGTCCGGCGAGCTTCCAAGATGGTAGCCCGCTTCCGCGACGCAAGCCTCTGGGCTCTGCGGACACCCTCCCTCAGTCACCGCCGACTTTGTCGTCTTCATATCTCCCGGACGAAAGCGCCTCTTTTGTTACTCCGGCGCCTCATCGGGTTCATCCACGACTTGCACCCCCTAGTACCGCTCAGAGACCAAGTCAGCACATGCCGACGTCTTCTCCAGCCCCTTTTTGGAAGTACGCCGACATCACTAGTACGCCTCTGAAATCGTTGCAGTACGATTTGAGTCCCTCGAAACCTGCGGCCCTACCAAACAGCAGCAGCCCTCCTGCTGCCCGCGATAGATCGCCTATAGGTAGCCCGACTAGATCGACCAGACCTACTCGAGCAGAGACACAGGAGAAGGTTGCCGTGGCAGATGAGGAGGAAGAAGAAGGTGGTTTTGATCTTACTAAGTACGTTTGCACCCCTTTTTAAGTTCCATGATTAGCCCCGATAAATAAACTAACGGCATGTGCAGGGGTTTCCAGAGCATCGGTTCCTACCATACCCCTGCCAACTGGATGCTATCCCGAACCAATGGGAGTCGAACATAACTGCGATACCCCTTGGTAGTTAGACTTAAACAGTCCTTAACAAATCCTAGTTCTCTAAAAGGAAAAACCAAATTATATCCTGTATTATTGTTTTCTGCGCATTTTGGTTATTGCATTTTGTGGTGGGTATGGCGGATGCAACACTGATTTGTACGGCTATCACCATCAACAACGGAGTAAGGTTTTTTTTTCTTCCTGTTTTCTTATCACCCCGGATGTGCTTTCTTTCTAGGAACCTCTGATATCCAACATCTGGCTGTCTGGTTCGATCACGGACAGCAGTGAATTAAGGGGACGAGGAAGAGAGCATGTAACTTTCACGGCATACGGCACCCAAAAAAATTTCAACCCGGCGTTTCTCGGAAAAGGATGGGGAGGGGATGGAAAAGAATCTTCGCATCACTGCCGAGTGGAAGGGAAAAGGGATGGGGAGGGAGCAGGATAACAGAACACACATCTGGCGGGAGGGCAAGGCGGAGTGGAAGTGTCTCCCACTCGGAACACAGGTGGTGCTGCGTGCGGGTTTATGTTTGCTTCTTTCTTGTTCTTGTTCTTTCTTCTTCTTATACGTTATGCCATGATTCATGATCATTCTCGTGTCCCCTTTTTTTCTTCTTCAATGCTAGTCTTTGAAGAACCAGTCATTTCGGGAATGGTTCTTCGATAAGGTAATGAATGAATCTACGCGAATGAATATCGATTATCAACTCTAGATAATTCTTGTACTGCATACACGTGGTTTTTAGGAACTTCATAGTCAAGAGTGAAGATGTATGTCTATTAACACACGCAGACCGCAAACGCGTCCATGCCTTTTTCGTGTGTGCCTAGAGGGGGGAAGGGGATCGCTAAGATCCCCGAGTCTACCTGTTTTCTTTTTCGTAACTTGAGCTGAACCGCCTCCTGGTGCCATGTATCCCTCCCTACCTACTTAGTATATACAACAATCCCCAACCCCTTCCCTACTTCCGTCATGAGATCGAATACTTTTTTTTTCATCGCCGCCGTATCACACATAATACCTATGTATGTACCAGCCGACCGACGAAAAAAAGTCGCGGAGAGGGGAAAAGATTGAGGGAAAAAATAAACATATACACAATGCAAAAAAAGCCCCATCCAGAGAACTATGCAACCGAAACCCGGCCTTTTTAGGAGGAAGTGAGGGTGGGAAAGGGCAGATCTTGCCTCCGCTTTCTAGAGACGCCTCCAAAAACTCGGAAAATATGATGATGCTTGAGGTATCTCCACGCTTTTTTACCTTAAATTTTTTTAAATATTTTTTCAGCCTTTCCTTTTCCGTACCCCTTTAATTCCGCTTCCATCGGCTAAGACCGACCCCTTTATCCCAGCGATCCGTGACTTGACTTCATTCCCCGTTATCCGTACCCAATCATTTCTGGCGTCTATCAGTTCATCGTTAAGCAGCTGCGCCCACTCGGGTCTTGGGTCCTGTGCGCGCGGTGCGCTTCTTGGTGCTCTTTTTCTGAGCCGTATTGCCCTCAATGAACTTGATGAGGTCATCGATGCTTCTAGCATCGGGCTTGTCTGACCTGCCCGCGCTCAGAGCCGCGGGCTGAACCGTAACACCGGCACCGCCGCCGAGAGCGACGTTGCGCGGTGGGAAGTGTATCCCGGCTCGTAGACGTCTCGCCTGGGCGTCCTTGTCCCGCTTTGCGATCGCGACGGCGTTCTGCGTCAGTTGCTCCAACCAGGTCTCAGCCTCTTTGGTGTTGTTATTCTCCGGGCCGAGCTGGTGTAAAAAGATAGTGTAGCATTCTCGCATCTTACCGAGAGCGGCCTTGGACTCGTTGTCCAAAGCTAGCGCTTGGGCAAGCTGGAAGAGGAGGCTAGCAGCTGGGAGAGACTGCTTGCCCATCACGCGCTCGCAAACAGCGAGGGCTTGCTCAAACCAGATTCGAGATTCATGGTATGCTTGCATATGCTGGAGCATGACAGCTGCATTATTTAGAGTTGTGATCGAGTCCGGGTGGTCTGGTCCATAAATTATCTTCCATAAATCAAGGGCATGTTTGACATATGTCAGGGCGTTCTTGCTGTCACCAGATCCATGTACGTAAAGTCCAAGATTCAGGTAGTAGAGAAGTGTCTCCGCAGAGTCGACGCCTATCGTGCGCTCTGATACGATAACTGCTTTTCTCGCTAGATCGACTGCAGCCTCCTTCTCCTCAAGATGGTAATAGACTTGTGCCAAGCTAGAGTAAGCTCGCGCAACTTCTGGGTGAAGGATTCCGTAAATTTGCTCGTGGAGAGTCAGACTCTCCAATAACAACTCCTGACCAATTTTTCTGTTATTTTGCATGATGGAGTGGCGGCCACCTTCCAGAGCCTCTTCGGAAATAGCACTCTTCGGCGCAGAATCTTTGATGATAGGGACGACGTTTACAACATCATCTGGAGTGAAGGTAGTTGGAATAGTAACGGAAGAAATAGAAGACGGGGATCCGTCCCTTGACTTCTTCTTTTTCTTCTTGCCGTCACTGCTCGCATGACCATTGACACCATTTGTGGTTGCGGTGGTAGTATTTCCAGTGCTGGAATCGGAGGTGAATTGGAAGTTCTTTGCCTGCAATTGGAAGCCGAGCTTCAAAGACACTTCACGGAGAAGTTGCAGGTGTTTTATCTGGAATTGTAGGTCTGAATCCAGTGTGAACCTGAATCGACGAAATACCTGTGCGGCGATCTCCTTTCGGAGGCTTTCAGGTGTGGCGCTGGCAAATGAAAGGTCGGCTTCTGGGTACAATGCTTTCAGAGACTCGTCGATATCAGCAGTAGGGTTACTGTTGAACCCAGACCCAAGAAGGCAGTTGAGAAGATGGGCGATGCAGGAAGAGGTTAGGGAAATGGGTAAGTATCGTAAATATTTGCCTGCGACATGCTTGAATGCTCTCGATATTATCTCGTTCAAACATAAATCGCGGAGGCGTAAAAGCCTAGGACCCTCGCAAAGAGAGACTATCTTGCCAAGGTATCGAATGTTAATTCCGCGCTTGTGCATCATCTTAGAGAGAGATATGCCATCCATGGGAAATGGTAGATCCGAGACTTTAATATCGTTGACGAAATCGGGAATTGCCGATTCGCGTAGATACTTGCAGGCATTTCGGACGTCCTCCTCGTCAGCAGCCAGTTCCTCCTTCTCGGCATCAGTCTGGGGGACCTGGCCACTGAATGCATCTGGGTTGAGCGCGAAATGAAATTCTGAAGCGTCGATACGTTCCTCGTCTTCTGTTGCGGTTTCCTCGCTTGGCTCTGTAGGCTTCTCCTCTTCTTTTCCTTCTTCTTCTTCTTCTTCTTCCTCTTGTTCTTTTTCTTCTTCCTTTCCTTCCGTAGTCTTTTCCTCTATAGATAGAGGTTTTTCTTCTTCGCCAGTTTTCTCGGCTTCTGACTTAGATTTGGACTTTTGCTTCAACCTTTCGAGCTCCTTATTTACCCACTGGTGCCAATTGTGATTTCGGCAATATTCTACGAGCTCTGGTCGCAAGACGGTCATCCGATGGGGGTAATCCGATTCAGTCTTCTGTTCCTCGACAGCGCTATTCTCTTCCAACCACAATACGTCCAAGGGGGTAATGCGGTATAGGTCGAGGACATATTTTCTGCCATCTGTGCCCATCAAGCCCTTAGTCTCGACGCTGGCTTCTAGGTCGAAGCGTTTACCATCCTTGTCCCAAACCGGATGTTTTTTAACGTACAGGGCTTTGGAGAGTTTCTCAAAGGTTGCCGCAAAGCGTTCATCAGCCGCAACAATTTCCTTGCCTTCTACCGCACCATATTCGATAGAATTCTCACCAGGTTCCCGCTGCTTGAAAATACCCGGAACGACAGTTTGACCAACAATTCGCTTCCCAAGATAGTCAACCACTACGGTTGCAGGGCTGTAAAGGCCATCGATATCGAGTTGGTTAACTAAGCGCACTCCGTTGACGTCTTTTCCAGTGGCCACTCTTGCAGCATCATCACCACCCTCTGACGTGAAAGTACCCACGCCATCGGCTCCAAAGGAGAAAAACACGTTGTTGTAGACAAATATTTGTGCATCACGGTCTTCGGTGGGATTTAGCGGAGTGACCTCGCCGCGGGCAACTAGGATAGCTCCCCTGGCAGCAGCGTCAGAGTAGTCGGCGAAAAGCTTCGAAATGAATCGCTCCCTGAAGACGCGATCCTGAACCGTCTCCTTGGGCAATTCACGTGCCGATTGGAACTCTTCATTCCAGTCTCTCAACGTATCAGTGTTGTCAATGCCGGAGATAAGGTAGCCCTCCTGGGTTCTCGTGATATCAGGAGTATGGGCGCACAGCGACGAATTTTGAGACGGAACCAACCACGGCGCCGCAGGAATGGCATTTGTCATCTGAAATGTAGCCAAGGGGTCCTTACGGTTGTTGTACTGCAACAACTGTTCGAAGGATTCCGAGAATGAAGGTGAAATCTGAGTTAGCAGTGTTAATAACGAATGCGCAGAGTGTCCTTTAGGGGCTGCTCGTGGCAAAGGATCAAATTTGCTATTCGATGACTTGTTAACGTAAAACCCGCCAATGTGAGACGTGATCTGGTATTGCTCTCCTTCATTTGTGGTAATGAGTAGGTAGAGCAAGTGACCCTTCTGCCTAAGGTGGTAGGGCGGGGGATTCCATGGCGACAGAGCAATGGACTTTACGGTCTTAGGGGCAGGTTCTTCCTCTGCCGGTATAAGGGTTAAAGGCTTCGCAGGAGCATCGAAGTCATAAGCACTAGCCTGAACATTGTCGTTGTCCTTGGCGCTGGTGGTGACGGAATCGAAGAGAGAGACTCCGGGCAAAACCCCTTGTAGGGTATCAGTCCGATCCCCCGCAGCACCCACTAAGTCCCGAATTCGGATGACATGTATTCTAGCCTCTTTCTCGGTATATGGATCCTCTACCAATCGTATCTCAGCTTCTGGACCAAGTCCTTCTACGTCTGAAATTTGGACAAAGTCGTTGATTCGTTCCCCCGCGTGGTCGAGGTGGAAGCAGGAATATTGAAAAGCGGAAGGTAGTTCGATAATAGACTGACGCAACTCGTGGACTTGCTCTTGAGGCGAGACCTACATTCAGGTTAGCTACGAGAAAAGTTTACATTTCTAACGTAGCAAACAAGGGCAACTGCTAACCATCACATTGATCTTATTCGGTTCGTGGGGCAGATGAATAGTCAGAGGATACAGCGCTATATGCCATAGTTAGCATAGAGATAAACTTGCGGAGACCTATTTAATTTTCGGCCGCACAGTACGCACATTCATGGTCCTCTTCATCAGATGGTTGACCGTTTGAGTCAACCTTAGTCTCTTCGGTTTGGCCATTTTGGGTTTCGGCTTCTTGGGCTGAAGGTTGATCTACACGAGACCACAAGTTAGATTGCGCTTAAACTGGAAAACGGCTCTATAGGTCTTATATACCGGTGATATCTTGCTTCTCAGTCATTGTGATTCAAGGGGAAACAGGATTAGTAGGAAGGGCTCGTTCAACCTTAGGCCTTAGGGAGTGAGTGAGTGGGTGGGTGGTGTATAGAAAGTTTTTATACCCTCGTACTTGTACAAGAATAGCAAAGGAGATCCGACGCACAGCTTAGGAGGTCCGGCGTAGAAACTGCAAAAGTATTAATGGACAAGGTCTGAGAAGTATAATACACGAGGAATAAAAGGAATGGCAAATCAATTGAACTCCTTAATGGTGTATGAAGATGTATGAAGGTAGACTTTGACTATGTTGAAATTTAGAAAAGAGAATTTAATCGGCCGTTGATAAGATATTTGGAGCTAGTAGACAAGCAACTGTCAATTTTTTTTTTCTTCTACGGCTCAAAAAAACTCAAAAATTTCAAAAACCCCGGCTGTTCCCGGCAAGCCGGAGCTGCGGCGGTCGTTAGGTCCATTGGGGCTTCCCTGCCCGCCCTAATCATGACGCTCTTCCCAGGTTAGCACGTAACACTGCATGGAGGGGAGGTATTACCGTAACTATTCGGCCATTTCTATTGGATGAAATTAATTTTGGCATCCTCAAAGACTTAAAAAACCGCACTTATCTTTATCTAAGGTTACTCCTAACATTTTTACCTTATTACCTTACCATGAATATTTTTTATGTTATGGAAAAAGACGCGGTTTGTTCTTTTAGATCCGTTTGCTTAACTAAAGAGCCACATGGCAAATAATTTGTTTGCAAGATGCAAGACGGATCTTGCATGGTGTTGAGCTTTGAACTTCTAAATTCCTGTAAAAATGTTTATCGATAACCGATTTCGTATTTGTGCGAAAGATAATATGGGGTTCCCCGATTAGGAAATCAAGTAAACAATCACAGCGTGGAACTGAACACTGTTTTGTTCAACATCGGATTCATCTTGCACCACGGGCTTATTTTCTTGCTTTTACATCATACAAATAGATGAAGTAGACCTTTATGTAGCTATCACTCGTGCTTCAAGGCATGAGCTTTTGGACTACATCTCTACGGTTTACCATTACTAACAGTACTTATCCATTGCTTTTACCGCCTTTGTCATTAACCCATCGATCACATACGAATCACCCATGGAACTAGTAGCTTAATATCCTTACATACTAGCATATCTCAGTTTGTTATGCATCACTAGCTCAAAATACTCATATTTTCTTGGAGATATTGCTAGAGCTTATTCCATGTTACCCGAAGAATTTAAAACACCGTGTAGACCAAGGCGCCCACCGCCCAGACCAAATCGGTCAGGTGAAGCTCCACAGCCTTGGACTACCGCTCGTTGCAGCCGTTTGCTTCGGCCATTACTTTCACGAATATCTTCTCTAAGAAAGGATACTACAGCATCGCTATTAGACGCCAAGGACGATGAACATGAACAGGAGACATCATTGGGCGATGAGCAACGTGATGACCATGAGTGGCTAGGGCCGAGGAAGAGAGTTCGATTAACTTACTCTCAAAAACGGCCTTCCCGTCGTCAAGATGAGCTGTGCCCGCCTAGCAAAGGTGCTAAGGGGTCAGACACAGCAGGGTACCTTCATCGGAGTAGAGGGAAGGCTCTAAATCCTGGAGAGATAGTGCCAGCTACGCCTTTATTACGACGTGCAAGAGGTCATATCATCCCCTCCTCCCCTGCGGCTCCTAGTAATCTCGGAGGAGAGTCTAGACAACTCACTACTGGATGTAGGCGAGACCCCCGTTTGAAAAAGGGCATAATCAAGAACAAAGACCACGAGCAACGTCTGGCCAAACTACGAACTCAGTCAACGCCTGATCGATACAATGACTTAGAGGCAATATATCGGAGCTTGGAAGCACTTCTAACAGCAACACACCGCGACACGAACCAAAGGCGTGGTCCACGATCATTTCTCGACATGTGTCTCAGGAAAGTACCGCAGTATATCGAAGCGCTCGAGGCCCAGGAGAGGATGGACGCAGAGCAGAACGGCACTGTCTCTACGCTTGACAATCTTGACACCTCAGCAGAGGTATACAACTATCTAGAAGACATTGGACCGAACCCGGCCCTCGGATGGAAACATCTAAGGGTTGTAGTTCGGTCAGATGGGCTTCATGCGATCAAGCAAGCAATCTTAGATGGTATATTCGGCGACGAATTCTCGGAATTACTCATCGATCTATGCGTCCAAGCCGGCGCATCAGCAGAGGCCGAAGAACTCGTCACAGCACTAATCGATCGCCAATATCCACCGCCGACGACACCGGATAGCTCCTTTTCCGAGCTAGCATCACTTCGACCGCTTACGGTGTTATGGAACTTCGCAACAAAACAAGACCGCATACCATTTCTCTTGCGTCAATACTCATTACTATTGTCTTACGAATGCCTTCCGGAAGATTGGCTTTCGTCCCGAGAATTTGAACGCATATGGGCCTTAGCTGCCCGGCACCTGTCGAAAGTGGATGCAGCCGACGACGCCGTGGCTTTCATGAACCACTCCATCTCGCTACTATGCTGCCGAAAGCGGGTTCTCGCGCGTGGACCCGACGCGAGTACAGACATAGCCGTAGCGAATAAGCAGACGTTAATTAGTGCTTTGACGATGCTAACCGCGATGAGCTCTTTGGGCGAGATAGAGCTTCAATCCGCAAGGGTTTCAGAATCGGAGATTACGAAGATCAGCCTCATCGGCAACAGGCTTCGATGCATTTTGAGATCGTGCATGGCTGACCTGGAGCTACCGAGACCCGCGCGACACGATTTGGGAAATGATCTTCTATATTTAGCATTGTTTCTTTCATCGAGCACCGCCCGCAATGACGACAGCATTAGCTCCCGTTTGAGACATGGCGTCGAGCAGGCATGGCGGGCGAACGTTAACCCCGGAGCCGCGCGAGGCAGCCGCACGAAACATCGTCTCGACGATATCGCATCATTCCTATCGTCAGTAGCCCGTAGTTGTGGCAGAGGGATGTCTGTTACGTCTCACAAGTGCCTGGAGACGCTGTTCTCCCAACTCGATGGCCTCGGGCTCGATCGGGAGATCCTAAGCAGCATGAAGGCAGTCTCCGCGTTCGCGCTGGCGCAGCAGACCAACGACGTCAAGGACTTCATCTACGCGGAGAAGCTAGCCTCGAGCCAGCACGCGGCGGCTACGAAGACGGACGACAACGACGACAACGACGCGCGCCCGCGGAGGAGCCTTTTCTCCGGGTACCGATGGGAGGAAACTATAGGCGAATGGGTTACCGTGAGCCCTGAGAGACGACGACCCAGGATGAGGATAAGGCAGTTTCGATCTTCGTCTAGGATGGAAATGGGCCACGGCGAAGAGGGCGCCAGCCAGGCCGGGGGGTCCACATTTGGTGATGCAGATAACGTTGCAAGTCCAGAAATAGCCTCTGTACAGGGTAGTATTCACAGCAACCAGGGCCCTCTGGCAGTCGGAACCGAACGCGTCAACGTCAAGAAACGTGCGTATTCCTGCTCTAAAGCCGACAAACCGCGAGTAGCGGCCGGGGCTACAATAGCGTATCGCAGCAAGCAATTCACAAAGTCTGCGATCTTATCGCTAGACGACGACGATGAGCTCAATTCTGATAAGGAAAATCAGAATCATGCCATGGCCAAGAAGCCAAGGAGGAGCATAGATAAAAGGACGGTGCTAAGTCTGAAGCCACGATCTAGTTTCGCAAGCGCAGCAAGCATTGGCATGCCGGGCGACGATTGCAGCGACGACGAGCTCTGCATGTGAGGGCTCGCCGTCTATCTTGAAGGAAAACATCACTAGAGTATTTCTTCGAGTGCATACGTAATGCGGCGTCCGTTGTGTGATCTATCTTTGGATACAATGCGGCTCGGTAGACGTGAAATTTAGAATTTCGGCACCGAAGATTAGATTACTTGTATATAAATTAATTCTTCAACGGATCCATTGCGTAGGATCGGAGGCGTTCAGAACCGTTCCAGCGGGATCTCGCGTCCTGCACGGACGGACCGGTAGCTTTTAGAGTATTACCAACACATGTGCATACCCAGTTGCCCAGGTGTAAATCACACCTTATGTTCTGTTCGGTATTCGAAATTAATAATAAACCATTCGACATAAGACCATTATAGGAAGTTTGTTGGGGTCATAAGAGTCTTGGTGATGAAGAATCCATGTGCTCATCCTTAGATCCTTTAGAAGCTAGGTCCAGGAAGAAAAGACCATTATTAGTGAAACGTGAAACGAGCCAAAATGGGCAACTCGTATCAACTTGTACTATGTAAATTCTTACCACAAAAGGTCTCTACTATATCTGGATTCCGCCCGACGGGTTGCTAGGCCATCGGGATATAGATGAAACAGCCCGCCCTTGTATAGTTTCCGAATAGAGAGAAATTGGCACTTGGTAGACGGAAGTGCGCATACTATGGTAGCAGGACGGCGTGGGAAGCCGGGAATATCGTTCATGATCTTCAACTTCCTAGTCGTGGCCAGATTTGTCTGGGTTCGTCTGCTCGGACAATTACTAAAATACGTGCCCAGGTGGACAACCTTGAACCATTATGATACACATGGAAGGGCGCCTACCTACCTAGTAGCAGCTATATGGATAGTGACTGATGGCATCGTTGAAAGAGTCGCATGTAACAATTAAGAGACGACTAGAGCCCGTAGAAGCGCCTAATAAGTAGTAATTGCCTACACAATTGCGTCAGCAATATGAGGGTATCCTTGTGTCAGATCCCTAAGCCATCCACTGAATGTGAATGTGTGGCTTAAGATAGACCTTAAAGACCCTGAAGACCTAAAAACTCAACCCGTCTGCCCGCTTGCTCTTACATTCATCCCACATCCCACTAGATGAGAGAGATAAGATGGAATCGTTTGAATGGTCCTGGTATATCGACCGTATCGAGTTTAGTAGATATGATGCGATTATAGGTTAAAAATTAAAGTGATAGGGTTCGTCCTTAATAAGATACTGTATCGTGTTTCACTCTGGTTTGTGGATGACGCATGTCTTTCATTGACGGACATATTCGGGCATTACATAGTGCGGGAGTATTGTCGTATGCCCTCGTTTTGAATAGTGTCTGGTAGATTTTTCCGTTTTAATGCGAAATAAAAATGCGATTCGTCACAATATTCATCTTCATCAAGACTCTCTTAATACAGTAGGTGGAATAAATCATCCGCGTTGGATCATAAAAATAAAGTAGTGACCTAAGGATCAAGGCAGTTAATTAATCCACCATCATCGATAATCCTCAGTGTAGGGATATTCTGCCTCTCCAATTTTTTTCGCAGATGGCTTTTTGCGCCATCGTTTGAGAACTTACACACAAGTTGAGAAGTTGAAAAGGCATTGAAATTTCTGGAACACTTACTAATACTTTTCATTGGTTGCTTAATAGAAGCTTGCTGTCCCATCTTAGTACTGGAGCCGGGCTCTTACGAATTGTCATTGGTGGTAAACGTAGCTGGATCCCAAGACTACGGACCCCCTGTTCTCGCTTGTGCGCTGGCTTCGTTTCAAACCCAAGCTGTCGATCATGACACTCTCCACTGTTGCAAGGTTGAGATCGGACAAGGACGACAAATGATAAGCAGACAAACGGTCGATGGAGGGCCATCACATCTCGAGACTGAAGCACTGACGAAGCTTGTCGCTTCGCAGTTTCAACAGATGAAAAAGAAAAGTTAAGTCGAACCGAGATATTGGAAACGATGAGTAAAGTAGAACGATGACTGGCCGAATACGGGTCTGGGGTGAAGTAGACCACTGATGTGATTCACTGAAGCCCTTGATCGATCTGCTCAGATCCTCGGCCAATCTTGCTCCTTTCCATTTTCAGTGTACCTTGCATTGCTGCATTGGTGGCACTTTGTCGGCTCATCCCCACATTGACTTGGTACGCATAGTACCCACCTGGCAGGCAAGACTTGCTCGTTTCTAGACCTGACAGGCAGACAGGGAAGATTATTAGGAGGGACATTATGCGCACGATTATGGATATCGATCCCGTACCCCCATAATGAAATGAACGCGATGCGTATTACAGCGTAGTGTGGTCGCTGTGGTGAATCTAATGACGACTGCGATATGTACCTTTGTAAGTGACTGGGGAAGACGTCAAAAGTAAATGAGTGCCCAGGTGAATATCATTTAGAACTCCAACATGGCTTGGCGCGTAAGTGATGATGAACGGATCTTATTTGTCGGTGAAAGAATTCAGATTATCGTAAAATGTCTTAGGAGAATAAAAAGTCCAGACTCCTTAGCCAACCCCCTATTGATATGATGTATTTGAGTACTACAAACAGCAGGTGCGGCCGGTATGGTACGTAAGTACTCACTAAAAATTTTTGTTTTCCAGCTGTACATGTGCGGTGTTCTCAACTTTCAGGGGAGAAGGCGCAGTGATTGGCGCATGGTAAAGAGGGTGCCGGCATTGGGCGACGTAATTGAATGACGCCCCAAAAGTGGTCCACTAAGCCCCGGGCGGGTACTCCGGGTACGTACCTTGCATACGTTGTAGGTACCTCAGCAGTGCTTTCGTGCCCACGGTACCTGACGATTCCACTTTTTCCCTTTTCTTAGGTGCCATCTTTAACTGACCTCCTCCTAATTATTCCATGTCCCCTACAAGGTACATAGTATTTGTACGCTGTATATCTCAAGCAATGGGAGCCGACTTGTAGATCTCTTCGTTCCCTCTCCACCCTCTACACCCTGTGGCCTTCATTCCTCCCGGTCTTCTCTTCTTCGTCCTTTTTCTGCATTCCAATCAGTTGGTTCTCGTCCGTTAACCACAATTGGGTGCTTCTGGCATTGTTATCCTTCATTTGTAACAATTGCCCTTGTTAGTTTCTCTTAAGAAGTATTCTCTGAGGTATCATCCTTCGAGTTTCTTTGTCCCCCTCCTTTTCCGCCTGGGGCAGACCCATTATCTAAACACCACACTCGATTTAAATATTGGTCTTGACGCCCACGCCTGACCAAGGTACTTTTACCGATACTCAACTTTGATTGAGTCACAGTCACTTAACATTCTCCTTCATTATAGGACTTAAGTCCTTTCTCCAATTTATATTTCTTTACAGCTGGCTGTTTACTTCCTTTCACTTACCCTTTTAGAGGTATCGGGTTGACCTCATCTACCTCGTACAGTGTTGGATCTCACCAACCACCGAAGTAAACATCTCTTGAATGACGATTATTTGATTCGATTAGGTCATGGCTGGACAAGCAGCAGCACAAACTCCCGGTCAGGGACAGGCTTCAGGATGGACGCCCGCGATGGAAAATGAGTCTCTGTCGAACTATCTACTGATTATCTGTGGTGCCGTCTCAGTTGCCCTCATAATATGGCGTGTTACGAGTGCGTTGACCACATATATCCGAACCGTAACGAGTCTAAACAGCGAGACGCAACGATACTATGTGGGAACGTCGTCGAAGTGGGCTTGGGTGAAGAAGAACCTCCTGTATTCCCCGTTATTCAGAAAGCGACACAATCGGGAATTCCAGTTGAGCAGTGCGGTCAATGTCGGAACGCTTCCTACACGATTCCAATTTTTGTTCATTCTCGGTTACTTCGCCACCAACATCGTCTTCTGTGTCGTACACATCCCCTTCGAGAGCTTTACAGACGCCGCGAAGCAACTTAGAAACCGAAGTGGAACTTTAGCCGTTGTCAACATGATCCCGTTGTTTCTCATGGCAGGACGGAACAACCCCCTTATCGGCTTACTTGGCATGTCGTTCGATACCTTTAACCTGCTCCATCGTTGGTTTGGACGCATTGTAGCATTGGAGGCAGTCTGCCACACACTTGCCTTCTGGGCTGCCTCGGCAGCTGGAGCTGGATGGTCCGCCACTTTGCAGAATACGGTGTCGAAGCCGTTCCTGATGTTCGGATTCATTGTAAGTTCCCCCCCACCTATACTACTAATGAATATTTTTGTGGTTTAGCTTACACTATTTAGGCCACTATCGCCTTTGTTGCGATCTTCATCCAAGCTGCGAGTATTGCGAGACACGCCTACTACGAACTTTTCAAGTTACTGCATATCGGTCTCGCTGGGCTTGCAATTGCCGGCCTATGGTATCACCTTAAGTTAGCGGAGCTCCCTCAAATCAAATGGTTACTTCCAGTCATTCCCATTTGGTGTATTGATAGATTCCTCCGCATCGTGCGAATCGCGTACCACAATTTCGGCAAGGGAGGAACGAGAACCCTTATCGAGGCGCTTCCCGGCAATGCTGTCCGTGTTACAGTGAACATGGCGCGACCATGGACTTTCCGCCCCGGTCAACATGCTTACTTGTACATGCCAGCTATCAGCTTCTGGCAATCTCACCCGTTCTCCCTCGCATGGAGTGAAGAAGCCGAAGAGTTAAGCGCAGACAAGCTAGCTATGAATCGACAAGATGTGCTCTCTATGCGAAAGACTAGCATGTCTTTCATCATTCGAGGACGAACCGGAATGACCCACACATTATATCAGAGAGCTGCAGCAAAGCCCGATGGCCGACTCATGACAACATGCTTTGTTGAAGGACCGTATGGTGGAGAGCATTTGATGCATTCGTACGGAACCGTCATGCTTTTCGCAGGTGGTGTGGGTGTCACTCATGCGGTCCCTCATGTTAGAGACCTAGTTACAGGATTTGCGAATGGAACGGTCGCTACGCGAAAGGTGATTTTGGTATGGATTATTCAGAGCCCCGAGCATCTTGAATGGATCCGGCCGTGGATGACGGAGATTCTGGCCATGGATAGACGCCGCGATGTTCTGCGCATCATGCTATTCGTCAGCAGACCACGCTCGACAAAGGAAATTCACAGCCCTTCATCAACCGTTCAGATGTTCCCTGGCAGACCCAACATCGAAACCCTCATTGGCATGGAGGCCGAGCAACAAATCGGAACTATGGGAGTGTCAGTCTGCGGGCCTGGTGCTCTCAGCGATGAAGTCCGACAGGCGGTGCGTCGCCGACAATATGACACATCCATCGACTTCATCGAAGAAGCCTTCTCTTGGTAAACGTCGGTCTCTATTAGACCTTGGCACCACCAAAGGTTGCTCGGGTAACTCAGGTCCATATCAGGGGACCAGATACATTATGTAGCATACTGCTGCTCGGTTCGGTTGTGCATATTCCCTTTCCTTTCTGCGACTGTTGTCACAGCTTCTTGTAGATACTTCCTTCATAGATACGTCGGCCTGTCGCCATCAGATAGCCATGCCCGGATACGTCGAGAACATACGATTTGATTTCCAAATATTTTTCATGTTCCATTTTGAAGTGAATGACTATCTATTGTGACATGCAAACAAAGAACTATGTCGTCCTTAGTATTGGTAAGACATGTGTCTGAAGGAACTAGGCTTCAATTCTGTGAACAGACCTCCTAATAAAGTCAAAGGTGAATAGGTACATGAATCATGAAATGTACCCAGTGCCAAGATCGTTAGCTAAACAGACACGTTCAATAGACTAACAGCCTCATCCATATTTATCTAGGTACCCTTCATATGTTGTATTGGACGACTATTCTGAGGCATCGGAATATTCTACACATGCTCTAGAAAATGTAACATAGCACTTTAAAATAAGGTAGTACCCGTTTGTCATATGCCATTTAGTGAGTTTAATTGGGTGACGTAACTGTACCAATGTCAAGGTTCACGTTGGAGCTATTGCGACGTATTCTGTGGGGTTACCAACACGATAAGCCTGGAACGTACCTACCCCTCGGTCCCTCCTCCTCCAGGACTCAATAAAGATACAAGATAAGCCCTTTAGCGTTTCCGGATGACCTCAGCTCCAATGCCTGTGCTGCATCACGCCTGTATCGCGTGAGCTGTCTTGAACTGTCTTCTTTATCTATTTCACTATTTCACACCACTATTGATGCCAATGCATACACATATTTTCTTGTCGGAGTGAAAGTCTAAATAAGGTCTAGTATTCTAGTTCTCTTCTCTTATTTGTCTTCCGCGTCACCACATCTACCATTTGCCAGGCAGGAAACCAGTTTATAATCGGGTCGACGTCCAACTTTCAACCGTTGCTGCGGCACCCCAACGATATCTATAGTCTTATAACCTCCCGCCCTCTAACTCGAACCGGCCGGCCTGCCTCGTGATAACCACCCGATACTACAATACTTCGTACATACATTCTAGGCAACCAACCAATCATTCAATTCGTAGAGCATCCAGTCCGCGCGGACATCTTGGACACGATGGGTCTTGCGTATAATACGTATCTTAACAGCAACAAGATCTACGGATGCAAGAACTGCAAAGCACATCTTGCGAACCACGAGGAGATCATAAGCCGAGTATGTCATCCTCTTTCCTCTCTACCCGACACTATACCCAGAGCCTTTGTCCGAGAGCCATCCTTGTCCCACAATACCTCCAACCACATCACGGACCAAGCCTAAACCTACCTACCTACCTACCCATCCAACCCGTCCCTATATCCCAATAAAGCTAGTAGACTAACCTTCTTCTTCACGCGACAAACAGAACTTCCGTGGCCAACATGGTAAGGCCTATCTGTTCAACACGGTCGTCAACATCGACGCGGGGGAGCCGTCCGAGCGCAGCATGACCACGGGCCGCCACATCGTTCGCGACATCACGTGCAAGCAGTGCAAGGAGACCGTCGGCTGGAAGTACGACCGCGCCTACGAGTCCAGCGAGAAGTATAAGGAGGGGAAGTTCATCCTCGAGGCCGAGCTGCTGTGTAATGTGAGCTAGACGGCTCGTCGATCGATCGACCTACCTACCCATCTACTTACCTGGATCGAACGTTATACCGGTCGTGTGCGCGGGATCGTAGACAGGTTCTGCTGGAGGTCTGGGCGGCTGAGAGTTTGATCAGTAAGCCGTGCGTTATGTCTTCCGTCGGCTAGCGGAAAGAGGTGGGATTAAGGTCTTTACAACGCGTGTGTTTTATCCTGGGTAGCGTGGGAAAGCATGGTTCAAGGCGTTCGCGGGTACTACAAGTGGGTTTCTACAACAATGACTTCTTAGACCAGACAGGGGGTGGCGAAAGCTCTCATTTATTTACAGCAGTTTGCATGTTCGTATCCGCAGCCGATGGTTAGGTGCCTATGTGGTCTTCCGAAGTTTGATAGGTTTCCCAGTTTGACGAACTTCATGATAGCTGTTTTCTCTATTTATGTGTCTTCCGTAGGTAGGATAGATACCTAAGCCATTATACGTTGTTTTCGTGTACTCTTCGAAACCACTTACATGTTTGCATGTCCTGAATCCAATCTACGTATATTATATCATGGAGACTTTGCATGAGACCAGTCTACAGACTGTTTTCTATTACAAGAAAATAAATACGTGGTTATCTAGCCAAAACCCGTCTAGCTCTTAGAAATCGAACAGAAAGCTAGGTTCCTACATCAACTTGAAGCATATTTGTAGATTCTGCAAGTAAACGATAAATTTAACAGACAATGTAAACGCTAGTAGTAGGTTTGAAAGTATTTAGAATGGTGAATATATATACATCCACGTTAATCTTGCACATTATAGAGCCTACCGTGAGAGATGGATCGGTAGCAATCTCTACGAATGTAGGTACGATATAGAGAAGATTCAGATACTAGTTTAGAATGGCTTATGTGCACTCGTACACAAGTCCAACTTTCGGCAAAAGCATAGTTCTTTCTAAACCCAAGGAGTTCGTTATGACAATTTGATTCCTAAAGCAACCTAAATAAGACCCCCAACTAAGATATATATGCATTACAAGTGCAATAACCGACAAAACATACTCGTACTTGTACCGCAAACGCCACTCCAATGCAGTAATGTGTAGATAGTGTTATAGACCTCTTTCAAACAAGACCCTTCCCTATAGCGAGTCACTCACTCACAATGTTGCCTCATAATCAGGTCCCGCCCAGAATACCCCTGGACATGCCCACATAGTACCAACCCATCGCAAATTCCTAGTTGTGCTCGATGGGCTCTTCGGGAAGTAGCTCTTCCACTTCCTCATCGGGTTGCAGGAACTTGAACGGCGGTTGGACGACACCATTGAATAGGAAAGTGAAATAAACCAAAAGGGCAAATCCCACAACCTGCAGTCCCTTGAAGCTTTCCCATCCAAGACCGAGTGAGACAATCCAGATGAACAAGGTACGGCAGCTGTCAATAGTGGATCGGGCTGTAGCACTGACGCTGCGAGTAACGGAGAGACCGAAGAAGTTGAAGCCACTAGCAATGACATTAGCAATCCTATCCCAAAGCAGAAAATTAGAAAATGTTGCAAACTTACCCAATGGAAACCATAGTTAAAAGACTAGAAGCCCAGACAGCCTTATACTCCACCATCTGGCGGAACCCCTCAACCATATCGAACATGCCATAGCGACCAGCCTCGGTCCTACCAACGACTAAGTGCAGCACCAGCATACCGATCAGGGTAACAGCCAAGCCGAACAGGCCTTCCCAGCCGACAACCTCAATAGCCTCGATGCTAGAGCGCTCGAGCAAGAACTCCTCGAGGACGAACTGAGTCGCAGTGAAGATCTGCGCACCGGCAATGAGCACAACGCCGAGCGCGGCGCGCAACGCATCCACGGAAGCAGCATCGTCGGCAGCCTGCTTAAGCGCGTTCTTGGTATCGGGCCAAATAACACCCGCGAGTCCGACGAGCGCGACACCAGCCACGACGCCGATAAGCGACACCCACTGGAACAAGTGCAGCTTGCGCTGCAAGAAAACAACACTGAACAATCCGACAAACAGCACGAGCGCACCCCGCGTCATCTGATAGATCGAAGCAGCCACCATGAACAGACCGGCGTTAACCAGCGTCGTGCCGAGGATATCGCAGATAGCCGGCAGTGCGAGGAGCAGGATGCCGAAGCCCCTGAGGAGGCCGTCGGGGTTGCCGCGACGCTTGGCTGCGGAGGCGGGCTGGACGAGAGGGTGTTCGGAGGTGATGCTTGCGGCGTCGTCGTTGGCGTTATCCGCGTCAGCGGAGTCGACGGCCTCGTACCCGTCGGCCTTGGGACTGTACCTGCTCTTGTACTTCTGCCACGCGGCCATGATGCCGACGACGAGCCAACAGCCGACTTCGCCGACGAACATCTGCGCCGTCTGCAGCACAGGCTGCTCGAAGGTCTTCCGGTTCTTGGGGTCGGGGTCGTCGCAGTTTCGCACGCATTGGTTGTCCTAGGATGGTGGTGGTTAGCTAACTGCGTGATATCCGCCTGTCTACCTAGGCGGCTGGTTGCAGGCTGCGATAAGGCGGAACTTACTTGGTACTTGGTGAACAGCGTGTTACAGACGCCGGTGAGCAGCATCATGCCCACCAGGAAGGGGATGAGCGCCTTCGACGCCATGGTGGGTGGATGGGCTGCCGAGGTTCTACGGATTACGGAACGGGTTCTTGTGCCAGCAAGAGAGATAAGGAAGTAACACAATTGAATTGAGACGGGAGTAATCTAACACAAGAAAATAAGAACAAGTAGAGGTTCTCCGATGATGGATCAAAGGAACCTTGATGAAGCTTCTGCTGTTAATTCGAAGCTCCCCGTGGTTGGCGAGAGACAACGGTGTGAGGTTCAATCAACGTGTGTCAGACTCAGGGTCCGCCGCGTGGTTCATGAGATAAGTCGATAAAGGCTGAATTGGATTCGCTCAATATTATGTAATCGCCGAGTTAGGCACATAGCCGAATGCGTGTTAGGTGCTTCCGTGCTTTAATTGATAGTGGCAAGTGCAGGTGAACGTGTACCTTGCTGGCCATGTCCCCGTAAAAAGCTAAGACCACCTGGCAGAGCACATATTGACGCCCCCGCATTGGTCAGGCGATTAGCCCTGCGATATCTAGCTTGGGTTTAATTGGATCAAATAGAAACCCCAGACCCGACAGGCGGAACTTCCCAATAGATGGGTACCGGCATGTGCTAAAGAAATCGCATCTCGTGGACTTCCTGACCATATTCTATTGCCATCACCTGCTCAAGTGCATATTCAATGCATATTCAATGCATATTGACGGCCACTTAAGAATGTGCTACCTAGGTGTTTGCCTGCCGATTCTCATTAGTTATATTGATGTGTTTGTTGTTGCTTAGTAGCCTTAATTTATTACTTTTACTACCCAGGGTAAGGAATCTCGGTTGTCAAAATTGAAACGAGGCAACTTCCGAGTTGTGCAACTTAATTACAGATTATATCATAGCATCGATTATTATTAAAAACTCGCTTCCTAGATGTAGCCACCATGCCTTTTATAGAGGGTATCGATTCATGTACTGCTATAAGATTATGTGCAGGTAAAGTTGATATGTACCACCGTCTATAGAACCATGCTTAAACGCCGTGCCTAGGTAATCAATCACAGAATGCCTGTCTCTCGTTGTCAGTACCGAGGCTGGGCTTCTCTGATTTTCCAAACAACTTCTTCTCCTTCTTACTCCGTGCCTTCTGCTTCTCTGCTTCTGGGTCCTTATCATTAATGTTGTTGTAGTGAGGAATGCCTAACTCTTTGTCTCGCGCTAGACGTGCTATATCCCTCTTAGCCAGGGGAACACCTTCGATAGCTTTGACATGTTTTCCTTCTATGCCCATCAAAATACCGGCAGTAGCAGATGCGATGCAGGCAAGGCAAACAAAAAGACCAGTTGACCAACTGGGTCGGTCATATCGATTTAATGCCCACATGAACCCTGACAGCACGCATTGTAGAAACGTGTTCGCAACGTTGAAATAGACAACAAAATCCATCTTCCATAATTTAGTCGAAGGCGCTCTAATACCGGTCGGTGGGGCATCTGATATCGTTTCAAGGGGGTATGGAACGCTGTCGAGGTTGTAGTTTGCTGTCGTTTCTTCGATATTCTTCGGTCCAAGAGATAGTGGCAGTTGGTCCGAGCCTGCGAGACGAAACCAACCCCGATGAATTCCCGCGAGCGTCCGTAGGGCCCTCTGATCTCCGAGAATGCGATATCGTAATAAAAAGTACCAGTCGCGGAATCGCCATGGTGCTAGTCCAAAACCAGTTACACAGAACAGCGCGTTTAGAATTTGCGAATCGATTTCTATCCATATGCGGCGCGGAGAGTCGATATGGTTGCAGTCTTTGACACCATCAACCCAACACATCTCTGGCGACGCATTGCACAACAGGAGGAAGAGCATGCCACCCCAAGCTATGACATTGAGCGAGTATATGACGAGGAAGAAGCCGAAACCAGTATTGTAGAAGTTCCAAAAATCGACCAGTCCCATCCGGATCTGCTCTTTTATCGGGTATTTCGGTGGGAAATGGTATCCATTCGCATATTCCTGCATCTGAACGTCCACCGCGGCCACAGTTGATGCGATAGCAGCACCTACGCTTTCCTGCGCCTGGTTCTGGGGGATCGGTATTCGTTTGCTTAAGGATTCATTTTGTTCGGTTGCTGTAGAGACTGTTGTGGTCCGTTCGACACTGTCATCTTGACCATCTTTCGAATTTCTCGGCGAATCTGGTGTCATTTTAGATGACGTCTGTGCTAACTTCAGAACCCGATAATTCGAATGAATTCCGATTTCGAGTCTCTTGAATAATGTCGGGTTTAGTATGACAACAAAACGTGATGGGTATCAGCCGGTGATTGACGAGACGATGTCAGCTGCGCGAGAGTAACGTAAAATGAGGATCCAGTAGCAACCACGAGGGTTAAATTATTTGGGCTACGATAGCGGGTCTAGACCGGCCATAGCATAACAAGGGAAATATGAAACAATAGCTATTGACGACAACAATGTAGGTATGCACCGAATAGAAGAGACAATAAAATGATTACTTAGGTAAATTGGCAAAAGGCGAACAAAGAAGCAAAGACGTCAAAGGTAGCACAACAGGATTTGTGAAGTAGTACGAACACTTCGTACGTCGTAAGGAACCCAAATATTTCGTACGTAGCAGCGTAGGTACCTGGGTACGAGGCAAAATTGCTGAGGATTTCTTGGCATAGGACTTTAAAGGGGATCTTTTAAGAACGTTGAATGGTTGCAATCGTTAGTGCGAAAACTTCATTCGCATCAATACCGCCAAGTCAGCGCAATCAAATATGTAACGTTTTTCGGGCGAAGCGCTTGCCGTAGATAAGACTTATGACAGGACGGGATGGAATGGCTCCTTCCACTAGATTATAATTCTCTTAATCAGGTACGATCATGCGCTTGCTCACCTACACGTTTAATGTGCCTGTTTTGAGTTATCCTTGAATTCATCAGAAACAAAATGCCAACTCTCAAAACCTTGAAATAAATGCGTCATGACACTGGCTTCTAGATGTCGAATAGGTATGCAAATACATAGCCCCCCGGAACGTTTTTTCAAGAGTTCTAGATCCAGCGCTAGCTAAGGATCTGCGCCTCTAGAATCGAGAGGCGAGCCGCTAAATTCGGTATCGGTTATGGCTGAGTAAGTCCCTATGCATGCGAAGTTCGCATCGCTGAGCGAGAACGAGATTCGAAGTTTATATCTTTTTTAGAAGCTTTACGATTGAGAATATGCAACTGCTGTCAGGGGTTAACAACAATATTCTAACAAAGAACGGTTATTGGTTGTCTTTCACCCAATAAGATATTAGGTTTCAGAACCCCGGAAACAAGATGCCCAGCGTGCATCGTAGTCTTGAAGATTGAAATAAAATCATCGTGATACTTAGTTGTCTGCTTATGAAATTCTCTTTCGTCTAAGTGTGATAAATATTTAGGTTCATTTGTAGTTGTTGAGAGGCTGAAACCTCAAGGGATTTCAATGGATCGTTAGATCTTTGAATCTTAATTCTGAGAAATGATAGCCCTAGAGCTAGATCTTACATAATACACTTTCACTGCTTAGGTAGGTAATTGCCGTTTTACACCGCTTTAATTCACTCATTCTTGCCAAAAAGGTCCTCGCTTTTGACTTAAAAGATTTTCATACAACTTCAAGACTTATTCTTTACATCATTAAGGGAGTGAAGGGAGATGGCTGAGAAAAGTTACTTTGAACACCTTGCAGCCTCTGTGCTTGACAATCTTCGGTATCAACATGATTGGACCGAACTACAAATCTTGACTCATTCTCCGGTGGACAACTCACCTCTGCCGAGGCCTATGGTCTCCGGACTCCCACCTCGTCAACTTTACCTACACCCAGATGACCAGATTGAGATGCTGAAATCCAACCCGGATTTGGCAGGGCGAATTCCAGGGAAGCCCGTCGTTGAATGGGTATTACCAACCCATCTAGCCGAGAAATGGACACTCAAGGCGTTTGCAAGTGTTTTCGATTCTATGCCGCCACAACCTTCAGCAAATGCAGATCGCGTCAAGAGAGTACTGCTCGCTACGATGCACGACGATTCTACTATTGTTTACTATTTCATGCATGACGGCATCGTTAAACCTCGGCAGAACTAGACCTACGACTTGACGGTTCCATCTCACTCGATAAGAGAGTCCAGGTCCTAGGTACCCAGGTATCATCAAGCTATGGCTTGAAAATGACCTTTTGCACCTGCATCTTGTCAAACAGATCATATCCCGATACAGCCATAGAGAGCGGCATGATTTTCTCGAACATAAATCTGAGAGAAGTTAATGGCTACTAAGAAACACTGTGCTCGAAGGTTGACTTACCCAAACCGATGCTGGTTCTTAGCGAGGACCTTCAACGCATCGGAAAATATCGAGCGAACAGGACATCTTCCCATCTGTAACCTCACATTTTTGCTACATCAACATTAGCTAAGAGAAAGCAAAACGGGTAATAGGATGCCACGTACTTGTACCCTTCAGTGCCACTGAATGGGACCTGAATAACTATTAGCAGTCGTACGTATAGTGATACATATTAAAAGCTCGCTCACCTCGGCATTATGGACGCCAATGCTGCTTATGAAGCCAAAAGGCCGTAGGACGTCGAATGCTGTCTTTAGGGCGGGGCTTAGACCGACCACTTCAATAACCGCATCAGCCCCTCGGCCGTCTGTAACTTCCTTGATTCGAGCGATCATGGGCTCCCTGTCCCTCGCGAAGTTGAGGGGCTCGGCTCCTAGACTTTCTGCAAGTTGGAGGCGGCTATCAATACTGTCAATAGCGAATAAATGTTTCGGCTTATACTCAAGTGCCGAAACTATTGCGCACAGCCCTACCGGCCCGCAGCCGATGACGACGACTGTGGCTTCGGAAGGGTCCAGCGAGCCGAGCGCGTTGAAGGCGTTTCTAGCGCCAAAGAAACCTGTGGGAAAGATATCCGCCATGAGAACCAGGGCATTGTCGTCAATCTCAGGCGGCGCCTTCATAACCGTGCCGTCTGCAAGGGGTACGCGTACATAGTCGGCTTGGGCACCATCGAGCTTCTCACAGCCAAACAACAAGCTATGATCACATCGAGACGAATATCCATTCTTGCAGTAGAAGCATTTCATGCTAAACGACGCATCAACACGTAGCTCTAGCCATGTACGGAAATAACCGATTCTTACCAGGATACCGTGAACGGCGACACAACTTTATCACCAATCTTGACAGATTGAACATCTTTTCCTACAGCAACTACCGTGCCGGCAAATTCGTGGCCCATAATAAAGCCGGCTTTAGAGGGCTGGTGGCCTCGGAAGGTATGAAGTTCACTAAGGGGTTTGAGGCATTAGAAGACCGGTGAGGCGGGTGAGGCAAAGAGCTGCACAACACGTACGATCCACAGAGAGCTGTTGCATTAACCTTTACTATAATATCCTCATCATGTTGTACTGTATCTACTTGTTAACCGAAATCCTCGTGCTATTGTGAGAGAAGATGAGTTATGGGTTCAATTTACTCTTGGGCACTGGTCTTTGCTGAATCGATACCTTGTATGGGCCATCGAACACGACCGCATTCATGGTAGGCGGTAACTCCATGGTAGCACGTCTCGACTCGATAATACGGAAAAGTAAGGGGTCTCAGAGACAGCTCGAACTAATCGTCCCCTATTTGGACGTCTTGGATACGCAATCACGCAACTGAGGTTGTTCCCGTTGATACTGGCTCTTTCTGTTCCTCGGTCATCTACGCCACACCGATGTCACCAGTCACTATTGTTGTGTGGATGCGGGGGGATCGGGAATCGTGCTATGTGGAGTGGGGTAACCCTTAGTTCTTTCGGTTGAGATCTAATTATTATCAAATTATCATACACAATACACACTTGGATTCCTCCATATACAGTACAGTATTAAGGAGTCTTGTTGAATTCCCATGATACCATATATGTTTATCACTTATCTTACGTATCTTACGTATCAAACATGTTCCCTTTTGAGTTGATATCTGTTTTCTCGGGGGTCTTGGCGTTTGTCAGAGCCCGCTAAAGACAATGCTATCGTCCTAACCAAGTTTCGCGAACACTTATCAAGAGCCAGTGCGTCGGTATGTACTCTTCGACAAACTCAAGCCTCCCCGGTATATCAACAGCCGATAATATTCTAGCTCTTCTCTAGCTCTCTCCTTATATTACCGAATCCATTCGCTAGATTGTCATAGGCGTGTAATAGCCGACTTAGACAGGTTTGGTGATACGGCGACCTGATTAGTAGTTCCGACAAGTGGCACGATCGTGTACACGCGGGACGTTACCAAGATCAAGATTACCTGTGACTAACACATGTGGCGCCGCCCGATCGCTATAGTCGGTCTCTAAGTGGAGATGATGAACCGGAAACGTGAATTAGGCATGTACTATATGTACTATATGTGACTATGCTGCGGTGCAATAATACTACTTTTGGCGCCAGCAATCATCTCCACGTGTTAAGAGAATATGTGTCAAACGAGCACTTTTCAGCTCGTTTTCGTTCCGCTTGTCGATGTTGACACCAGCCGAAATAGGATCTTATGTTGGTATTGTGCATCGTAAAAAACCCCCCCTGTTCATCGGACTCGCTCGGAACTACCGAGCTCGTCTAGACTAGGACTTTGTTAGATCAAGCAGTGTTAGGCTCCGGTTCTTGAAATGCCAATTATATGCATAGGTACTTCTAGCAGATCTAGATGCGATTATCGCAGGACGCCACTTTCTAAGATTCCTCCTGCAAGAGCCTTAGAATGGTGAAGCTGCTGATTACTACGGGACCCGATGGAAGCATGTAACCTACAGTACATACATACCTACATAATATGCTATCCGCTAGTTGGCGTTTTGTTGGCGTGCGCACGTAGTCATTCATGTAGGTGGTTGGTGGGCGAAAGGGTCATACAGAGACTTTGGTCCTACCTTTTACGCAAATCTAATTGGACCTGAGAGAAGACAGTGTTAGTTAGGTGCGGCTCATAGGAGGCTCAGCGAGGGGCCGCAAATGCAGGTCAACCGAAGCGGCTGAATGAAGGTTTCAGGGAACCCGAAGCAAGGTTCTTCCATGTGTTCCCAACGACGGAAGGGGGACGAGGGAGGCGACATTTAAGAGAATCTAAGACAACAAATTGGATGATGAGTTTAGGTAGTGATGTGATATTGGCGGCTGCCTTCGAAAACTTGGAACTTGGAACTTGGAACATGATCCGAAGGAACCAGGAACCAATCGCGAGAACGCCGCATCATCTTTGTACGCTGAGCCGCCCGGCTATTCGGACAACGCCTCCCTTCTTAGTTACGCGTCCATATATAGAGGTATCTATATATAATGTATATATATATGAGCTAACTTTCTCATGTGGTATGTGTGTGCTTGATGATGTTTGGTGTTTGGTGTTTGTCTTGGGGTAAAAGGTGAATTAAAAAGTCATATAAATGGAGGATTCAATGCAGATACCCAGGCGCCATAAAGGTAGATACCCTAAGGTGGCTTTGGGGTCCGCAAACTATGCACCGTCGACGTAACCTCATACACGGTAAACTGCAATGGATTACCACATTGAATCGGCCAGCCGCGGACGGCGTGGGAAAAATGACTGTTCTGATTCTGGGTCGTGCAGGTCATAGGCATGATAGGCAACCAGTTATGGTCATCGTAAGGTCCAATTACATACATAGAAAAAATCGAGCACGGCCGATCTTCGTACTGCCTGCCGGCTCCATCGTAGGCGGGATTATGTGATGGATGGTATTGGAGAGGGACGAGCCCCTTAGATGAGAGAGCCTTGGTGCATGAATAGACTTACTCTGCATGGTGATCCGGTTGTGGAGGATGACGGTAGTGCTAATATTTTATAGACAAGGCCAACAAGACTAGGTAGTCTAATGGGAAACAATGGATGGGAAACAAATGTTTGGAAGGCTCGCAGCAGATAGATAGCCACATGAAACAAACGGCGGGGAATCTTATGAGGCCGTATTAATGCCCATACCAACATACCTGGACTACATACCTAGCTGCCTAGTAGCATACCAACCCGTTTCCGTGTTTCTAGTTTCTAGTTTCTACTTTTTTATTATCCACTTCATATCCATGGATGTACGCATAGCATGTACCTTTTTACATAGTATTTGTACCTACTCGGCTTAGATGACAGCATACGTGCTGCTGGAATACATGGATTGAGGGGATTATGCAGGTGAAAAGTCCATCTGAGGCATCTAATTTGCTGACCAAATATTGAGTAGTAGGCTTTTGGATGTCTGGACGTAGTACCAGGAACTCCGTTTGGCTCCATCAGAAGTCCCCAGCCCTCCTTCATGCTCTAACCCCCACAAAAGTAATATCTATCTCTCACTCATACGGCTTCCTCTCCAGGGCGGATTACCCTTCTACCCTTCCACATCCAATCCCTTCGTCAATCAAATGGACCTCCGTCTCTCTTCGCCGTCTGAGTATTACCTTATTGTTCCCTTATTGTCTCCTTATTATTATCCCCCTCGAATGACCCGTTGGGCTTTTGAATCACCATTCTCTTACTAATGTATGTATGCCCGGGAATGAGAATTGCGGCCCATCTGTCTACTTGGTATCTCGAGCTTTGAACCGAAGCCTCAAGACTTCCTAGTAGCGAAATATGTTATGATATGTTTCTGCCGTCGAAGCAGTAGTCGAAGCAGCAGTCCCTCGCATACGCACCTTTTTTGGGAAAGTCGTCTGAGAGATAGTATCTTTCTTTAGAGGCCTCCGGCGAAACGTCTCCACAAGAGTATGAATGGTCCTGCAACTCAACTCCTCTTTCTGTTACCGGGATCATCGAGACCTAAGGTTTATTAAACTGACCCATTTCGCGGTCTACCGAAACGCTCGACGTCCAGACTGTCAAATATGTTTCCTCTTTGTCTCGGTGATATTTTCCTACTAGACAGCTAGAGTAGGGCCTTTTTTTAGTAGAAGATGCGAGAGGAGGACCGTAACCGTGCCCGACCCAGTGATCTCTCACAGCGAGAGGTAGGCCGGTACCTAGATTAATAAGTAATAAGACAGGGCACAGGGCACAGGGCAATACAGGGCAATACTCTCCGCACGCACATCGCACATCCATGCATCATTAGGCACGCCGCCGGGGTTTTGCGGTCAGCGGCCTGCAGATGCGGCTGTATCATCGTGCGATACGCATAGTATGTACTATCGAGTCCACGTCACGACTAGAAAAGGCCAGACCTTACTCCATCCTGCCCGTGCGTCCATTCAGAGCAGCGTCTGTATAGTGCTACCGAATTATGCCAATCCCACCCTCGTTTTTGCGTTTTGCGTGGGCGGCACGTTGTTAGAGTCTCAGACATAATACCTAGTAGACATTAAGAGAACATCCTTATGCCAGCCCTGGAGGTGCTGCGTTCTTTATCATACTAGTCCCTAGTTAGACTTAGTAGTACACCTAGGAGTGGTAAACGCCGAGCCCCATTATCATCATGTCCATACTCGGAAGCTGGAGAAGCATAAACCACTATGTAATCGGTAATCAAGACAATGAGGCTAGTTTCCTTTTGCCAATACGGGCTCTTCCATCTATCCCCGTGGAGACTCGCCATTTTCTTTTTACCCCAAATAATCAATCTCGGTGAATTTTAGAAGCTTATGAGTCTCCATAGAATCGGTCGTGCCGCATGCTCGCGCTACTGTAGGTGTTCTGTATTAAACGAGTGATATATTGTGCGAATAATCCCCGCCTCTCTGTTCACTTCCCCGTCTCCTCCCCCTCCAAAAAGTCGCTTCGGACGCCTTATTCTATACATATCTCTAATCCGGATTCGTACGAATATACGGCTCGTTGCTGCAACACATTTCTAGTGGATACTAGGTAGCCAAGAGTGCATACGCCTCAACATTACCCCCAAATTTACATATATGCTTGTAAAGACCTGTAGTGTATTACGAGGCGCGCAAGGTTTCCGCTTCCATTGCTTGCGCCGGCTAGAGTGGCTGAGCAAACGGTCTCGATTGCCGATTGCCTTCGCCTCGCGATAGGTCCTAGGTAATGAGTGACTGGTGAATGGTGAACGGTGAATAGAGAGGAGGTAGTTTGGTAGAATCTTTTCACTTTTCACTTAAGTTTCGCTGTTCCTTTCCTCTCTCATTGTTGAAGCCTTGTCATGTCATACTGTATGTACTCAGCCTTCTCGTTCGACCAAGCACCTTGTGAGAGCGGTGTTCAGTGACGTCTGAATAAACGAGGACAGAGAGTGCCACCGACGATATTGGGTCGTTATCTGGGTCGCCGCATGTTTCCAATACTACCTGCTTCATAATAGCACCGCATTTGCTCGACCAGTAGCTTAGGCGCCTCTTTATCCCCGCAAAAAGCCGGCCTTTTTCGATATCCTATCCTGCCATCTGACACACTCGACATCCATTTCCACTCTCGTTCTTACCCTAGCCCCGGTGGACGCATGCTCGTCGATCAAATTTGGTCGTGTTATCACCCCGTCGCCGGTTTTTCCGTAGTCTTACGGGTCCGTAAGGGGAATAGCGCAACACTCTGAGCGATTTGCGAATAAAAAGTTGGAAATACCTACAGCGTATGTATGTATGTATGTATGTCCGTCATATAAACGTATGGTATGTATGAGTTATCGCTTCACATACAATATCTGTATGTGTGGAATATACCGGAAAACAAGGAAGAGAATTGATTTGGCTGTTTAGACTGTTGCTAGTGTTAGAGTGGGTTTTGCGAATTCATTCATAACACGCATATACCGCATCTACCACACACAATCCTCTCATCAATCCGTTCTGGGGATCGCAATCCGGGGGGATTGTGAGGCTTTGGCGCATTGCACCATTGAGAGGCGCAAACCAGAATTACTAAAAAGTCACTAAAACGACGGAGACGGGGATAACCCAGTATGCTCCAAGGTAGGCCGCAGGTACAAGTTGATTTAGTCTTACATTAGCTCTGAATTCACTTACCTAGAGCTGCTAGAGGTATCGGCATATGTATCTAAGTACAAATTTACCTACAAAGGTAAAGGTTGAGAAAGATACGGCGATACAGAAATTGGACAGTTACAAAGTTACAGAGATACATACTCGAATAGGTGAAGGTACGGGCGATAACTATTACGACGCTACCACTGAGGTAAGTACCTGCCTACCTCTTTTTTCCAAAAATTCCCTGGGACCTTCCATGAAATCATCTCTTGGATCATCCACTCGCAGCCGCATTCTTCGCCGCACGCCTCTTCCTTCTTGGACCGCTTCAACCTCCTACATAGCATTGAGTGGGTCACCATTTTTGACCCATTCAATTGTACTATGTTGCAACATCCCCAGACTCATCTCTCAATTGGACATTCACAGGACATTCACACATTTTTACCAGACACCCAGAATCCCAGATAACCAGACCTAGTAGCAGAGTATAGTATGTTAGTCACCTAACCTAGCTTGGGTAGTTATTGCTAGGTGCCTCTAGGGCTACTGTACTGTCTACCATAATTTCCATTATCTCAATATCTCTCACTTTCTCTCCCAATCTCCCCATCTACCCATCTACCCATCTCCCAATTTCTTACTCTTGCACTCTCTCTCACCCTCTCAATTTCCCCCATTCTAATACATGGTCAGGACAGACAGGGCTGGGTTACGTTTACATTACTAGGCTCTCTCGCATCTTCTCTTCCTTCTCTCCTCTTTTAATTATTCTCCCTCTCTCCAGTTTATCACAAGGTTGTTCCCCACACCATCTACTTAGAAAGCGACATGACGGAAGTGACATCGTTTCTGACTTGAATTTTTCCCGTTAGGATTCCATGTCCCTTTGAGACTTAACCGCACCCCTGCCAAATTTGTCCAAGCAGAAAGAGAGAAAAAAAGAACTTACAAGAGTATCGACCCCCGGTCTTATTAAATGCGGGTTTTGCCTTTCGGGCCTGCCTATCATACGGCGCAATCTGGCAATTTAACTGATCGAAACGATCCCATCTGCTTACCAGCGCCAAATCCAGGGACCACTGCCCCCCAAAGCAACGAACCTCGCTGTCTAGGCTAGCTAGTACCGAGCACTACATATTATACCTAATACCTCGAGTCCAGGGCTACCTATCGACCAGGTATCTAGGTACTTACTTACCTACCTAGGTACCTACATATTACCGCGTACATTCTACAGGACCTCCAGGGCTAGGCCATCAGATCCCCATCCCGACCCAGGCTATTCCGTATCCCACATCCCACCACTGGCACCGACGAAAGAGACATAGCGGCAAGACAAGACTAAGACCCAGGACCCAGACCAAGACCAAGAGAGGAGGCTCCGCAGCGCAGCACCTCCCCCGCCTTACATTACTTTATTTGCGCCAAAAACCTTACCTTGCCTGACCTGCCTGAACCTGCCTTAACCTGCCTTACAACGACGTTACCACGCAGCACCACCGTACCACCCCAATATCAAGTCTCTTCTTCTTCGTCGGTCACGAGGGTTTACTTCATTAAGCCCTTGGCAGCAACTTCGAAGCAAAATAAAATAAAATAAAAATCATAATCCACATTACAAGCCTATTCCAAGCTAGTCTCCGTGGCCCCATCCTTCCCCCATCCAGGAAAGACACACTTGCCGTTATACCCAGCATTGTCACCGTACCTACCTGGGTACACTACCGTACTTACCTTTCTGTCGTCTAACCTAAATCAAGCATTAACCGCACCGCATCCTTCTTCTCCAAAGATCCTATCCTGATTCTACATAGCCGACCCCCTTCCATTCTTTATTCATCACCCCCCAAAAATCTTTTCCCCCTGGTTGGATTTCCTTTTTTCTTCTTTTCACATTTTCCCGCGGCTCCCTTGCCAACCTTGCGCCACTCTAGCCAAGGGACTTCTTCAGTTCTGAGCTAGATAGCGCGCGCAACCACCCCGTATTTCCCATCGATAGGGTCCAAGTACCCACCAATCCGCAGTTGCGGCTCCTTGCGGCGGATAAGAGCCAGTGCGCCGTGTTACTCTATTACTCACGGTTTGGGCTCACTCGTCTCGTCATTTCTGACAGGCTAGTGTGCGCTTGATTACTACTACTACTTTCTAACAAAACCGTAACTACACTTGTATGCGAATGGGAGGGCGACCGCGACTTTGACTGTGTTAATACACTTTTGGCGCAATCACTACTGTCACCCCTCCGTACGACAGCTGGTAACCTCGTCTTGGTTTCCCGATGATGACTTGAGCAGACCAGTGCGTGAGTAAAGGCCACTCCATGCCAGAGCGTGAAGACATGACTACGACCGTCGGTTCGGCCCTCGCTCACGACCCTTCAGCTAGCGACGTGTACGATCCGGATGACGTTTTGCCTAAGAACAGTCCCTTAATGAAGGCTCACCGCCCCAAGCTTGAACCCTCGCCCTCCCCGCCGGCCTTACCTCTTCCCAAAGTCAGTCTTCTTCCTCAAAACGGTCGAAAGTCTTCTAATCGTCGACAAAAGATCCGCCCGAGCCTCGGCGATGCCGTCTTAATCCACTATCTCGACGGTGGGAAACGGTCGGATATTGTCGCCGAGGCGTGGTCGCAACCTCTGTCGTATCACGGCGACGACGACGACGCTCGAAGCAAAGGGGATACAGAAGAGACGTTCGATGGGTCGGGGGACGAGGACGAAACAAGGAGTCACGAAGAAATGTCACCAGTTCCAACGCAGCGTCGCACTATACGCCCAACCGACCCATCAGCATCAAAGTCTATAGAACTGCAGTTTCTCGCGACTAATGCCGTGTATATGCTTACCGCTGCCAGGGCGGCTTCGGGAATTGTAGATTCAACGGATTGCTCACAGGCTCCAGATGATGATTCCAGAGTCGTGCAAAGAACGGTACAGGATCAGGCTTCGAGGATGGATGGTGCACGAGACGATAATGCGATGAAGGATACGAATAGGCCGGTTCTTGCCGCACCTATCTCCCCTTATCCGTCGCAAACTTCGCAGGAGATGTTCTCTCCTCGGAGTTTTACGCCAGGCCATGGAATTCTGATGCACCCTAGCAGCGTTCAACGGTCGCCACCTGGTCTTAGTCCTCCTTCAGGCCATGGGGAATTGCCTCCGATCCAGGAGACGTCCCCAAAATCTGACACATCTAACCACGAATCTCTACCGTCGATAAGATCGCAACTGCTTGATCAACTTACAGGTCCTCCGAAAGAGTTGGCTATGCGCAATGGGCATCAATTTCCCCACTCCCCCCCGGGAGCGCCGCCACGGATTGGAATTCCCGGGAGCCATGGTTCGCCTCCGATATCCCCGAACGACGCATATCGTCACCAAAGCCACAGTATACCTTCCCCACCTCATACGCTTCCCAATATGAGTCCTTACGGATTCCCCTCGCAACATAACGGCGCGAACCAGTATAGGTCAAATCTGGATTATAGCAGCAGTAGCAATGCAAACACGCCAAGTGGTAGCGGCGATGTCTCGACACCCGCTACTTCGATTACGATCACCGAGCGGATGAGTATTGATGCTATTTCAAATCCGGTCGGCACTTTCATGTGTGCGGTACCGGGCTGCAACGCGCCTCCGTTTCAAACACAATATCTCCTTAATTCGCACGCGAATGTGCATTCTTCCGCTCGTCCGCATTATTGTTCCGTGAAAGGTTGTCCACGAAGCGAAGGTGGCAAAGGTTTCAAAAGAAAGAATGAGATGATTCGTCATGGGCTTGTCCATGATTCGCCTGGGTACGTGTGTCCGTTCTGTCCAGATAGGGAGCACAAGTACCCAAGGCCGGATAATCTGCAAAGGTAGGGTATTTCTTAGATCTAACGAAAGTGAATACAGCGAAATCTAATTAGAGATATAGGCATGTACGAGTTCATCATGTCGACAAGGACAAGGATGACGCTGCCCTTCGCGACGTGCTCTCGCAACGTCCGGACGGACCTAACCGAGGACGAAGACGTCGCGGCGGCCCGTAAAGCTCTATCGGGAGCGAGCTGATGAAACGAGAGAACGCGAAGAATGATTGCTTCCGACATTATGATATTTGCCTTTCGAATCTTAGATGTACATATGGAGCAGATGATATCCTGGGGGTGGCTGGTTCTGATACTTTGGGACGCCGGTGTGGCGTCGTTGATATTGATTGAGGCATGGGACTTTACGAATCATATCTCAACGGGAAGGGAGTTGGCGTTCTGGGCGTAGCCAATTATACCACAAAGAGGAGCGCTTATGTTGGCCTTTTTCTAGTTTTGCTTTTTTTTCCTTCTATTTTTTTTGGCTGCCCATTTGTACTCCATTCGCTTACCACCCCGCCATCGGGGTTTTTGAAGACGCGGGGTTATAGGGAGCTACCGAGAGACGATACAATCACAGTCCCGCGACCGCGGGGTTGCGTGTCACAAAGCTGGCGAGGCGGACTAGAAGAGGAGTCTGCCTGCAATATTTCTATTTTTGTCCGATTCGTGTTCATAGTTGGGGAGAGAAGATACATAGCGAAGGGGGTTCGAGATCTTAGCTAGAGGAATTCTTGCGAGCACCAAAAAAAGAGGATCCCATGCTCGTTTTTTTTTTCTAGCAGTTGGACCGGACGAAATGTCTGGGTTGGGAGAAGCCATTATCTAGGTACGCTCGTGATATCGAGCACCTTTGAAACGGTAGCGTCTGCGATTTACCACGGAAACAAATGACAAATACATTATATTCATTATGACAATCCTTGTTCGTGTGTGATATGTGGATTTGGATCGGTGATGGGTTTGGTACGCATAATCTTGGGATTTCAAATGAGATGCTATGGTGGCCTATATTATATGATTTAAGGTATCTATATAGGTCGTCAAGTCGCGCCGAGAAAACCCCTCGTCCCCTTTTTGGTATCCTTGCGTTGTTCATTATCATACTGACTTCTTTCTCACTACTCCTCTTACGGCTAAGCTATAAGGCATACTATATACCATTTCTTCGTTCGGTGTAGTCTTCATGACTCATCATTGTCACCCGTCTTTACCCCTTTTTCATTCTCATTCTCTCCTTTATAGTAGGAACTAGCTACCAAACCCCCATAACAGAGTCTTACTAAGTACCCGCCAAACCAACCAAGTCGGGAGATAATCAATCATCGATCCCCTCCCAAGCGCCGACGTTCACGGGGCCTTCACTCAGTATCTCGACCTGTAGCCCGTCACCACCACCGCCGGGAGCAGGCGAATTGTATAAACCCAGTAGCTCGACGACGAGCCATAACCCGCCGGACCGGGGGTCGATGTCGAAATCACTTGTGCGTAGGCCGTTGGGACCGACTTCCTTGAATTCGGGGGCGTGGTTGTTGTTGTAATTGGTATTGGTATTGGTGTTACTGTTGCCGTCGGTGGACGCGAGGATCAATCGATCAGGTCCGGTGCCGAATTCGACTGTTGCGCGGACGGCGGGATGGGGGCGGGGGGTGGAAGTGCCGGTGGGATAAGTGGCGTGAGGGGTGAAGTTCCGTGTGATGACGATACAAGCCCGCGTCAACCGTGCCGCGGAAACCACGGCGCGCTTCTTCTTATGAGGCTCGCTCCCGGCTCCGGCTCCTGTTGGGGGGATACAAGTAGGCAGATCAGTTAACCGCGTACGCAGCATCCCCGCGGCGTCGGCTGGCACGGGGGCCACGGCGCAAGGTGCGTCTGATCCTACGCGCAATGCGAAGTCGCCGAGGTACCCTGGTTCGAAGGTCGAGCATACGACGGTGTAGGTTCCGGCGTCCACGCTCTTTGCTTCAGCTAAAGCGCAGCCGCGCCTGTAATCGCCGCTAGCGAGTACGAGGTCCCGGTTTCCTACGCTTGCGACACGACGCCCACCGGCCCATACGAGGGCTACGTGGACGGGCATTTCGTCTCGCGCTGTACTTAGGAGTAGACATAGGGGACCGGCTCGTGGTAAAGTGAGACTGAACTGTGGATTCGATAGGTACGAGGCGGAGGCAGAGTTGCCGCCGGCCGTGCGGCGAGTCCAGGACCCCTTGACATCGGTGTAGTGGCGGAAGGGTGATGGCGCTGGGGCGATAGTCAGGGGGCTGCGAGAAAAGAAGGATAGCGTGAAGGAGTATTTCGGAAGCGGGAGCTCTTGCGTGGCGACGACGACGGTGTAGGTTACACCGCGCTTGGATTCGAAGGCTGCGAGAGTCTGGGGGGAGTCGACGAAGTCGCTTCGGTAGATGGGTCGTGTGTTGAGGGAGACGCGCTGGCCAGAGTGGTCGTCGAAGATGTATATGCTTATGAAACCGAGTTTACTAGAGACCTCGGCGAGAGTAGTGTTAGGGTTGTAAGTAGTATCGTCCTCGACGTGGAAAGTAGTATGGGCAGTGCCGGTGCGATGGTTGCGCATGATATTGAGCTCGTCATCCTGGAAGTGCCGGCTCAATAGGATCCAAGTGCTGTCATCCGCAGAAGCTTTCATAGAGTACTGCGGGTTATGGGCTAAGCAGGAGCCGCCGATCATGGTGGCGTCCGGGAGCTGCCAGGAGAAGTGATGGTCTTGGCGTTCGGTAAAGAGGCTCGGATTCCAGTTCAAGTAGAGCGACTCGAAGTTTTGCGTCACGTCATCGAAGCTAATCCAGAAAGACCCGGGTTTTAACTTAATGGGATGATCCTCTGTTGCCCGTGAGGATGAAGCTTCGGAAGATCCGACACCTTTCCAGACGAGGCCGTCGCACCAGGGATTTTTCACCAGCAGTTTTCTGTTTCCAGATGTCTCTGACATATCGAGGACGGCGTAGTCATGTTCGCCTGCTAGCCCTAATGTCTCTTCTTCATCTAGTGAGAGCCGTCCCGTCCCTAGAGTGACCACCACATCGCCGTAATCGTAAGCTTTCTTGACACGCTTCCACGTACGTTCCCAATCTAAATCATCACTTTGCAGAAAAATCTGTTGCGGTATCCAGCCCGTCAGCGCACACAAGTCGGTACCAGAATTGCTCCCCGGAAAATCGTAGCCGCCGCGAACCTTGAGATAGGCCTTTTCCATCAGTGCAGGCCAAATGAGATTCGGATTTTGACGGTCGACGACGTAGAGTGTACGGTCTGTTGCAGACGACGGGAGTCGATCATCGATGACGACTTTGCGAAAGCAGCCGTTGATGAACATTCGGAATACGTACTTTCCGGTGACAGATAGTTGGGGTTGTCCATTTTCGGAATTGATGGGGAACATCAAGGCAGGTAGAATTGACGTAGGTCCCGGTCTTAGGTGCCTCATGCAGGCACAGAGGCTTGCGACGACTGAGCAGTCTGTTGTTATGTCCTGGACTAAGTCATAGTCGTTTCGCGCCTCCATTAAAGAATCGTTGATTTGATTAGGTTGGATTCCTCGGCCCACGATCTCCATGGGACGTTTCCAGCCTGCGAAGACGGCTCTTTGGCGTGAGGATAGAGAGAATTCTGCGGTGTCACTGAACTGGCTCCCACTGAATTCCCTAGATTCAGGGTCCGATTCCCAGGGTAGAAACACATTTCCGTGGAGCCGAGAGCTGCGAAGGAGAATGGCCTGTTCATTTTTGGGAATCTGGCGAGCCTGACGTGGTAGCTTAAGACGTTTCTCCACGGCTGCAACACTACTTCCTCCGAGTTGACCTGATTTCTTAAGCTCTTCCGCTTTCGAGATAAGTGACTGGCACTTTTTAGTAAGTCGAGTTTTCTCCTCCGAGCTAGATGTTGCTCGGGCGGCTCTCATATACAGCTCTGCAGCTGCTATAGCATGATCAAGGGCAGCCTTGCCATGTGTGCTAGAGACGAGTGCCTCTCGTTCCTGAACTTTGTCAGATTTATAAATGATTATTTTAAAGAAGTACCTCTTACCTTGGCTTTTGCCTCCATAGTAAATTGTAACCTTGGCTATTGTAGCCTTGGGTCTTTGGATGGATAAAACCCGATGGATGAATAGAGGATTTACCAAGTAGACAAGCACCGATGGCACGGTTATAATTTCCACGTTGATTGAAGCTGGCAAACATTAAAAGCAAGATATTCCAGCATCAACCGGTTCTCTATCATAATACAAGACTCTGTTCAATGATACATGTTAAATATGTATCGGGAAGATGGTAACATGCTGTAAATAAGTGATATAGCCCATAGAGATAACCCACAATCCTATAGACCACAACTGTATAATGTGGGGATAGGTACCTATATAAGGAAAGAGGGAAAGGAAAACAAACAGAAGAAAAAGAAAGGCAATAGATAGATATCTTGATGTTACTTCATCTTAATATTTCGCTTTTTGGTGAGACTAGAGGCCTACAGCTACCCGACGCTGAAAATACCCGATTGTTGCTTCGTGACTCGGTCACAGCCGTTCATAATAGGTCGTGCCTTCGGGAACATATTCGGAACAGGCCTGGGTCGGGCTGTTGACAGCTGGAGATTTGAATGGTTAAAGCTGTCAAAAGGAAATATCATTGATTAGATGAAAGCTGCTTAGCCCGATTGTATGTATGTACATAAGTGCCTTACATAAGAACCTTGAAATGCATATACCGGATTAATATATCACCGAAGAGGATTCCCAAGATTTATGGAACCGTGGCAATGGAAGGCACGTCTTTGTCCCGCATTCGATTGTATCATTCGTGCGCATTCTTAGATGCCGCGGAGGTGGATCAGCTAGCACTCAATGGCCGAGGTTCATAATTCACGAGCACCTTTTTAAACTCGGCTTTGCGTCGTCCATTCACCGGGTTTCGCATTATCGGACAACGACGTCAGGGCAACTTCATTGTCCTTGTCCGTTTTAAATCCAAATCTTCTTATACAAATCCTATGCCCTTATATATAGATATTTCCTTTATCAATGGAGGTGTACACTGATACTAATATCTAAGTTGCGTTTCCTGCTACATGTCTCAGTAGCAATTAAAGGGTCTTATTAGTGCCTTTTAACCAGACGACGGCTTTATCCGCAAAGGTGCAGCTTAGCTGGGAGTCTTAGTATTAGTCCACCAGTCCACCTGTCTTACCTTCGACCTTGCTACCTAGGTAGCTAATAATCTAACAATTGTGCCCCAACCTTCCTTCATATCTACCTAGATACCTAGATACGGGTGCATCGTCGATCCATACGTCCACAGCGCAACTTGCCGAGTGGGACGAATACATATTTCCTACCCGCAGGAATCCGTAGGAAACATTACTCGCTTGCTATGGCCGCACAATCGAAACCTGTCCCGTTACCATCATGGGGTTATGCTGTAGCTGGTTCCACTGGGGCTGTCTTAGCTAACGCTCTGGTATATCCTCTGGATATGTAAGTCCGCCCGCCTGCTGCGCGCTGTGCGTTGCGTAGCTATTCTAAACAGTAATGCGCGGAATTGATACTAATCCTTTGTTTGGTTTGACAGAGTAAAAACGCGATTGCAAGTCCAAGTAAAACGGAAACCCGGAGAGACGAGCGAACATACCGATCCCCATTATGCCTCAACCTGGGACGCAATCTCTAAGATTTCTGCCGAAGATGGAATTAAAGGATTATATGCTGGCATCAATGGCGCTCTATTAGGAGTGGCTTCTACCAACTTCGCCTACTTCTATTGGTACTCGATCGTGCGGGAGCTCTATTTCAAGTCGCAAAAATCACCTGCACCGCCATCTACGGCTGTCGAATTGATACTTGGAGCAGTAGCCGGTGCAGTGGCCCAATTGTGCACAATTCCCGTTGCTGTAGTTACGACAAGGCAGCAGACACAGAGCAAGGCAGATAGGAAAGGTCTAATTGATACGGCCCGTGAGGTTATCAACAGTGAGGATGGTGTTTTTGGTCTCTGGAGGGGACTTAAAGCTAGCTTGGTGTTGGTCGTTAACCCGGCCATTACCTATGGCGCTTATGAACGTTTAAAGGGCGCTCTCTTTCCTGGGAAGACTCGTCTCACTGCGGGAGAAGCTTTCCGTAAGTTTTTCTGCTTGTGGTATCAAAGAATCGAGCTGATTATGACTCCGTAGTTCTTGGTGCTATGTCGAAAGCACTAGCCACCCTCGTCACGCAACCTCTTATAGTTGCCAAAGTCGGCTTACAATCAAGGCCCCCGCCTCAACGTCAGGGTAAACCGTTCAAGGGGTTCATCGAGGTAATGCAATTTATCATTCAGCACGAAGGCTTAATGAGCCTCTTCAAGGGCATCGGCCCCCAGATTATAAAGGGCTTTTTGGTGCAAGGCTTACTTATGATGACTAAAGAGCGGTAAGTTACAATTCATTATCAAAAGAGGCGCTTCTTTATTGACATTCTCTCGCAGGATGGAATTCCTATTTATCCTACTATTCAGATACGTCCGGAAGCTCCGGTCAGAGCAGCTTGCCAAAGCGGCTACACTTGCAGCAAATGCTGCCTCCAAGGCCAAGGTCGTTGTCCCTATCACAACTAAATAACAATACGGCTTAATAGAGGTGTCTTATTAGTCTTATTAGAAGGGGAACTCACGGATCGGGTCATCTTGAAAGATATGAGTCTAGGGATAGATGTGTGTATACACTAGACAAGGGATGCTTCATTTATATTATCGTATGCACTACAGGTTAGGAGTCTAGGCAAACATAGGACAGGCATATAAGAAAATTCTATCTCACAGCGAATTTGCATCATAGCATATGGCCTTAGTATAAAATTGAAAAATAATGAATTCGGCATACATTTGCATAAAAACGCCACAATGCGACAAAAATTATGATGTTTGCCATATTGCCACCAGCTGGACGCAGCTGCCAGTCTTGGGTCTCGGAGGTGGGGACCGCCCCTGCAAACATCGGTAATTTTCCACTGTGGCTTGACCCCTCGCTTAATTTTCTGCCCACAACTGCTAATACCAAACCCACGAAAGGAACAGAAGAACTTCCACTTTTTACCGATAGCATCATTCTTCGTCGATTTCCGTGTCCTTCCCAATTATCCGACACAAACTCAGTCGCAATGGCGAGTATGTTATACGAATTATATATTATTTCTTAGGAAGGGTATTTCTAACAATTAATCTTAGAATCCAAGAACTCGTCTCAGCACAACCAGTCGCGCAAGGCTCACCGTAACGGGTATGTCAAATCCGAGTCGATAGCTAGACAAAACGCCCATCTCGCCTACCAGATCATACCTAGCTAACGGGTTGATGATATTTAGTATCAAGAAGCCAAAGACCAACCGATACCCGTCTCTGAACGGAACAGACCCCAAGTTCCGCCGAAACCACAGACATGCTCTACACGGCACCATGAAAGCTTTGGTACGTTGCTCGATTGATCGCGGGCATATGGTCGATTCCTCGCAGCGAAATAACGGCAGATTGCTAATTATCAATGCAGAAGGAGTTCAAGGAGGGCAAGCGAGAAACGGCATGAAGTGGTAGACACGAAATATCAAGACACGACATCGCGATTGCGTATCAGGGCAAAATTCGGGGACATTCAGGCATGATCATGGAGTCAAGGTTATGCATTTGCTGCTTGTATCCAGGCACGCTCTTCTACGGCGAAGATGAAGGGGTAACCAAATGAAGTTACGTTCGCCAACCAATCTCTCGTGCTCTTCCGTTCCCTGCTCCGCATATATCTGGATCACCCGTGATGAACAAAACAAATCAAAAACGGCATATGTGTGTACAGCTCTAGGCCTATCCCATGCCTATTTGCTGAAGGATTTTTCTTCTCGTGCCGAGAGTAAATTGCCCGTCTATTACCAAACACCCGTGCTTCGAGTTGCTCTAAGGCGAGGGTGCATGGAGGCTCGGCAACATTCCTAGTTGTCCTATTCTGTTCCTATTAGGTCATTGGATCTATTATCCTCCATCGTAGTTTGTTTTTTAATAGGTCAAATCGATAAGTCGATTGTCATACTAACTTAGCTATGCGAACCAGCGTCATACGATTTAGATATAACTTTGCTAAGTAGTAGGAAATTTATGTCAATTTTGAGATGACGAGTTCTTTTAAGCAATATACTGGTATCATTTACTGCGGACGAGGAAATCAAAGGGCCACGAATGGCGAGACGTGACATGTCTCAAGATTAACCATTCGTTATATATGATGTTACCAAGCTCTTTGCAAAAAAAAGAACTTGGAAATAATAGCGACATGCACTACTTGTTAGGTACTTTGATGTTTATACTAAATTTGAGAGGCAACTTTTTATATGACATATAATATGTACCTCTAACTTTCGATCAAATATACTATATCTACTCCTAGTCATTTTTGATCAAAATAAATTAGGACACAGACGTGTTCCTGATGCGACTTGCGCGAGTTTGTTGCCGCTCTACGAAGTACACTATGCAGTTCGTAATTCTTGGATGGATAGAAGCCCTGGAAGCCCTGTGTGGATGATCAGTGCCCCAGTAGACGTTTAGGGTGTTTCGAGTTATTCTAGCCTCACTAACCCAAAATCGGGGTACCTGTACGACCTGTGCGACGCTAGAAATCGACAGAAATAGACCTTTCAGGGGCTGGGTTCCGAGCGCCCGCCCCCTAAAAGATTCGTCACAGCTTGCCAATGAACTGACCCTTTTCAAGTATCCACGTTGTACTGTACTACGACTGTCGCAGCATTTAGATTGAAGCTTAGCGCTGAGCCATTCAGATGCATGCAAGTCGTTGCTTCTGCCTCAAGGCTCAGACTGCGTGCGACTAATAAGGTTATGAAATTCTAAAATCCAGGTACATGTCCAGGTACATGCCCAGGAGAATTATTAGAGGTAACTACCCCGCAGGAATGGTAGGTAAAAGTGACATGGTGCCAAAGCTACGTAAAAGTATTACCTGTCCATTTTAAAGAGCCCTGAAGAAGGTTACAGCGCGCTCGGCTCATCCTTACATGCACCAAAAGTTTCCTCTGCAGTCGCTGCAGCCTTTGTGTCCAGGCTGCCCAGACTGCAAGGGTCTTTCCGAAAGAGTTTACCGTTTCCACAGCCCAGGCTTTGTACCCGAGTCCTTTTGCTCCATCTAACCAATTCTCTACGGCTTCGTTTTTTTCTTCTTCTCCTTCTCTTCCTCTTCACATCCTCCTCCTCAGCAGCTCGAGGGTAATCCTGCCGCTGATTCCTTTCTTTTTGGCCTTGGAGTACAAGTTGATCTGAGTGTTATTGTTGGTAAGTTTGCTTTAAAATTTCTCTCATACGCTTATGTTTCGTATATCCGTCGCATTCGGGTTTTGTGGTTTGGGTCCTTCGACACATTGACGGCCATTCACGAGAATTCAATGGCAACCGCCCCCATTTGAAGATCGTTAGAGTCGACCGATAGGCTCTTCCTGATTGTCACCTTGTTAGGGCAATATTTACGACAGCATTTACCAACAACTAACGACTATATTTTCCATATCTGTCTTACAAACCCATATCCTTGGATCGGACTATCTATCACACGCCCCTTTCGCCCCTGATTAATATGGCAGCTTGAAAAGAGCTTCAAGCGACGGTGAAGTTTATACTAACCTGTTTTCTTTTCGCAGTCACGTATCTAATCTTCTGCATTACCAATAATCACTTCTTCCCAACTGCCTCCTTTCAAAGACTCCTTTGAGGTCAGCAGGCTACTGCAGGAGTTCTCGAGAGAAAGAAAAGGTATTCTGCCGTCGTTCTCTACCAGAGAGTTGAACTCGAGCCTTGCAAGTCAATCATAATACGATATTACGATTACGGAAAGCTAGTGCGCTACGCTTCCCTTTAAATTTATTCGTCGACAACCCGCCTCTCACCGGTCTATTCGCTCTAAAGTAAACGAGCCACATACTGGCTACGCACTAACCCCCGGATTGTTTTACCATCCCTAGTACAAGTAACGCCAGCATCGACGTCGCTATTACCACGGCCTACCATCACCACATTATAGCTACAGCTGCTTATACCAGCAACTACTAGAAACATATCGCAACTTGATTCTATCTATTAGGTACATTGAGTGCGATATTTAACATCCATCGAAGTTTTAGCATCTCAAGATAGTGTGTCGAGATCGCATGTCACGGACCCTCCACCGCCCCTCAAATACTTTTTCGAAGGCTTTTTAAGCTGTTTTATCTGCACAGCCCCGCGACAATACGATTCTCTACTTACTTTTTGCATTCGGTCAAGTAGCCTTTCAACAATTATCTGTAGTCACAGGAATTACAGTGTGGCAGTGAAAAAGGGTTTTTACTTTGTTGGTACTTGGAAAGTTAACAACAACGAGCTACTTTCAATATGAACCGCAACAGCACTCCGGAGGCCTCGACTGCCTCGTCGCTACGCCCACCTTCTTCGCGAACAGTCGGAACTAACAATCACCACCTTCGCGCATCTGCCGACATGGCTGCTCTTGCCGGACCCGCGACTTCGAATCGTATCCGTCCCTCTTCAGATTTTTACGGCCAGCAAGGACAGGGTCAGGGGGGTGTCGATTCAGACCCGCAGGACAAGGTGACCCAGCAGTGGATTGCCGACATTGACCAATATGAGACTACTTTAGAGGAAATGGCTGCTGCAACCCTGGACCAGGATTTTAAGGACGAACTCAGTGCTATAGAACAGTGGTTTCGAGTTTTGTCCGAAGCCGAGCGTACCGCTGCTTTGTATGCGTTACTTCAGCAGACTACTCAGGTCCAGATCCGTTTCTTCATCCAGGTTCTTCAGCAAATGGGAAAAAACCATCCTATGTCTGGTGTATTATCACCAGCCAACTTCGATAAGGGTACGTCCATTAATATTGCCTGGCTTATGTGCAACAACTAACGAGAATTGTTATCCGTAGATCCGATGTCAAACCGTTTGAGCGATGCTATGAACAAGTTGAATGTTGGATCGGCTAGGAACTCCCTTTCTCAGCCACAAGCTTCGGCTAAGAGACACTCGGGGCTTGACCCGTCAACCATCAATGCTATGTTCCCTGATGCTGCGGCAGCCATTGCTACCGAAAAGGCCAAATTCACTCAACAGACTGGGAATCAGCCTCCTTCAAACCGCAACAGCACAGCTGTCGACGCACGAAACCCCTTAGCTGCTCCGGCTATTTCTGCACCATCTGAAGGACTTGATCCCAGCACGCAGAATCCTGCATCGCCTTGGGGTAATGACCAAAACGCTTCGCGACCTAAGTCGTCTTCTGGTCAGGCTCCAATGGGCCAGTTTGTTCAACCGCCGCCTTCAGCTGGTTTGAGATCGCCTCGCCCCCAACTAGGTGGTAACAATGGCATCCAGAATACCACGCTCAATGCCCCAGACAAATCTGCTACTGATCTACCCCTGCTTTCGCCATACACTGCCGGAAGCGGAAACTGGGCTTCTATGGTGAACACTCCTATGGTTGCGTCGTTCAACGGTGGCAATGGTACCCCCAACCAGGCTGATATGGTTGCCAATGCGACGGCCATGAAGCTCGCAGCTTTGTCTACCGTGAATAACCGGTTTGCCCTCGACGATGTGCGCAAGTATCGGAGAGCTCGGTCCAACGACGCTCCTGGCCAAGGCCAAAACACCCTTTCCGCTGGGCCTCAGGCACCAAATCTCCATGGCGCGAATATTGTCATGGTCAACGAACATGGGCAGGTGCTGAGCAGAGACCAAATGCTCGCGTTGCAGAACCACTCGGCCATGGGTGGATTCGCAGCCCATCGTTCCCGTCCGAGTTCTCCCGGTATAGCAATGCAGGCAGGTTTTGGTCAGATACCTTTTGCTTCTCCACAGAACAACGGTTTCTTGAGTGCCTATGACGGCTCGCAGAATCCACTCTTGAACAATGGACTCGGTGCGATTAACATGGGCCAGCTTGGCGTAGGTGTTCCCGAGGGTTACCTTTCCGACCATTCGGATATGGTCCGTGGTCGTTCCCCGCGTGGAAGGCGTGGTACTTCGAAGCCTCCAGAGGACCCAACCGATCCAACTCTTCTCCAAGATATACCGGCCTGGCTACGTAGCCTCAGGCTGCACAAGTACACGGATAATCTGAAGGACATGAAATGGACGGAGCTTATCGAACTCGACGACAAAGCTCTAGAGGAGCGTGGTGTCAACGCCCTTGGAGCACGTAGAAAGATGCTGAAGGTATTTGACCAGGTCAGAGGTAAATATTCTCAGTCCGAACATCATTCAAGGCAATCACTAACACACGCACAGAGGCCAAGGCAGACGGCAAGCTGGGCTAGCCACTGCAACCTAATAATGAATACGTTAGCCTGGTGCCGGTGATCTAGGAACAATTTGGAACTTGAAAAGGCGTGCGCATGGATTGTTTTAAGGATCCTCACTATCCGACAGACTTCCCGGTAATGATGAATTGAGGATTTTCCTTGGCCGGGTCATTAATAATATAGTCTATACAGGAAGGTCAGGAGAGCCCTTGCTTTTTCTTCCAGAAATGGGGATTTTGGAAAGGTCACGAACCCGAATTGAAATATAGGACGGTTAGAAATAGTCATGGATGAGATGAGATCATAAGGCAGATGAGGAGGCTAATGGTATGTAAGGTATACGTGTATACAGATTCTAAAACTTGATATTTCCATCAAAAAATGAAACGACAGTGTTGGCGATTTCATAATCAAGCCTCTAAAAGCCCATCACGGAAGCGTGCATGAAGTTAACCAATTACATAATAGACTGAGGTGTGTACATGCAAGCTTCCGTCTTGGCAAACCTTTTAAACCAACTCTTTACGCTTATTTTCCGGATAGCCGCATTTAAATCTTTGTGGATACACCGAAATTTGCACTTAACGGCAATCGGACGGCGGACCATAAGAACAAATCCGCCAACCCGCCAATTCAATTAATGTATTGAAATGTATACAGTGTAATACAGTATAATAGCATACAGTTTGATACATATTCCACACAGTGCCCTGAATCTTACAGGGGCTTACAGCGCTGCAGGGCGCGAAAAGACCCTGTAACTTATAGGCTTTATAGCGCATTAGCTCCATATTTTTAGGTAGCTTTTTAGGTATGTAAAAGCCCTGAAGCTGGCGCTAGAGTCTTCTAAAGTTATTATTAATATTTCAACCTTTTTAAAACGAATTAGATCAATTAATTGACCTGATTTAATCGATTAATTCGATACAGTTGAATGCGTAGTAGGTAGGTAGGTAGGTATGTAAATAAATATATACGCGTAAGAGTTCAAAACGAGGGGTATCACATGACATGCGCTGAGGCTTATTGAGAGGTAAGTATGTAAAAAGGCTATACGCTATAACCCCTATGAATTATAGGGCTTTTAGCGCCCTATAGCGCTGCAAGCCCCTGTAAGATTTAGGGCACTGTGTGGAATATGTATCAAACTGTATGCTATTATACTGTATTACACTGTATACATTTCAATACATTAATTGAATTGGCGGGTTGGCGGATACGGCCTTGCGGTCCACTCTAAATCGTCACTTATAAACTACTTAGACAGTCGCCATTTTCAAGTCCGTCATTTACGTACTTACTTCACCTACCTATTCGACGCAGTTCACGATCATTTAAATAAAAACCCGTGCAATTTTAATTCGCGCACACATCAATACGGAATGGTCACGATCAAATTCGCATCGCTCATATCTAGTGACTGGGGCTAAGTCTGGATACGATAAATGAGCTAAGATATAAGACATCAAGAAGGGTGCTCCTGAAAGGTTTCTATAGGAATCAACTACGAAATCACCAACCTTGGCACTTGTCAATCAAGAAGGTGGAATCCTATTAGATTATTAATTCTTTCACCATGAGCCATCCTTTCTCGTCCACGTTCGATGCCCTTCAGGCACACTTCACTCAAAAACCGGACAAGCCAGATGTGACACCTTTGCCTCCCACACAGACACAAAAACCAGTTCTTGTTAATAACGACCTAGGTACAACTGAGTCCCCAAGGCAGAATGCGGATCTTAGTCATATCTCAAGTGCCAGGACGCCCTTACCAGTCGCAACATCGAATTTGTTGCTCCCACGGCCCGGCCAAAGAGTATTGCTTCCCAAACCAAATAGTGCATCAGTGCAACCAACCTTAGCCCAAGGCCTTCAAAATATCCCGAGAAATGGAACATCAACACTACCTCAAGCTCCTCCAGGCCACGCTATTAGTTGGGAGTCGTATACCCAACCTATACTACCAAGGACACAAGGTCCAGCCTTGACTCCCATGGGGCCTTCAGCAGGCCCCTCCGTTTCTCATAATCCCTCTGGGACTCTTCATAGTAGCGAAGCCTCATCCCAAATTTCTGGAGCCAGATTCAACGAGTTATCAATTAACGAAGCAAGCACAGCGGGTGCCACAGAAGACCAAGCTAATCCAATAGACACATCAACGGATGCACTTCTCGAACGCCAGAATGAGCTTAATTCGGAAAATCCCTTACCAAAACTCCCTCCTCCGGTACGTGGGTTCGCGAAAAAGATATTGAATCTTGAAAATAAACCGCAACGCCCCCGTGGAGGCCGTCAAAATGTAAGGAAGCGTGGACCTCGGAAAGCTGCTGAGCCAACAGGTGATATCAAATATCGTCTTAACATGGCATCCAACGCGTACATGGATGGGCGTATTGACGAGGCCATCGACTATGTACATGATGCAATCCGTATCAATGCAGAAACCTACCGCGCCTGGGTCCTCCTAGCTTCTTTTTTACAGGAAAAGGGGGATCAATTAGGACATTATAGGGCGAAGTGGTTTGCTACGAATCTCCAACCACAGATTATTGATGGGTGGCTTCAATGTGCAGAACTAGCTATCGGGCTCCGAGACGAATTTCCCGAAGATGAAGGTCTTACTGACGAAGCCATTCTATCATATTCCCAGGCATTGAAGATTGAAAATAGTCACAGACCAGCACGTCATGGAAGGGCCGCATTGTCGCTCGAAATGGGGCATCTCAGGAAGGCCGTTGGAGATTATACAGCTCTACTTGGAAGTTGTGTCTTCGACATATACGCATTACGGGGTCTTGCCGAAGGTTGTGTCCTACTCGCAGATACAGGCAAATCTCGATGGTTAGATCAACCAGGGATAGCTATAGACGCATACCGCCGCTGCATCAGTCATTTCCGGGAGAATGGGCTTGACATCCGATATCCTTTCGATTGGCAAGATATTAAAATATTCGTCGAACTTCTTGCCTATGTCAAACAATTCAATAATGCCATACATGAACTAAGGTCACTGTCACGATGGCTCTTAACACGTTCCGATGAGGTGTTCTGGGATAGCCAGAATGACGACCGTGAATGGGACGTGGATAACTCGAGACGGCTGGAATTAGAGCAATTTCAGGAGAAAAAATATCCAGCATCGTCATATGGAAAGGGCCTTCCGCTAGAAATGAGGACGAAGCTTGCCGCGTATCGTCTCAAGCTTGGCCAAGAGGATGAAGCTATGGTAAGATCTAAATCACCCTTCCCTCCCTATATTACCTGATGGTAGGCTAACGCATATCAGCATCACTTGGAATTCATTGATCCGGACCAGTCGAATGGACCTGAGATACTCTCTGAGTGCCCGCATCTATTGCTTGAAGGTGCGTCAGCGTTGTACGAAGCCGGCCGACTACAAATGGCCCTGCGCTTTTATGAGCCTCTCCGAGAGCCTGATCTCCTTGATACCGAGTCTCTCGTCCGAGCAGGACGATGCTATTTGAACATGGGGGATAAGAGGCAGGCCGAAGAATGTTTCACTGCTGCTATTGACCAGGATGAAATAAACAGTGAGGCCTGCATTGATGCGCGCTATGAATTGGCGAAGATGTATGAAGCAGCAAGAGAGGAGAAGGAAGCCTTCATCCTTGTGAACGAAGCTATCAGGCTTCAGGAAGTTCGAGACCAAGCTCGTGAAGAGGCTCTCGAGGAAGAACGATTGGGAGACGATAATGATGACGACCAAGGAGACGGCGACCTTGCACTTCCTGAGCATCCACTGGTACCGGCCACCAGGAAGGAGGCAGTGCCAAAACCAAAAAGAGCCAAACGTCCACCTAAGCCCAAAGTTGAGAAGGTTAAACCAGCACCAAAGGAACGAAAACCTAAGGCGTCGCCGAAACCAGCTTCACGACGCCGTAAGGTATTTGCCCGAACTGAAGAATTGCAACTGGAAGAGAAGAAGAGAGCCAGTGAACTTGCCGAAACATGGAAGACTGTGCACGAATGTCGAGCTTCGTCCAAAACCGATGCTAAGGGTCCTTCTAGCGCATTCATGTCCGCGGCCGGGGAGCTCGTCGACGACTTTCGATCGTATAAAGAGTTTTACACCTGGGATAAGTACCTGGCACATCTTAATATACACCAGGCTCGAGAAAAGGTCGAGGCACAAAAGGGCAACCCCAACCTCATTGCAATGGCACAACGTCTCTCACATAGTAAGTTTTGTCGACTACATGGCAAGGTGAAATGCACTAATTTAATTATAGATCTGAACCCGGAGAATTCCGAAGGCGAGAATCAAACCGAGCGGGTGGCTGTCAGTTATCGAGGCGTCCCTTTTAATGAGTGGCTTGATCTTTTCCTCGAGTATGCCATGGGGCTGGCTCAGACCGGGCGATACCAGGACGCTTACAAAGTCTGCGAATCCGCACGAGACACTACAATATTCTCTAAGTCTAAGGAGGATATGTTCCTAATCCATGTGGCATGGGCTGGTAAGCTCATAGGTATTCTTTAGATTTTGGCAGATTATGACTAACACAGTATAGCGTGCGCCTTGCGTGGCAGAGACGAAGAGACATGCGTTGCCTCCGCTCGTTGGATTATGAGAGAATACCAATACGACACAGAACCTTTCCGGATGTTCTCTGCCCTGTCTAGGTTATGTCCGTCTCCTGCATCGTGGTATGCATCCGGCCCTGTTCAAAAGTATATGCTACGACAGATTAAGCTTATGGATCGTGCAATTAATGCTGCAGGAGCTGAAGTTAGCGGGGACGAAGATGGACCGCCCACTGGCAGAGTTTTCCCAGGCAAAGAACTAGATGTTACGCTACTAATGCTTTACGGAAATATCTTATTCATATCGAACAGTTTCACCTACGCCCTGAGTAAGTAACGATATCTCTAGAGCAGCTCTCTGCCTAGTATATGATTAAGGTGTTAATAAGGTCACAGATTACTTCATGAGGGCTCATAGCTTAGACCCCTATAATACTATGGTCATTCTTAGCGTCGGTAATTGTTATGTCTATTATGCTCTTAAGAGGCAAGCTGAGAATCGTCAATACCTCCTAACCCAGGGATTTCACTTCCTACACCAATACTATGAATTAAAACTGGCTTCGCCAGATACAGCTCAGAGGCAGGAGGCCCACTACAACCTCGCGCGAAGTTACCACGCCGTTGGAATTCCGCACCTCGCTACCGAATACTACCGGCGTGCTCTCCGGGAGGTGCCTGACGATTCCGGGAATGGGGTTATGGGGAGGAATGACCTTAGTCGAGAGGCGGCGTATAACATGGCGCAGATCTGCTGGGCGGGCGGTGACGTGGACGCAGTTAAGGCTGTCACTGACCAGTATCTAGTTATCTAAATATGGTCTGATAAATGACGGCTCACGCCAATCGTAATAAGATCGCACACTACTTGGGTCTCGATTCAGATAGTCAATGTAAATAACTGCGAACCGGTTTATTTCCGGGCATTTTTGTCTTTTTCCACGGAGACGTTCTTGTTCTCGTCAACCGCTTGCACAGGAACTTGAATCGATAGTAAAGGGGGAAACAAGATATCCTCCGATACTAACAGTAGACCACGACCTTAGCCTTACCACCTGCAATGCGGGTAACTGGTCGCTATTTTAAGGACTATATATGTCGTCACCATGGTTTCCAGAATAATTGCCAAGGAAAATTAAACTATGGTTGAAAAGCCGTTTGAGTGGTTACCGAACCACAGTTCCGATGCTGCGATAGTCGTGACGATGACATCGGATCGATGACATGCTGAACCGTACCTACCACTATCAGCCTTATTCGGGTAATCTAGCAGCCCTAACAGAGATGTAGTGAATGACTAAGTAGGATAATCATAATGGGTTGATTTCAAAACATGCGATTCTGTGTTTAAGCTTTCGCTCCGGTATTTCCGGAACTCCTAAGTATTCATCTGCGGATTGCGATGTAATGACTACATCCGCATCCGCATCCGCATATGTACTATGTATTCTCACGGCGTGGCCCACCTCCTGAACATCAACGACTTCGGAGCCGTAGCGCTGTCCCGCGTAGGAGTCGTGCTTTCCGTTCGTGGAGTCTTGATATCAAGATTACGCAAAAGGAGCATATACGCCATGACGTCGATGACTTCACGGCAACAACCCTTGCGGCCAACCTGCCAGGATTCCTGGCGACGATGTATATAAGCCCGTCTGCCTACCTTCACAACTTACCATTCGAGTGGAAAAAGGGTAAGATGACAGAATAAGCAATTTCAGATGAGCCAATACACCATCCCCAACCTCTTCATCACAATCAACGACGTCGCAATCATGGTGCAATTCAAAACCGGGCAATCCGTGCGCTACAAGCCCGTCGGCGGGCCCGACTCCAACACCTCGGAGAGCACGGGTCGCATCACAGACGTGTTGACGAAGCCCGGCGTGCAAGCCGATCGGAACGTCCAGGCTAGCGCCGACGAGCCGCGCTACGAGGTAGGAACTCCCTCACTCCCTCTCCCTCTTCGTCGTAGTTTTATAAGAAGTTAGGGAAGGGAAGAACTCGAAGCTGATGATAAGAAACAGATCCAGAACGACAACACGGGGAAGCTGACGACCGTGTACGAGAAGAACATCCTCGGATCGGCGTAGATGTGGCGTTAGACTAGCCTCGGCGTTCGATAGACGGAGTCTTTGATGAGCCAGTTAGATCAGGTAATCAGCCAGTCGAGCAGAGCTAGAATAATGACGATTATAAATCCTATCACTGATTAAAAATCAAAATATTATGTTGTGACACGGGCGATCGTAGTATATTCAACGTCATCCGAGACAAAAATAAGAAGCCACGAAAAGCCACATGTACCTACCCGATCACCAGGAAAGGAAGTACTCATCATCATCATCGTGTATGTACCACTTCACAGTGGTCTGTCTGTATTGAGAAAAATCAAACCGTCTACGCACACGGACCAGAGAATTATGTTATGATCGAACACGTTCCCCAGCCAGCACGCGGGCAACGGCAACAGTATATACAGCGCGGTTGCTATATACGAAACTAGAGTTACAACAACCCCAGCATGAAGTAATCCATCCATCCATTTAATCGGGGCTCTCTCCCCTCGGTCAAACCAGCCCTGACCGGGACGACACGACACAACAGAACAAAACGAAGATGCACCTCTATGGTCTTTGTCTTGCCACACATCACTCCGCGAGGGATGAGAGGGAGAAAAAACACAAGACAAAAGAGCCGCGGCGTTGTCGTCGTCGTCGGTGAATACTGCAGTCGTATCGTAGGCCGTTCTCCGAACCGGGGAGATCAAGAAAAAGAGAAGGCAAGGAAAAATTCGGAAAGGCTTTTCCGTGGTGGTATTTAGCTTTGCTTCTCTCCCTCCCCGAACCAACCCGACCCGCGACGGAACATGAATGCTCCCTTTAAATAATAATAAAAAAATCAAGTCGCCCCCTTTTTACTCCGCGCGCCACTCCCATGTGAAGAGGTTGAAATCGGAGAGAATCCGCGGAAGAATCGAAGATTTCGGGGTCGTTAAAAACACAATTCGTAGCCTATACAATGAGCAACGCAATCGAAAAAGGAACGCCGGCCTCATGCGACATGCGAAGTTTTGAAATGAACGAGACTATGGTGCCTATACCGTGCCTCGGAGTCGTTGCTTGCGAGCCAGCCAGTCCCCAAGCATGTTATCCAGTTGCTATATGAATGTTAGTCTAAGTTGATACCAGAAATCCGTATCTGTGAGAACTTACTGTCGTAATTTCGGCCAACCTTGCGTTCTGCTCCCGGAACAGCGTGCCTACTACAGGGTGGTCGGGACCAGCGGGTGCGACATCATTCTTGTCGTATACTATTACTAACAAGTCTCGGATATCGGAGCCCGAGTCGAAGAAGGCTCGGAGATTAGCGTCATTCCAAGTTGACGTGGTTGTAGCTGACGTCGATGTTGTCACAGAATCTTGCTTCCCGTGGGTTCGGTCATCGATATCCACAAGTTCTGGAGATGGCGACGAAACAGGGGAGGAGCGGTCTTCTTGACTTGATGTATCAACCATGAGAGCAGGAGGGTTAGAGGAGGATACGACCGGTGAGACTTCAACAGGAGATTCGGATAAACGTTCCTCGGCAGCAGGACGTTGGGTCTTTGAAGTTTGGTCGTTGAGCTCAGACATAGACGTCTGGGCACTATAGCTATCAGGAAACGCTCCTGGTAGAACGGGCTGTATCTGCTTTTCTTCGGACGGTTGCCGTTTCGGTTCAGGAGGAGCTCTGGTCGGCTCTGGTTGAGCCTCCTCCTCGTCGGGTGAATCGAAGTCATCAAGTTCAACTCGCGCCTTTGCCTTAGTAACCTTTGGCGGCTTACTTTCCTTCGAAAGAATAGATTTTGAGTTGGACCTCTCCCTCTTTTGTGATGGTCGATCCTGGCTTTCGGCTTGTTCAGATTCCACCATCCTCAGTGTCGTTGGCGGTAAGGTTGACATATTATTGATCCTGGCCTCCGGAGCAGGTGCGGGGCCACGGTCTGGGCCTATTTGTGATGTTACAGAAGACTTGCGTGTTGGTGAAGGATCGTTCTTGGATTGATTCTTCTGAAGCTTGCTTGGATTGCGCAGTGGCGCTACCGATTTTTCAGGCGAAGAATCTGTATCAGCCACATGCACGTCCTCCGCCTCCTTCTCTATCGTCTCAGTGGAGGCATCCAGAGACCTCTTACCAAGCGAGTCATCGTCTTCATCAACGGACTTTTTCCTATCTTTCCGAGAGAAGAAACTCCGAATCGCGCTTGGCTTCTTTTCCTTTTTCTTCTTTTCGTCCTTCTGTTTATCAGGAACAAGATCCTTTTCTAAGCTCGGTCGTTGCCGCAGCGACGAGTCTTTTGAGTCACTCGAGACTCGCGCTTCGTTATCGTCTCGAAGTAGACCAGGAGTCAATGAGATCTTCTTAGTCTCTATTGTCTCGTCCTTAAAGAAGGAGTCCGTGTTCCTGACAGTACCATTCCTCGTGACCCGTTCTGTCTTTGCATCGAAAATATCATTGCTATCCCTGCGAACTTCGCCCGAAGTAACCGAACTTGATCTACCTCGTTCCTCGATCTTTAGGGGTTCTACCTTGACCTGTTTCTGCGGATTTCGGGTTTTAAGGGGTTCCACCTTCGCAGATTCATCATCGTCTGACGTCTCGTCTGTAGCTTGCTGGGAGGACGCTTGTTTTTCTTGCTGCTGTGTCTTTTGCGAATCTTGTTGGGGTTTCTTTTCGCCATCACCATCCTCCTCCTCAGTCGAGTAATCTATGTCAGAGTAATCAACAAAAGTCGGGGGTGCAAATGCAACGGTTTTGGCTTTTCTCCTCTTCATCGCCGTCTTAAGGGGGTTCTTGGTCTTCTCCGCTTGGTCGCCGAGCATCGTCGCTGATAGCTAATTTTATGGTCAACTCCACATATAGCACTTATTTCCAAATGATTTACATACGTCAATATTACGGTGCTTGTTAAGACGCGCTAGCCTTTCGGTAGGTGTCTCGATGTGCTCTGCTGGTAAATATCCTGAGGATAGAAGTGTAAGCTGGGTGCTACGATTTAAATACGTCGAAATGAGCCATACCTATGCTGCTATCTTTTACCACTCTGACGAGCCACCAGTAACTATTACTATCATCAAGCAACACCATGGTATCACCCTTGGTGGCATTAGCTTGACCTTCGACGGTAGCGACGAAAGTGTGAAGGGCGTAGACGAATTCGAAATCGATGTCCTCTAAGTCTTGTAAGTATTCGCTACCCCAACCAATATCAATGAATGCGGGATCGGTAGTAAAGAGAGTCTCGTCATCGTCATCGTCATCTACTATTGAATCATCATAGATGACATAGGGGAATAAAAAGTCGTAGGGCGAGATCTGGCGTTGTTTCGTTTCTAATTCAGGTCCCGCAGCCTGTGTATTTGGTTGGCGACGCAAAGGCAAACCGTAGGTCTTCAATTGCGTTCTGGAGACATCGGATCGGTTGGATCCATTGTCTTGAACGCGTTCTCCTGATTCGTCTACCGACACTGTCGAGTCCATACTCTACATGTCTAATACAGGTTCGGGTAGCGACAGGTCGTTCAGATTCTCGCCATGGTTTGCGCGGTCGGCCACTTCGGTATACTCACTAAGAAGATGATGACGACAATTTGACGCATCAGCAGAAGCCTTGCTTGTCTGATGGTCGGAATGTTGTGGGGTTGTGTATAGCCCCGTCTCACTGAGTATCGGAGAAGAGAAGGAATGACGAGGTAGAATTATAGGTATCAAGGAATCGACGCGCTGTGGCCAGACAGGCGACTGGAAGGAGCACCCACCATCTTCAATCGAAGGAGAACTCGAGATCTTATCCATCATGTCATCATCCATATCGTCGTCGGTATTAGCATCCAAATCTCCATCGTCGGAGTTGGTGCTTGTGACTCCTCCATTTTGCGCGACAGCGAGCGCATCCTCGGATTGCATCTTGTTGCCATTCAAGGAATTCGCAATACCGTTCGCGAGATCTGCGGCGTACTGTTGTAAGTCGGTACGGTCGTCACCATCGGGCCACGATGCTCTAGGGCTTCGACCTTCTTCTCCAGCCCTGTCTTCTTCGACTTCGCGTAAGGTCTCAGCCTGATGCGGCGCGAGTGACCCGTTCGCGTTCGACGCAGTTTTCGAAGGTGAAGGGGTATTGTGTTTTTTTGCAGAAGGAGACTCTTGACTTTGAAGATCGATGGTGTCTAACGAGTTCGAAAAAAAGGGTGAAGTGTTAGCTAGCACAGCACAAAGAAAGAAAAGAATAATTCACAGTTCAAAGACAAGGGGTTGGTTGTTGGATTGTAATTATTTTTTTTTCTTCCTCTAATCCTTCCCCCCTGCCTCTCAAAAGCGTGGTTCGTGATTAGAGTGGTTAGAGTAGGGTGGTTAGAGCGCGGTAAAGCGTGGCAGCGGAACCCGTAGGTGCTTGTAGTGCTTGTAGTGCTTGTAGTGCTTGTAGTATTGTAGATCAAAGAACCTTGGAACTTACCAGCCCGAATCATCTGGGGTCTTGTCATTGTGTTATTTTTTTCCCAGGGAGTCCGTGGAAAACCAATTCCCACGGATCGGTGTTAAATGAACTCTGTTATGGGTCCGTTTCGTTCATAACATCAATCGATTGCGCTTATGTATTCCCTAAATTTTATTCTTCTTGCCTTTCTTGCCTTTCCTGTGTTTCTGCCTTGGAATATCTTTCTTCTTCTTCCCTGCGCCTCTCTCCCTCTTCCTGTTCCTCGGATGCGCGAGTGGATTTGTCGCAAGGGGCTGGGCGAGAGATAGAGAAATGGAGACTGCGTGACTGGTGATTGTTGACTGGTAACTAGACTCTGGAGACTGGAGAAAGTTGGTCAGGTTTACGCCTCGACCATCAACCACGCCTTGCACGCCTCGAATATGCCAATGCCAATGCAAATGACCCAATCACCCTATTGTCCACCTAACTTTATTTCCTGGATAGTCCCAGTTGATATACGATCGGCGTACAATTGTTCGTCCAGTAGATCTCGGGTGAATTATTTCGATGGTTTAAGTTTGGAGGTTGGAGGTGAGAATTCTAATTATAGATGGTAATCAAGTCGAAAGGCAGTTGAAATGCGACGGATGTGGTGAGATGGAATGGACATTTATTTTTCATAAGCCTCCAAGGGGGGAAAAAAGTTGACAACCATCCCACCTCCCCCAAAAAAGAATTCCTTTCAGGGCTGTATCGGTATCACTGTACAGTCACTAGACTCGGGGAGGAAATCAGTGACCAGATACAACTAATACGACTAATACAACACAAAATGCTAAAAGGAGGCCCTGCAGATTGCGGTCGGATTGGGCTTGGCTTGAAACATGGTTTTCACAGGGGCAGTAACGACGGCCTGTTTAGCGGCCGCCAGAGATGCCCAGCTGTTTATTTGGCTGTTTGGCCTGGTTATTCCAAGTCGATGGTGGGGTAGGTACAAGAGGCAAGAGACCAAAAACAGTTTAGCGTCTGGGGCTGCAAGATAGAAATAGGTACGTACGTACAGCGTACATACATCCACATACCAGCCAGCCTATATCTCCTTGTACCGAATACAGAATTCGGCCCTAGTGTATTCCTTGCATATCAAGTTTACAACACGGTAATTACCAACCTGGTATCAGGTCCACATCGCCGATGGGTGCTTTTCACTTTTCGTTTTGAAGCTACATCTAAATCTTGACATTGCTTGTAAATTGTAAATCTTGGTTGCGATGTAATGCAAGACACAAACCTGAAGATTCTGTCTAGGATGGGTTGTTTATCGTTTGACTATCACATTTCCAAGATTGTCTAACAGCTTACTTAATCACGTCGACAATCGTGGTTTCCTACTCCATACCTAGTAACAAGTTCCAAGCCTACTACGCAGTACTGCCTTACTAAAATAATATCACATTGTGAACATATACATTCTTTAGAGGCATATTGACATGTGCATATGTCTATAAAGTAAGGCTGTATGGTCACAATTCTTGGAGTTTCAAGAATTCCAGTAATAAACCATTCCAATCAGCAAGGCACATTTGTAGCCCCTCGACCTTCTCATACATAGTGGGTCCTAAAAAGAAACGTCAATAGTATCAATTGGTATGTGAATCAGCCATACATGGCACTATTACCAGCGCTAAACAAACCCATCCATTCCATAGGACTATCGGCATGCATCTTCAAGGCGAGAAGGAAACAAATAAGCAAAAAATAAGGCATATTACTCCGTATTATTGACAGCACATCCACCAGCTCCACGATGACCCTACTCGCTATTCCGGTTTTTATACCCTTACATCGCTTCCTATAGTCTATGCGGTTCCTGCGTTAGTGTGAAGTTGAGGGGCTATTAATGGAGAACATCGCAGATTTGACCCATCGGAGAGTCGTTATTCATAGCGCGTCGCATCAAGTCCATCCCTCGTGCTCAATCAATATATCGAATTAATCATATGACGAGCTTCATAGCCGTGATTAGCTTCTTGACTATAGATGTATATCCTGATATGCATGTCTATAGCCACCTGCTGAACGATTTCTAAATAGGCGCTATTATATGCAGCATCGGAAAGTCGACAGCTATTAGCTCCGAGGCAAAACGGCGTTCAATGGAAACCTCCGTTATGCCGTGTTACAACGTATAGTCAAATTCAGAGTCAATTTGATGCTTTTTCAAAACCTTCTTTTATAGCCACGATCAGGGTTTTGACCGCAACTTCGGCCGTGGCTAGAGTCTTGACATCATGGACTCGTTAGCGTTAGGAAGTAAATCGAATATTCAAACGGCCTCGATTTAGGCTTAGGTAATGTATAACATAGCCTCATGTCAGACAAACCAGGTGTCGCGACAGGTGACTCAGGCTTACAATGGGAGGACCACGTATTATATACTGGTTTCGTACGGACCTCCGGCTCCACGATTCTCCTGCCTTGAAAGCAGCTCTTGACTTGGATCCGGTCGTTTTGTGGCCAATCTTCACCTGGGATCCTCACTATGTATACCGAGTTAAAGGGGGAGCAAATAGATGGCAGTACTTGTAAGCTATAATCTCGTAATAGTCGACGGGACTGTCTGCTAATTCTATCAGGCTTGATTGCCAGACGGACCTTTCGGAATCCATTTCAAAACTCAACAAGAAGTCAAAGCTCTTCGTTCTTCGCGAAGCTCCGCAGACGCTCTTCCCTAAGCTTTTTAAAGCATGGAAAGTGACCCATCTTGTGTTTGAAAACGACACGGATCCTTATGCTCTTGAAAGAGACAAGTCCGTAGTAGCTTTGGCGGAGAAAGCTGGTGTTCAAGTGATTTCGCCATATGGACGCACATTGTGGGATAGCGATGATGTTGTAGCCAAAAATGGAGGGAAGCCAACTATGTCTATTACCCAACTCCAGGCTGCCGGACGAAAAGTCGGAGAGATACCTCGGCCTATACCCGCACCAACCCATCTACCTGATCCAGGAGATATGCCCATTGACTTCGAGCAGAGCAAGCCTGAGACAAAACCGGATTTGAATGCTTCATATCGCGGCAAGGCTGACGGTACATATTCAAATATCGCAGGACCTAAAGGCGACTTTGCCATTGCGACTCTTGAAGAGCTTGGGTTCTCCGTGCCAGCTACCACACCACACCGTGGTGGCGAGAGCATCGCTTTAAAGAGGTTAGAAGAAATATTCTCGGATGAAGAGTATGCTGCTACTTTCCAAAAACCAAAAACCAGCCCAGCAGCGTTCGAACCACAATCGACTACCCTCCTCTCCCCTATGCTTCATTTTGGCGCGCTTTCGCCGCGCCTTTTCTATTGGAAAGCGCAAGATCTGGTTGAACGGTATGGTAAAGGGGCATCCACACCCCCTGAAAGCCTAACAGGCCAGCTACTATTTCGCGATATGTACTTCGCAGCCCAAGCCGCAATTGGGCCTCCCTTTGGTGAGTAATTATCGCTGTCTGTGTAATGTGATTATTTGAATGAATTTTAACTCAAATTTCATAGGTCAAACAGTCGATAACGCTTACTGCCGGTTCATCCCTTGGCATTTACCTTCAAAAATAGGGGTCACAGACATAGGCGATTGCACAATTAGTGGTGAGTATTATATAGACTCGCCACAAGCAGAGAAGTGGTTCCAGCGCTGGAAGGTGGGTATGACAGGATTCCCGTTTGTTGACGCCCTTATGCGACAACTACGTACCGAGGGTTGGATTCACCACTTGGGTCGCCATATGGTAGCCTGCTTCCTCACTAGAGGTGGGTGCTATGTGCACTGGGAACGCGGAGCGGATGTATTCGAAGAGTTGCTAATTGACCACGAACCATCTTGCAATGCCGGTAACTGGCAATGGCTCAGTTGTACTGCGTTTTACTCGCAGTACTTTCGCTGCTATAGCCCCGTTGCGTTCGGACAGAAGTGGGACAAAAAGGGTGAGTTGATACGGAAGTGGATTCCAGAGTTGAAGAACTTAGACGAGAAGTTCATTTACGAGCCGTGGAAGGCTACCAAAGCGGCCCTTGACAAAGCAGGTGTAAAGATTGAAGGAGACGGTATCAATGAGAAGACAGACGGAACATATCCGGCTCGGATGTTTGACTTCGGGGAGAGAAGAGGCATTTGTATTGCCGCAATGAAGAGAGCTTATTCCATTGGCCTCCACGGAAACGATGATAGAGTAAAGAATGGCTCCTGGAAAAAGTTGTTTGAAGAAGCGGGTGAGACAGAGATGGAGGGGTTAGGTGGAAGTGACGACGATGGAGAACACGCAGATGATGCTGATTATCAGAGGGAGGGGGATGGAAACCACGGCAAACATGCTAGAACCCAGAGCACGGGATCTAAGGAAGGACCTATGGATAAGTATACCAAGAAGGTGAAGAGGTAAATTCTAATAAAGAAGTCGCATATGGTGTCTTAGACCATCATTATTTACACAACCCATGGAATACGTAATGCTATCCCAATCTTTTCGTGTTAGGATATGAGTGGTTGGTTAGATAGGTATGGAATATTTCATTATTGACAAGTAGTCATAATCAGGGATTTAAAGTATGCTAAGTGTGTACTGGTCACCCCTGTGTCGTGGCTCAACAACTTAGGTACCTATAGGGGTGTGTGTTGTAATTCATGACTTGGATCGAAACTTCCCCTGGATATCTGGGGTTTACTCCTTCCTAACCACGTCCTCACAAGTCCAAAGTACTGCAAGGTTCGTAGGGCCCGTTGGTTACTACTAGAATAGTGACTTGGAACATGCTTGACTGTGTTATTAGTTATCCGTAGTCTCCTTATTATAATCCTCATGAAAACAGCATTAGATTTCTTGGAACCAGCTCTCTATGATGCATACTCCTTTTGGATATTCGCACCCTTGCGACAACTATGAATCAGCCCCATATCCAATTTACCATTTATTCTAGAATACCTACCGCTCAGTTCAAGACATTCCCTACGTCTCGATACCATAGTATGTATGATCATACGATATACTTATCGTAGCAAGATCCCACAATGGTAACCAAGAATTCTAGAGAACATCGAAAATCATTTTGTCGACGGGCGAGAAGACGGGACCCAACATTTCGCTCACTCTATGCCGGTGGAACCCAGAGAAGCCAGAATCCCGAGCAGACCTGGACCGACATGCCGTCCACCATAACTTTCAACACTCAACATATCATGAGCCGAAGTAACAATAAGTACGGACAACCTTTACAGCCGACAATCGACCCTCAAGCCCTTGCGCCGGCACGTATTTTCGAACACGCTTCATTTTCAGATAGCCCGGTTGGGCGACCGGCCAATAGCGTCGAGATCTACGGCTTAGCTCTTGGGACGTGTTTCCTCGCCTTACTTCTAGCATGGTTTCTCCTTATAGTTGCGCGAGAGATTTTCGAGTTTTTCCATACCGACCCGAACGCACCAAGCCAGAGAACGGACCCTGAGAGTGGCTATATACGAGAACGCCAAATCCCTAAGGAGAGCAGGTCATTCCTTTCTAACTTTAGAAATATGTCATCGGAAGCAGAAGAACTTATCAGGTCAGCACGACGGGCAAGCATTAATGCTGCTACGGTGTTCAAAAGGGATATGGGTGAGTTTAGGAGAAAGGCGCATCCCACACGGCGCAGAGTGGATGACGAGGAAGCCCTAGGCGACGCGGGAGGGGATGGAACTGAAACGAAAGGCTCTTTTTTACCCAAGACATGACAGACACAGAATGTGATGTCTGCAGAAAGGAGGAACAAAGAATTCAGCGCAGAAGGAATAATCGTGGTATCCTACGCCTGTTTGAGGGGTCCATAGATATTGAAGATGAATTATAAAGGTTTTGGTATTCTCATCTTCTTCGGCACAGTGGCTTAGTACATAAATCTGGCCAGGGAATAACTTTCCAATACGGCCATCTAGGGTTTCTGTTCGTTAATTGTGTATGGTATTCCTTTAGAGCGCAAGGTATAAGTACAGAGCACCCCAAGAACCGCGTTTAGCCCCATGCCACCTTTTATACACACAAAAAGCGAAAATTTTCGGATAAACTCGTTCCAATTATGCCCTTCTCGAGTTGGTCGAGTCGTCTATGATGCTGTTGTTGTACAGGTAGAAGAACGCTCACAAATGGAATGCGTTTCGTCGAGATTTTCTCTCAGGAGCTGGGGCTTAGTTCCGCTTTATGCCCTCCGCTTCAGCTCTTGTGTTGCTTGTTTCAAGCTCCAGTTGCATTCCTCGTAAGCTCTGCCGGCACCGAAACCTACTCCCACAAATGCTGGCCATGCTCTTCGTCGGAATAGAAGGACTGAGAAGACGACACCGAATCCGAGACCGAGGGTTGATTTTATGAGCATGTTCGAGATACAGCGGTCCCACTATAGTATATCCATGTTAGCGACTCCTTACGGGAGAGATAAAGTAATGGGATCGTGCTATACTTTCTCGTTCAAAAGTGCCTCGCTCACAGGTCTGGAGACCGTGCTGGGCGGCGCGGGAACTGACGTCTCAGGCATAGTGAAAGAGACTATTCAATTGAAAAATTAGCTTTAAATGGTAACCTAAGAGCTTCATAAGCTCCTACCTTTCAAATTGGCTTTGAGTGAGCGTTATGGTAGAATTGTCGTCACCACGATAATATTCGCACAAGAACAATCAGGTCATTGATGTAGCTTGGATCGGCTTGCATTTGCTGATACCCGAAAGCGGTAGATCCTGGTAATGTCAAATATGGTTTAGCGCGGTCGGCAGAATTAGTGAATTTTTTGTATTTTTTCGGTACCGCGGGGAGCTCCGCAAAAAAAGTTCGAGCTTTCAATTGAGTTTTTGGAAACAACGCCCTTGTATTTCGTACAACTTGGAGTAAATATTTCAAGGCCTGGCAATGCCGACGATTGCCAATTTTTACAATGGAGGTGGATAGCGACTCAGGGGTAAGTAAAATCTACTATCTTTCATATGTTATTTATACAATGAGCCTACATAACTTAGATATATATATCGGAAACTAATACCTTACTTTAGTCGCGCCGGCTGGCTCTAATAAGAGCTGTAAGAACCCTCGACGAAGATGGATCAATTGCGCTGCCCGATAAAATCCAAAGGCTCTGGCTGTTACTTTCGGAAACTAAGGCTACGAGATTTCATGGTGTCGAAGAGAATATACTACGATGGTTATTCAAGCATATGAGCGGCAACACTGAGAATGCTGAACAAGTTCGACGCTATCCTCTCACTTGGACGATTCTGAGCCACATCTTCCCCAAGATTCCGTCGCAGACTTTGGGGAGGTCGCTAGCTTCCCTCCGCTTCGTTTCTGTTCTTCGTCAGACGATAGGCGACATTACTACTGCCCGACGGAAGTCTCCTTCATCCCCGAGCCAGACGAATGGGGTTGCCTCAGAGAAAAAGAAGAAAAGAAAGAGAGAGACTGGGTTTCCCTCAGATATCGAGGAACTTCGTACCCCTGAAAGCTGTATCAAGTCGGCGAGTGAACTCTTCAGGGCACTGAACAGTCTTCTTAATCAAGGAAACCATCGGACAGGGCTTAGCGCCCCAGAACAAAAAGTAGGGGCCGAACATATTAAATCACTTTTCTCTTCGTCTAATGACGAGACTAGAGATATTGCTGCAGGCCTACTTTTAACTTGTGATCGCTCGTTAAGCATTCTTGAACAAGGCATTTCTCGAGAACAAGAATCATGGATTGGGATCATCGCTACTTTATGGAACCTTCGCCTCCACAACAAAGATGACTCTCTCGAGTTTGCTAGGCATATGTATGTGCCGGCCTGTTTTATTTTGGCAAGGTTGCGTGGTCTTACCGGAGTTGCGCCAGTAACGGTAGCTAGCAATACTGCTAAAAACCTTTGGGTTCGACAGCTCGAACAATTCTTAGGCGCATATTTCATCCGTCCAGCAAGGCACACGTTTGTACCAGGCGAGAATATCGAGGCCTTGGAGATCGCACTAGGACTCTCAAAGAGGAATCTAGGCGGATCAGCTATTATTACATGGGATGTTGCAGCAAGAACCCCTCGCGACTCGAGTAACCCAAAATCCAAGACTGAGCATTTATTGTGGGCTCAAAATGTTTTCGAAATCTTCCTTAACGCGATACAGCCCTTGGAATCCCTAGTTCGAAATCAAGTCATCATTCAGATGCTAGAAACGGCAACCCAGACTAACTCGGTTCCAAACACGGCAGCTCTCCGTTCGGTGTGTCGAGAATATGCCTTGAGGCCAAACGAAATCGATTGGAATCTAGTTTCTAAAGTTGTTGCTTGTGACGCCGACGTGTTCCTAATGGATCAGACTCTGATGGAAGATATTCTCGGCAAAATAAGCTCCTATTCGAGTTATGATTCCATTACGAAGGAGACTATTGTAACTAAGATCATCCTCCCTTTGGAAGACGCCTTCGCAAGGACGCGCAACCTTTCGGGCTTCATTGAAAAATGGCACGGCTGTCTTAACGAGAGTGATACGGATTCTCTGGATCAAAGTATATGGTTTGATATCAAAATTCGACAACGGCTTGCTAGCATTTTACAGAGTTCGTTGACAAGCACGCAACTACTACGTATATTAGAACGCCTAGATTCACCAGATGCTATTATTGGATCGGTCTTGGTCGTCCTTGATGGTATCTCTGCGGGAATCACCGAGGAAGATTTTATCAACAACGCCGATTCCAAGATTTTCTCCGCAGCTTTCAAGGACAAGTCGTATAAAAATCTCTCATCTTCTGTATTGTCGTTAAGATGGCGCATTGCCGGCCGGCTAGCTTCGTGGGAAACATCCGATGAAGTTCGTCGACTCTGGTCTGAGTTAAAACCAACTCTTAAACATGTCCTCAAGAAGTCTGCTCTATCTAATCCTGAGACTTTCGAAGCATTTACTTGTTGTCATAAGTTATGGCTAGCGAATTACCCCGGCGGTAAACGCGAGGCAGACCTAGCCAAATTAATGGGTTCATTCCTCGAAAGACTTTCTTCGAAAATAAAAACTAAAGAGGATATTTCTGTGTACGAGCCCTATTTAAATTATATCTTTCGCCACCTACCAAAGCTTGCAGAGTTTTCCAAACAAGAAACGGGCGACCTCAGAGATCTCATCACGAACCTATTTTGGCATGTCGGGAAACAATCTGCGACTGGGGCTAATACACAACTGGATGACACCATACGATCGCTTTTACGCAACGTAGATGGCGAGGATGATGAAGCGTTTGTTGACGCACTCATATCACAACCTCTCGATGCTCTTGATAGCGCCGAGGCTCAATCAGGCTGGACGCAACCACAGAGCCTCTCGTTGCTGTTGATCCTTCTAGAATTCCCACGAGACGCTTTCACAAAAGGACGTCGTAAACGCATCATGTCTTCCTGGAAGACATGGAGATCCGCAATTATCAGTCACGCATCGCAGGATTCCCATTTTGCGGTAGTTATGCTCCGGTTGCTAATTAAAGTAATGCAACAGCCGACATTTTACGAAGTAAGTCGCCCAGTTTCCTCAAGTTGTATGCATCAAATTAACCATTTACTAGGATATGGAATTTGATGACCTCGTTTACATCTCCAACAACTTACCAATCAAAGATAATAAGACACTCGCTTTAATTGAGAAATTTATCGACCTAACGCTGAGGTGAGTAATAATTAATATCTGTACCCCCTCTGGAAGCTAACGAGTTACAGGCAAATGGTTGCTAGCACCGAAGGTCATTCACAAGCCTACCTGGATGATGCTTGGAAATTTGCGGAGAGTATCACGCCAGATAAACCGGGATTCACAGATGCTCAAATGCTCTTAGTGAAAGGCCTATTTTCTGCGCTGGATAAGTGCAAGTCACATGGCTCCACTATCAGCTTGGAGTCAATGGCAACGAAACTATCAGGCATGATAGTAACCAGCTTATCCTTGATCGGGGGGAAATATGAGAGGGCAAAGGCAGCTACTGGGGATGAGTCGATACTGCTTCGGCTTTCTATTGCATTGAGCGGAGCCGCATCTCTTGCCGAAGCCAGCGAACCAAAAACAATTGAACTCTCAAAGGAGACAACGGAGCAGCTAGAGAGTATAAGCACATCATTGATATCGAGCAATTTCGAGATTGGTTGGAAGTTACGGACATGCCTCTTCAGACACAATCCCGACATATACGATACGACAGATTTATTCGCATTGCTGGACCAAACGTCGGAAACAATTGATGAAGGCTTAGTGTACGGCTTGGTGGATGCTTTCGTTGGACAAGGAGAGGTTAGAGAAGATGTTACAGGTGATAAGGTGCTTGGCGAACTAGTTGCTAGTGGCAAGCTGACTGCCGGACCTATCGGACGTCTACTAGCTATCAGAAGGCTTGTTGAAGTGCAGCAAGGTGAGCGTCCCCAGATTTATTGTTAGTAGCAATTTCATCTAACGTCATTTTAGGACCTTTTACCCCAAATGGTGTCGGTAAGAATCGAGACATCCTTGACCTTGGCGTCGTACACGAACGACTCGCGTCTCTACTAAGTCAGGTGGAATCGCCCCGCCATTTCAGACAATTGGCAGAAATCTTGGTATTGCTACTTGATAAACATGCCAACTCGATGACCCAAATCAACGTGGAGACAACTCTGAGTAGCGTCGTTCACGTGTGTTCGCAAAATGGTCCTAAGCTCCACGGCCCTAAAGTAGCTGGCGAGATCTACGACAAGTTATACAAGCTCGTGGCTCTTGTCCTTAAGAGACATCGGCTTCGGTTAAGAGGGCATTTCCCAATCCTACTTGCCGCGCTGCGAGCACTTCTCAGTACCCTGCTTTCCGATCCTACTTCAACCAGAAGCATATCATCCTTGCAAGCACGTCCGCCATGGCTCGAATTACGTCTAAAAGGGAGACATGCAGAGCGATTTACTCGCCTTCTGACATTAATATGTGAGCCTAGCGCGGCATCTGTAGCCCGTACGAGGTCGAGCGAGCTAGATTCCGCCACGGATGTCGCCAAGCGAGCCGCGGGGCAGGACATGTTCACCGTCTTGGAGCTGTACATCAAGTTGCAACTCGAGATGACCATCCCTCGCGACGTCAGAAAGGCACTTGAGCTTGGCGTCTACTCGATCCTCGATATCACGCCTCAGGGATGCAGGAGGGTGCTGAACGAATCGTTGGATGCGAATGGACGAGCCATATTTAGAGAGATGTTCGCGGATTACAAGAAATTTGGGAAGTGGTCTGGTGTTTAACTGGGTCTTGTTGCTACATATAGATGCTTAGGAGATATATACCCTGTTGCCCCTTTTGCCCTTGTTCATATCCACGTGTCGGAGTATAGAAGAGAATTTGGAATATTCGTGAGTCGCGTGCGTGAGTGGAGAAAGACTACTACGGTAGTAACTATACGAGCTAATTATACTGTTATACTTACCGTAAATATGTAAGTATGACATAACATTTTAATTTAGTGAGTTTGTGTCACCATGCACACTGCACCTACCCGGTCTTGACAAGTTGGAATCTTACATGTAAAAGTGAAATACCTCGGTTTCGAATTTCTTTCAACACCAAAACACCTCTCAAAGAATCATAAGCCGTTTGTACCCCGAGGCTTTTCGCTACCTACACATCACCATACACTACCTCATTATGAGAGGAAACACGTAAATGTCATTTCCACAAGCGGCTTCCTACTCACTGACGTTAGTCATAAGTATCAACTCAGAAGAATCCTGAGGTCCATGTTGGTGCAATGCAGCTTATCATTGCGCCATAGAAGTGTGTCCACAGGTAGGTAATATCGTCTAATATCAGGTTATTATGTAGGTTATATGTAGCGAGCGACCCGCTAGCCTGGACATGTCCACACCGAGTTACGGAACGGGACTACTGCACCGAGCCGCGGCGGTCCGGGCTGCTTCTCAGTGGGTCGATTTCTCCAGCCTTATAGCTTCTTCCTACAAGCATCCCACTCCGCCATCGCATCGTAATTACATATATCGACCAATACCGTCTAAATATCCACGGCCTTCGGGGTTTCACTTAGTCAAAGATGAACCCATGCCTTTTAGTCAGATATTGGCTATTTCTTACTCTTTCGTACAACGCTTGAGCTCGGTTAGCTGATGGAGCTGAGTAGCAATGTGTGCGATGACATGGTAGACTCTCAAAGGGAGAGTGGGTTTCAACATACATACCTCATACTGCAGCACATGCACAAGCGACGAAGTGTGGAATCAACTAAGTTCCACTGATGTTACTCAACCAAACACTTCGGAACCTTTTGCGGGATCACAAGAGTTATCAATCTTGTACACCCTCCGGGAAGCACGCCGAGACCAGCAATTAGGGCGATCGCCAAGGCTCGGTCCAGGGGAGTCCCTGTACTTATCGCAGACTACCAAAACTGCAATGTTGGGTTCCCTCACTTAAAAATGTCATTCACGATATACTCAATTCATTCTCTCGGTTAAGTTGATCTCTTACCTAGGTAGCTTTCGGTTCTCAAAGAAAGCCGGTCCGATTTTATCTCATCCGGACGGACCTCGAAGCGACACCGGCGCGTGGCAAAATAGCACCGGTTCGCCGCTACGAAGCTCCAAACTATTATTCCTTAGGGCAAGGGGTTAAAAAAAAATATCGTCCTCCTCGGCCGCTAGTTTACCGAAGAGAGGCTCAATAAACCTAAATAAGTAAGTAGCTAGCTTTTAGGTCACTCCAACACGTGGCGGTTAACCCAGCAGAAGTCTAGCTCTGACGAAACGTTGCAGACTCATATACCGAGAGCCTAGATTGATGGCCCAGAACCGCGCGGGACCTCCTAGGACCTACTAGTTTAAGGATAAGTGTCGGCGACACATTCCCTTAAGCAGAGACATGCTCGGCCAGTGTGTGTTATGTAGGTATGTTGTGTGTGAGTATGCGAGTGTGTGCGAATGTGTGCGAGTGTGCGTTTGCGTGTATTAGACGTGTCAAATAGCTTAGCTACACGATGATATCAGCCCGGTATTCTGATTCTGACCAACTGTTTACTAGATTCTACCCACGGTCGGAAATATTATTGGCTGCGCCCTATTGCATGCTCGTCAGCTTCTGTATTTACTTCGCTGCTTTGTCGACCCATTCCTACCATCATCAGATCGGTAGCAGTCGGCAGTGAGAAATGATCGAAAGACGGACAAATCAGATTGTCAGATGAGCCAACTTGGCTTTACCGAGCGCACGTTCATCCACCTATTCTCGGGTGTGGGAAATTCGCAGCGGCTTGTTTCGGTGTCAAGTTATGTATCTTGAACGGCTTGAACATCCAAAAGACTGGCTAAAGGAAGACTGGCTTTTCTCGAACGTGAGTGGCTCTTCGGGTCAATACCGCGGCAAATCCGTACCATTTCTAGCGTAGCCTGCGTCGCCTCTCGGTCGCCCTACACGGCTTAGGTCGTCCTTGGCGTCACCCGAACATCGCATGTGGGCCAATTATACATCCGGTCCCCTGATTGCACACTTCCTCCACCGGCTGCCTAATTTGGCCCCTTCTCCCTAGCATGCCGCAAGCTTGACAGGTGTGTGAAGGGGAAGGTTTTTTTTTTGGTGATAATCCCGAAGTCTTCCTATCAAAAGACCATCGCCGTCTTTAATTGTCCCTATACCGGACTTTAATGTCTTTTCTCTCCCCTTCTTCGTCGTGTAAGTCTCAAATGTAGCCACGCCTTTTTTGCCTGACATGCCCGTCACAGTCAGGCCATCAGATCACGGGTCAAGATCCTGGGCAGGTCGCAGATATAGGCTCGCGTCTTCGCCCGATATCCTGTTGCATTATACACTGACCGACGACACACGCACTAGTCCGCCGCGAGCAAGACAGCTAGTACAGAGTTCGTTTGCGGGGGTTGAGAGGAAGAATAATGTGTTCGCTACCAAGAACGGATTTGTTCACGCATGCGTAGATGCGTATAACGAGCACCACTGCCTGGTAATACGGCCGGAGGATGTCTGGTTCGCCATCTTGACTCAATTCAGCGCTTACGTCAACGCGCACTCCGACGAGCTGCGCAAGCGATTCTGTTCTCATGATGCCCAACAAGAGCTTCATATAGACGTGGAACTGGACGGACTCGACCACGGCAAGATGGCCTTCGCGATGACGAAGCTCATGCAAGAGAATGTCCGGGACGAGGGCCTGCAGCAATGGATCCTACCGGCTTTCACGACGACAACCAAGGTCGACCAGGCAGTCGCCAGCATCATCTTCATGGGGACAATGCAGAAGTACTTCACGTATAGCTGGGGAACGCGATGTGGAATACCATTGGTGACACTTCTCGGCGAGGAGAGCGATTGGATCAAGATACGAGAGCGAGCTGAGCGGCTAACGACCTTCGGTTCGGAGTCATCGCGCTGGTTCCGGTTGCTAAAACCCGTATTGGATGGGTTTGTCACAAGCTTCAGGGATCCCAAGGGCGAAACTACGAGGAGGTTCTGGCAAGCGATCTGTAACGAGCATGTGCCTAATGGTAGCGGTACCGTCGCTTATTCGGGATGGATTACTTCGTTCTGCTTCTGGGACGAGAACGGACGGTGTCTGCACGGACCAAAGCCGGGTCAGGAGGTCCAATTAACGAGGAGCCAAATGCCGAGCGGCTTCGCCAAGGTACCGGTAACGCTACTGGATGATGGCGTCGAGATACCTACGGAGATGGTCGCCGGCTCGATGGCGATGAGAGCGTTTCGATCGAAAGTGACGGTCAGCGCCGATGGCGGACCACAGATGCGACAGAGTGCCGGAAATGACACGATACAACCCGAAGTCGGATGGTTCATGTACAAAACGTGACAGTCTATGGGGTATCGTGGTATCGGTTGCATCTATAATGGTAAGCCGTACCTCTCGTATGTCTCCAATAAGCTACATCTTCATGGTAGCATTGGTCAAGCTCTCTGCAGGTGACAGGTAGCTAATCGTTCCAATAGTATAATTACAGCTTGACCACGACGCTATGGATTGGGGTTCCTCCGACCGTGAGTACATTAGGCGCCAAGCCGGACCGACTCTCGGATCTTTACTCGGATCTATCCACATCTAGTCACAGTCAATCTTGCATCGGAGATGGTACCTTAACGATGGTTGGAAAGCAACTTGTATACCTGGGTCCTTCCTATCCTAATTGTCGAGAGGATATATGACGTCGACCGAAGCTAGAGACCTAAGTCTATAAGCGGACCAATGAGCTCTTGAGAGCAACCGTGGTCGTCTTTATGGTTGGCCTTTGGGCTTACTAAAGAAGACCATAGCTGCTGGTCTGGCGCATCCGCTGGATATATATGGAACGTCGGGACCTTGATTTTGGACTATTGCGATCTTCCCTATTGTGAGGGTGGAGCAACCAGTCATCGAACTAGCCTGTGTTGCGAGACGTTGGCGACAGATTCTTCCTACCGTATCGGTCGAAGACTATCTAGCATCTAAGCCTGCAAAGGTAGGTACTGGATAGGTAGATGCTGTGTGCTGCGAAGTGGTATTGCCGAGGGGGACGACAAACGAAGCATTAAATTGGCGTTAAACATAATTTGCGGACTTAATGGTTAGATACCCGGACTACGGATTTCTCAACTCCTTTTTAGGGGAGTCGCATCGAAGCTGTGCTTCGATTGCGGTTATATACGTTATTGTAGCATATGGGAGACGGTGTGTTATCCGTTTTAGTTGTATATACAAATTTCCAACGGGATTTCATGTCGAGCTATTGATAGATCCTGCGGGTGTAAATACGTTTATATGTTTATATATTTGTACTTATTTATATACTTACCTACATGCTGAACTTTTTAGTGATGGGGGAACTTGTGGAGTAGAATGAATGAAGCTGCATTTATCTATGATGAGGGTATATATGTTTCGCCCCCTTTCACCTTATTTAGATTGATACTCCTGGCATCCCTTAGCCGGCGTCCGTAGCATGGTCCCGAACGACAATTCTGCTCTGGCGGTTTGTGCTGAGAGGGAGGGCTGCCCTATTTTATTGACCCTTTAGATAACCTATCCATATGTTTTATTTCGATGAAAGGAAGAAAGCAGTAATATACCAACCCAATATTTATTACACATATCAACCCCCCAGCATCCATTCCCACCATCTATCTAGGAAGACGTATCATCTTCACATATATCCAAACCCCTTAACCTTCACCCCCCTCATCCGGATACAAATCCACCACCTCCCCCCCATCCCTAATCAACCCATCCAAATTCATCCTAACACTCCACCTAACCCCCCTAGTCTCCCCCTCCTGCACCCCGCCCCCATCCCCCCCAATATCAGTGATATCACTATTCGCCCCCCGTCCCCCCTTCGCGCGATGTATCGCAAAAAACCCCGGCTGCGCCGTGACACACGTATACGGCCCCCCGCGGTCCGGGCTCCCGCCACCCTCGCAAAACGACTTTAACTGCAGATCGAACGGCTGGTTCACGTCCTTCAGCCCGACCTGTCGGAGTATCTTCCGCGCCCCGGACCGGCTTACGGCGTATGCGAGGGAGCAGCACGGGTCTTGCACGTGGTGGTACACGCGTGTGTGGGAGGGGTACATGTGTTCGAGCCCGGAGATCGTGGGGGCGAGGTGCTGCCGCTGCGGGACGGTGGGGTCGGGGGTGTGTGTGATGCGGAGTTTCGGGAGCGCGCGGTTGTTGGCGAATGGGAAGGCCATGCCGCAGTGCCCGGCCCAGAGCACGTCCCAGGCGTCGCCGTAGGGGGAGGTCGTGGGGGCCTGGGTGCGTGGGAGTGAGGCGAAGTCGAGGTCCGGGAGGGAGGGGGGCCCGAAGGTGCCGTTTGGGTATGTGGGGTCGGCGAAGGAGTCGGGTGGAGAGAGGAGAGGCTGGGTTAGTGCGTGCGTGGCGAGTGCGAGGTCGTGGAGTTGCGACCGGATCCGGATGTCCCAGTCCGCGTCGTCTTCCATGATTAGTGCTGACGAGAGGTTTCTTCGCACGATTCTGATATGCAGCGTGTTAGTGATAGGGCGAGGGGAGCGCGACGCCAATGTTCTTGGAAGTGCGTTATGCGCGGGGGCTTGGTCACTGACTCTTGGATCGCATTCATGTGTGCTCGCCAGGCCCCTATGACCGGGTCGGCTAGGCGCTTCAGCTCTTCTTGGCTGCTTAATAGCGCCTTGTCCGGAACATCCCTGCCGTTGACGCCGTCGATGAAATCTATCTCTAGGTTACTGAGAGCTGCTGCTAGGACCATCCCATCGCGGCGGTCTGTGCGAGACGGTAGGCTGATAACGAATATCTTCTCGAACTGGGTTCTGGTGTTAGATCTCATCCTATAGCTAGGCTAGCATGCAGACGCCAACTTACGCCAAGTGTATTGTTGTAAATGTCATTCGTTATTCCCGGGGCCGAAGCTCTCATTCTCTCGGCGCGGAAGTACGGCACTGCACTTGTTTCCCCCTTCACCGAGAGCAGATACAGAGAAAAGACGAAAAAGGCTACTATACCGAGGAGGATCGAGTTGGGAAGCCGTCGAGCTGGCTTAAGGAGCGACATGATGAATATATTGAGTCCATATTGGCGAGATTTGAGAAGAACGAAGATAGGTAATTTCTGTTCTCTTCATATTATATTTTGGTAAGTGAACAGAATCACTCGCTTCTTTCGTCTGATCTTGAATCATATTGGTCTGTTAAATATAGGTGATTGTAGAGCGAACCCACCAATGGTGACTCAGATTATTTGGCTTTGGCTAGAGTAATCGTTGAGTTAGGAATAGCTGCTGTCAGACAATCTTCAAGGCGTCAGCATGTTCTTATGAGTTGTGACTAGCAGTTCGTTATAGCATATTCTAATACCTCGACTTTTGCTGTCCGTGGATATGGGATGATAGTCTTGTATATCATATCATTTCGTGTACCTATCGGTACTTGGTAGTTTAGACCGCCGTATAACATGAGAACCGGCGGTAGTAGTCCAAGTAATATTACCTAAGCATGTGTTCATAAAACACGAATGCCGTAGGTGAACTTGCCTCGTTCCTCGTTCTATCTAACGCAGGCTGAAATGTAGGTGGTTGGTGTTGCGCCTCCAACGCCTCATGTCTTAGATCTCCGGAACTCCCCTCCATACACCGTAAGCTAGTTAGATTCGTCTTCCATCGACTAGGTCGAACCCTAGTTTGGACTTATCGTCTAGATGAGAGGTTCCTGTGTAATTTTTAGCATATAAAATTTCGCCTCTGGAACTATTAGTACGTGTCTGATAGTGGTAATATGGCATATCTGTAACTAAAGTTAAACCTCGAATTCGTCGGACGGCTAATGATGTTACAATAAACTAAACAAGACAATTCTAAAAGCAAGGCTATGCAACGGCGCCAAATTCCCATAGTAATGCGACATCTATCCAACAGCGTACTATGCCCCAGCCCTATATGTACCTGAAGAGCCTCGAGACAGCTTCGCGAAAATGTATATGTACCACCGAGCCCCGGGGAGGAAATGGAGGTCCCCGATAAAAAATGTCGCTTAGAGCTCGTGTTCCTTCTCCTCGAGTTCGCGCATGTACTTCACGAATCTCTTCTTGTGGGTCTGTACGATGTTAGCATGTGGCTGAGATAGCGACGTCATCATGAGACTTACCATCCCCGCATAACGCCCATCTTTCAGGACGCATATATATCGCAGACCGAGTTTAGCAAAGCATTCATACACTAGGTCCATCGGCGATTTGATATCCAAAGCGACGGGAGCAGGATCTATATAAGGCGTGAAGTCTGTAGGGTCTCGCTCTTCGGATTCTTCTTCATCTATGTTCGGTATACTCGCCATGAGACAAAGACTACTGCTCTCATCATTGAGATTATCCAAGGCATATTCTAAGTCGGGAGCGGGAATCAAACCGACGAGAATGTTATCTCTGAGTATCGGAAGACCGCCGTCCAACTCTCCAGCCCGGTGAAGAAGGTCCAATTTAGTACGAAGTTTTGTGGCTGGGACCAAAGGTGAGGCACTGATATCAATGACGCGCTCGTGGCGAAAGCGCGGGACAATATCCGCAAGATCAGAAGTGAATATGGGCTTATGTTTGTTGTCCAGATACGGATAAGCATTCATGTTCGTGAGCAGGTCGTAGATACTAAGCGGTTCCAAGGCGTCCGCTGTCCACTTAGCAACGAGAATAGCCAAAGAAAAAGGCAAGACATAATCCAAACTTCCGGTAAGCTCGAAGAGGATGACGGCTAGGGTAACGGATAATCTTGTTACGCCACACATTGTCGAACCTGCAGCAATGAGCCCATATACACCTGGTTGTACGCATGTCGATTCTTGGAGAAGGGGACAGCTTCCCCATATACTCCAGTGCGGAAACCGAAGTACTATCCATTGCATCAGATGGCCGACGATTCTCCCCATAAGACCACCGACGACCATAGAAGGGACATAGATGCCTGCAGGGACTTTGATGCCGAACGTGATGGTTGTCAAGAAGCCCTTGATGATAAACGCAGCAAGCAGCATGCGAATAATACCGGGTATCTCGTCAATGTTTGAAGGGCAGAGGCCTAATTCGTCGTCTCTGCTATCATCTTGGCAAGGCGCTGCAAGATTCAGTAAGAGCTTCGCGACGGGAAGCTTGGTCAAGGTATTCCAATAACCGATAAGTCCTGTGACCAGGGCTACCAGGACGACCTCGAGAAGCGGATATTTCTTAATGGCTGGGATCTTGCGGAAGGATAGAGCCCAACGGCGCGATGCTTTGATGAACAAAGCCCCAAAAGCACCACCCAATACACCTACTAGGATGAAGCCGGCCAATTCGAACCATTCCCAGTCGATTTTATAACGGACCTCGAACATAACGATCTTCTGTGTACCATAGGGGTTAAGGAATTTCAAGGACAGAGCCGCGACGATACAGCAAAAGAAGGTGCGGAAAAGCGTCTTTGCTGGGAAATAATAGGCAACCTCCTCAAGACCGAATAGGACACCACCGAGAGGGGCCCCAAAAGCAACAACAACACCTGCTGCGGCTGCAGCGGATAGTACTTCGCGCCTTTTGCCATCGTTGCGGTCGTATTTGGCGAAAATTCGACAGCAGATGTTGCCGATACAAGTTGCGATATGAACGTAGGGACCCTCCTTACCAAGACTCAACCCTGAAGCTACACTCAAGATTAAACCTACCGATTTAATGATGAGAGTTTTCAAGCCAAGAAAGCCGTGTAAAACGAATCCACTGAGAATAACGCGAACTTCAGCTACACCACTGCCGGCTGCGGAATAGTATACCATCGAACTCGAAGAATCAACGGGCTCCGGGCGAACCTCTCTTGGACTAATATTCCCATCATCCTCATCCTCGTTATCGTCCGATGGTTGACGGGAATAATCTGCAGCTAGGTTCTCATCCAATGTCGACATTCGGTACGCCGAAGGAACCACGGTTTTAGTTGATAAAGTAAGCAGACAAGACGAAACCGAGAGGATAAGAACGGCGAGGACATAGATTCCAAAGTCTGTCCATTTGTTTCCAAACGGATGACCACCGAGAACCTCTGACCAAGATCGCCAATCAGTACACGGTCCATGGGGACAACATCTCTGTGAATATTATTAGCCACCATGCGTTCACAACAGAGCAAAACAACATTATTACCTTTTCTCTTAGGTACCACCCTCGCGTACAGTACCCATCCTTGAAATCGAAGATGGTAGTCTCAGCTACATTCACACAATATGCGAGCAGAGCTACCAGAACGCCGACTAAGGCGCTTAATATCCAGCCCTGAGCACCGTCAAACAAGACGATGAGCCTCCCCACAAAGTCCTTCCGACTACGTAGTTGTTTTACCCGATAGGCGTCGGCTATGCTGTCGTGTACCCAGTCGGTCGAGGTAAACTGATCATACCATATCCGGTCGTCCGCGATAAGAGAGCTTTTCGACTCGGTCATAGGGTCCTGGCGATCAGAAAGTGCCTGCACTAAGCGCTGCCCCCATGATTCATGGCGGGAATGATATCGTGAACCGTGGGGCGTCCCGGCGTAGCTATGATTTCTCGATAGATATGTTCTCGGGCTACCTACGGGACTTTGGATACGGACGTGGGAGTGCGAAGGGCGTAGAAGAGAGGTATTCTCGTCGGGGGTTTCAGATAATGAGTGCCGTCTACTTCTTCTTGCATGGTGGCGTGAATATGTAGGAGAGACGGGAACCGATAGGGTCGGGTCGTCGTGCGAAGGCGTATTGGCCATTGCGGATAGTCGAGAGCGACTTCGGAACTGTTCAAATCGAAGAGCGTGGGGTAGGAGATAGGGGTGGACTCGTCTTAGGCATCATGAGCGCGAAGGAGGCAGCGGGCGATGTGCATTGTCGGCTTGGTTGGTCGGGATGAGACACGGTTAATGGCAAGCACATAGGAAGTTAGGTAGATGAAGAAGCTCGGGAGTAGGTTAAGCGCGAATTCGAAGAGATCCTTATATTCCAGGTTATTAGTAGACTAATACTAAGTAGTAGTATTGCATTTTGATGTACAATACATATGGGTAGGGGGTCGTCAGCAGCTCCCGGGGGGACATCGTAGGTGGAGACACCGATGGCGTCTTATTAAGAGGTTGCTACAACTCGCTGCATTTTTCCTCCCTGTCTTTCCAACAACTTCGAATTCGACAAAGGAGAATCAGGGAATCCACCTTAACAACTTAGAATAACCCACAAACCCCAGAATCAACTGACAACCACCTAGTCTGTGTTACCATATTAGATTGTTAACTCTAACTTTAGTTAAAATCTTGTAATGATGGTTGTGAGGGTAGGAAGGAGCTAACTGAGGTCAGATGGAGGTTTAGTGGATCCCACAAGAATCCCAAGCTCTGAATTCGTTTGTCAATGTTGGACACAAAGCAGGCCACATGCAAATTATATCATTGTGGGTCGTCCTAGATCGCTGCTACCACATCGTTATCGGTGCATGTAAGTACTGTACTTCGGGCGTTACGTACATCTGTACCACCTTCGTAAATTTACGGGCGTGACACCAGCCCGGATACTGTACGTGTGTACTGTACAACAGCCCTTGATCTGCCGTGAGCAGCATGAGAAGGTGAAACGTGCTGCTAAAAGCCGATCTTCAGCGCCGCGTCTTGTCGCTAAAGTCGCTAAAGCTGCCTGACTTTCTACAAGCCACGCGCGGAAGGAGCGTATCCCGCTAGTAAACTAAGGTACTTAGGTACATTAGCGTTCCCACAGGCTGATCCAATATTCGACATCTTCAACATTAATTCGAGATATCGCGTTACAGTACATTAGTAACTATTAACGTCGCACACGCTACAAATTTACCTATGTATGACATCTTACTGCTAAGTGGAACACCTGGAACCTAGGCGACGAGCTTAGTAAATCAACTGGGTAACTCAGAGAACGCGGCTGAAAAGTTAGTCGCGTTACCAACCTTTGACATCTCATCTGTGGTACCTTGCTAAGGGTACGATTGAGATTTCAACAAGAATGGATATGAGTTAACATCTACTCGAAATGTCATCTAAACAGGGGAAGAGTTTAGCTGTGCCGAAATTTGGCTCTTTCAAGCCCAAACCTGAGCCAACACAAATCCAACCAAATAATGAAGATGATAAACCAAGACAACATGACGAACGCCATATTTCTCGAAAAGAAAACACCCGCCATTCTTTAGCAGGTAAATCTGATCAGCATGATAGTGCCCACACTCATGAAATCTCATATCGTCCATCCCCGTCGGAACAAGCAAAAGATGGTCTATTCATTTATGACAAACGAGGTGATACCTTAATTAGGAGGTATGGTAGTATCAACCGTCGTGACGTTCCCAACTACCGCCGTTTTGGATCCGGTCGTATTCTTGGAGTCGATGGCTATATGATAATCGATCATACCAAGAGCTATGATGAGTTCTTCATATTAACTCATCATGAAACCCGTTCCCTGCTTAGTAGTGACAGAAAGACCCTCTTAGCTAAAGGTCATCTTAAATCTCAACCTATCAGGGTTCGACGGGAACAGTCACAGACAGTGTCAGGGTCTGAGGATTTTGTACCTCTTAAATCTTCAAGGAAACGAAAGCGAGCCGGTTCCGAACCAGAGAGTTCGTCGAGCGAGGAAGAGCAGTCGTATAGATCAATCCATGGGAAAAGCAAGAATCATGAGCATTACGATAGTGATGTGGACTATGACAGTGACACCTCTACAGGCCCAAGGGATCTCGAATTGGATGATCCTATAAATTTGAAGTCGGTTGAGTTATCTAGGGCAGTACGAGACCATCCCGAAGATATCGACGCCTGGTTTAAGTTAGTCGATCATCAAGACACGCTTCTGCGAGTAGGCGCTCAACATGAGCGCCACCCAACTACAGCAGAAGTCAGAAGCTTTGCTGATATCAAATTATCAATGCTCCAGCAGGCATATTCTCACGCAACAACTAATTTACAACGAGAGAAGTTACAGTTAAGAATCATGCGAGAAGGTTCAAAAGTGTGGGACGCCAAGGTCCTTACAAAACGATGGGACGAAGCATTCGAGAAGCACGGAACTAGTTTTGGGTTGTGGAGGGAACATACAAATTTCGAACAGACGAGGCTGTCAACTTTCCAGTACGAGAAGATCAAGAAACTCTATGTTGAGCGATTACGGTACTTGGAATCAGAGGTTTCGAATAAAGAATCACATTCAGATCGTATTCAAATCTATGAACATATGATATATGTGTTCCTTAGGGCCACACGATTCATCTCAGATGCCGGATTTAGAGATCTTGCCACAGCAGCATGGCAAGCTACACTAGAATTGACATTTTCCCGGCCCTCGACTCTAACGGAACAATCTGATATCGGAATACCATCTAGCTTCCAAGAATTTTGGGACAGCGAAGTGCCGCGGATAGGAGAGGAATTAGCTCAGGGATGGGCTGTTTTTGAACAGAATAGTGGGACACAGGAACCTCCCGAGCCTAAAGGTTCAGACAGATGGTCACCACCAAATACTCGAGATGGGTATAAAGCATGGTCAGCTATCGAGCAACATAAAGCTCGATCTGCTACGAATCCCGCGCGCACCTTAGATGACGGAGCAGAGGACGACCCATTTCGAGTCGTCATGTTTGCGGATATCCAGGATATACTTTTATATCTTCCTACAGAAGTTATTCCTGATATTCAGAATCAATTACTAGATGCATTCTTGATATTTTGCCAGTTACCTCCCGCACACTGTTCTAGTAACATCGTTCTGGACATGGTTTTAGATGATTTCCTTATTCGCAGTTCAGCGAAACTCATCGTCACAGAGGCTGCACCGGATCTAGCTACAGATTCTGAAGGACAAGACAAAAAGCTGCCAGAATTTCCGCACGACTACCAACATATGGTTACTACTCCGGAAATACTCTTCCCAACGCCACATTGGTTTAAGTTGATGAAGAATATTCGGGATGACGTTCCCACCGACCAATATCACTGGATTTCGATTACATTGAAGCAACTTGTCCGTACATTTGGGATCCGTGAGCTTGCTCCGTACTATCTCGCTTTCGAGTCTATAAACGATCCAGGAAACGAGAAGAAAACGGCCAAGGCTCTCTTAAAGCAGAATCCATCAAATGTCGTTCTGTATCGGGGCTACTCAATACTGGAATGGACTAAGGGCAATAAGGACGTCGCTCGCAATACCATAGCTGCTGCGATGGGTTTAACAACAATCTCACCTCGCGATAAGCTTTCTTTAAGCATTGCTGCAGCGTGGATGGAAATTGAAGACCACAATTTGGCCAAGGGGACACTTCAGTTATGTGCCTTGTCAGGCGATAATTCTGCAACAGCGATATTACAAAATACATCTGCCTCCACGGCGCAAATTCTCAAAACTAGACAGTTTCTGTCATCAAACCGAGACTATCTACTATCATCAGGAAATGCGGAGGATGCTATCGTCTACGCCGAAGGTCTAGCTCTGCTCGAATACTTGACGCAACAAAGTAATAAGGAGCCTTCTGGTGGGTCCCAAGGAGATATTTGGTCTGCGATTTCGAGCATTTCAACTTTTTCGGATGAGTTAATTGCTCGTGAACTAGGAGATAGTTCTCCCCATGAGCAACTACTTCAGTTTGCTGCTCGTTTACTTTACCACTATGCTAGTCAAGGGTGAGTAGTCATTTCTAGGCACTTGCGGCAGATAAGAATTAACATATTATTCATATAGTCCTTTTAGATCCGGGTTCCTACGCGAGCAACTTACGAAATACATCAAATTCTTCCCCCAAAATACGATATTCCTCAGTCTATTCGCGTGGAGAGAGGCACGTCTGAGCATCGACGATAAAGTGCGCTCTATCCTCGACAAAGTTGTTCTAGTTGAACCACACGATTGTGTCAGCAGTCGGGTGTTCGCCATCCGCTACGAGTCGCGCACTGGCAACGTACACTCCACACGAGCAGCGTTCGAGCACGCCCTCGAGAGCGAGGTGTGTAAGAACCACCCCGGCTTGTGGATATCGTATATCAGGTTCTGTCACGACAATAAGCAGCTCCGATCCAAAGCCAAAAGCGTATTTTATCGAGCGATCCAACGTTGTCCGTGGTCGAAGGAAGTGTTTATGGAGGCGTTCGTCACGCTGCTTAGAGACATCGATTCATCCGAACTTAGGTCGGTCTATAATACGCTCTGCGAGAAGGGATTGAGGGTGCATGTCGAGATGGATGAATTTGTGGATAAATGGCGGCGGGAGCAGAAGGAAGGGAAGGGAAAGGATAGAGTTAGGAGATAGGTGTCCTTAAAAAACTAACAACCCTGAGTGGCAAATAATTAAGTAGAATAGCGCTGATAGAAGAGACATATCACGCAGATTTTACTACATTGCATAATTGTAGATATAAATAGGTAGACTATATACACGACTATCGTCGAAACCGAGTGACTATATACAGCAGTGACAACAACAATTAGGCCAGGACCACTAAGTCCTATCCGAAGGAGAAGGTAGTTAAATGCCCAGACAGCAACCTCACACGAATCCAATCTATCCTGTCTGTAACAGGATCCCAAGCCAATGCGAGAAAGCAGGGGGGCGAGACGAAGGAAACCCAGACAGAATGCAACCATGAATATGCAAACGACCAGAGTCGAAAAGAAGAAGAAGAGACGGGGTATGCAAGTACGAGAGATAAAAGCGACCGATCCAAGACACCGAATTCCATAAGTAACAGACGAATACATACCCCCCGACAACGCCAGGAGGAGATGGGTATGTATAGGTGATAAACCAAAAAGAACAAAATCAACGAAGGTCCGAACAGAACACCCTCCTTCCCTCCCCGTCCACCCACGATCCCCAACTCCCTCTACTTAGACCTAGTCTTAGCCTTCGTAGCCTTCGCAGTCTTCGCACTCCCAAGATGCAAAAGCTTCTTCAACCCCTCAAACCACGTCTTCAACTTCTCCCACACCCCACTCCCACTCCCACCGTCCCCTCCACCCCCATTCCCCGTATCCGGCGTCTTCTCCTTCCCATCCCCCCCCTTCGCAGGGCCATCACTCGCCGGCCCGCCCAACGTAACCGTCAACAGTTTCGGACTGCCATCAAACACGGTCCCCGCCGGATCCGGCTGCGTAGCGCCGGACGGAACCACATCATCGTACGGGAACGCGTACCCGCGATTATCGATATTCGTCTCGTGCACGATGCGCGCGTAGTGGTTCGTCGGGCTCGCCTTGTAGTAGTTCGCGACCTGCTCGCCGTCGGGCTGCTGGTCGTTCGCCATCAGCGTCGACCGGTTGAACGCGGCGGCGATGCGGGCGCCTAGCGCGCCCATCTCGTCCGATGTCGCGGCCGGGTAGTTCCCGAAAGGACCGGTGGAGCACGAGAATATGTCGCCGGCGGAGGGCCGCGCGAAGGAGCCGACGTTGGCGAATGTGATGGCGTCGTTTTGAACCCGGCCGGTCACTTTGCCCCATGAGGCTTGCGTGTCGATTGTTAGGTCTGCGGATGTGTATTTGCTCCATACTTGGTCGATGTAGGAGTCGAAGTACCCGTTGAAGAGCGTGTTGTCGCCGACGCGGGCACTGTTTGGGCTGAGTGCGCGCAGCACGCGGCCGTCGCTTGATTTGACGATCAACTTGTCCCATCCGGCGCCGTCGCTTGCGTTCTGCTGCGTCAGCTTGTCGACTACGGTCGCGAGGCCGTTTGCCGGCATGCCCTGCACCGTCTGTGTTGCGCCGGCGGTGTTGACGAGCTGAAGTGCGACGGGGATCGGGGGCACGAAGTCGACGTAGCTGATATTGACGAATAGCTGCTCGGTGTTGTATGTGAACTCGGCAAAGCCCCAGTCGATGGCGTAGTTGGGGTCCGCCGTGTTGGTCACGCTAGGCTCAACGATCGCCGGACCCGGGTTCACGAGGAAGGTCAGCTTAGTGCCACCGGTGCTGAACCAGATGCGACCACCCGCGATCTGCGGGATCGTGACCGTGGTTGTGGAACCAGCTGCGCCGAGAGGGATGGCGATGTCCTCGGTTAGGGCCGTCTGGGTTGCCGAGGGGTTGGCGGGCCGGTACACGGTCTTGCCATCAGCCTGGATGAATAGAGGCACATTGTTACTGTTGATGTCGAGACCGTTGATATACGCGTAGGCCTCGGACGAGCCCGTGTTATTCACGATAGCTATATCGGTCGTGGGGTTCGTCATATTGGCCGAGTTTTCGGGGGTTTTCCAATTATCTATTACGAAGCAATAAGGAGCGAGTGGCTCATGAGAAAATCATGAAGGACTGGAACCGATGGGTAACTTGAGATAGGCAACGTTTAACTATCTCGAAACGAGTGGAACTCCTCTGATTTTATGGTAAAATCAACCTAAGAAGAGGTTTCTAGGGATGCAAAAGTTCCAAGATTGGAGGGAAAGACTTGCGAGCATGTGCTCCACGATTCCTTGTTGGAGTGTGCAACCTGTGACCTTCGAGAAGCAAAGCGTAGAACATTAAGGAGAAGGGGGAGCCAACCGACTTTATGAGATGTAATTCTGTATACCTAGTACGTAAGTTAAAAACTGATTGTTCAATCAACGGTTCCTTGACGTAGGGCTTGTGAGCGATGCCTAAGATCATTTGATATCTACCGAGTTGCCCTAAACCAGTCCTCGGGTACCTGGAGTAGCTTCATGATCTGTGGAGACATCGCTGGCATAGACGATTGCTTTTGCTTAGGCCTCTTTCGCAGGCAACTTCCAACCAAGTTTTCGTAAGGGAGAGACATCATGTGTTGGGGATGTGACAAAATTCATGTGATAAGTGACTTGAACCAAGGAGAGTGTTCAAAATAGGGTCGTAACAATAAATAGCACAGCCTCTTTAAGCCACTGGAACCGAGAGCAAGAAAGAACATACGACATCGGAGTAATTATCCGGGAGTAGGGTACTAAAAATTGAAAAGATCTTCGGACTTCATGACGGGACGCCAAGTTATGCGAATTATTCAACAGGCTGTATACCCAGTAGCTAGGTAGGTAGCTGGGTAGCTGCTGGCCAGCTGATGAGACAAAAGCATGGCGGTGAAATAGTCATAGCTGAGAGACACAAAGAAAGAATGTGTTAGAAAGTATGGAGAAGAGTGTAGAACGTGAAGAATGACGTCTCATCCAAGAAAAAAAACCTTGATGCTAAGAGGGGTCATCGACCCTGTCCGGCGGTAAAGGAGGTAAAGGAGACAGAATAGAAGGCGGCATAATGAATGAAGGCTTGGAGAGCTGTTTCATTTCGGGGAACCAATAAATGCTTGTCAAACTGGTTGTGTGGTGGACACGCGCATTTATGTCTCGGAGGTTGCAGCCAAAGGAGAAATACGGCGAAGGCAGACGATGGGTCTTCCGGGGTTTGAAGTCGTCGGGCCGTGCCCGGCCGTCCACGTTAAAATTGTTGCTTAGTACCTCCCATACCTTCCACACTCCCATATGTACGTAAGAGAAATGCGGAGAGTCCACCATGAGTTGTCGTCGTACGAATGTATAAGGCTGCGGCCGATACACAAGATACACGAGAATCTTCGGGTATCTGGTACGTTTATAGGTCTGTTATGATGAGTCTATAACTATTAAAATCCATAATTAGTAGCCAACAAATAAAATAATTAATAACCAATAGGGGAGGTTCCATACCTAGCAAATACCTACATGAACTCCATCAACCGGTGGAAATTATCACAAGCCACTTGGATGCACAATTTTCAATATGTAGTAAGGTTGTTTAAGATCCGTCGGCACAATTCTTTAGATGTGGCGTAACGCCCTGTCTCTCAAATCTCCACGATCCATCCCATTTGATCGATCAAGTCTCCGAACCGTCAACCATCAACCATCAGCCAATCCGGTGAAATCTTGCAAAAAATAGCACCAACCCCTCTTTCCCCAATGACGTCCCCCCTTTACGTAGGTACCTAGCACAGTACATGACCACGCGCAGGTGGAGGGGATGGGGTATCGCAAAGGAGCAATCCGAATCGGGCAGGTGGAGAGCCGTGCCGCGCAATATGACTGGTAAACCTAAATATTAACTCTATATCCAAAGCTCGACTAAAATCCAAGTCTCTTCCTTCCTCCTTATTTCCTTACTAACATAGACACTTCTCCGCGCCCGGGTGACCCGCCCCGAGGTGGTGTGCGGGCTCCGCTCTTGGCTACTGTTCTCCTCCCTTTCTCTGTCTCTCTCTCTCTCTCCTATCCCAGAACTTCCTACCTACTCTCCAACAAAACCGTGACATTTGGGACGAGCGTGTCACGGTACACCAGCCTTACTGGCTCGGCCGAGGAGGGCATAATCCACGAAGCTAAAGGGCCTGAGCGGTGTCACCAGGAACTTATAACTGAAAGATCGACAAGCTTGGGTTCGTCCCGTTTCTGGTTGCGCACGTCTGTCTCGCGTCACGAGACGCTACTCTAGAAGGGAGGATGTGAGACATCTTTTTTCAGTTTTCTCATTTCTTTAATTTCCCAGATTACGAGATTACTAAAGATATTTAGCGAAGCTGAAATTTCTAACCTAGATAGATCGTATGATTACTAGAGACTGACCTTAGCAGTATAGTCTTCCTTGATTTTAGGTACCTGTGTCAAGACGCCTAGTTTAGTCGATGAGCAACACATCACCTAATTCCCAAGGCCTCATTCCCTTTCACATCTTACAGTACCTAGTCAGCGTGAACATACTAAAATTGTAATATAGACCGCATTCTGCCTCTCCACGAAGCCCCTGGGTATCTAACCTGGCCCTGGACGAAGCAGAAAAGCTAAATAAATACATGCGAACGTGAATCAATAACTGACCTATTCCCCACACCCGTCCTCACGCAGCCCTAAAGGATATCATAGACCAAAAGCGATAGGTAAACCCCCTATCATAGACATAATGCTGCGACACTCTTGCCCAATCCATCTTCGCTCATATCACATCCTTTCGATAACAACATGAAGCCCTGAATGGCTACCTAGTACTTTCATAGCCGCCTTCTATATCCTAACCATCCACGCACTAGTTGCCAGAACCGCAGCGAATAGGAGTGACCACCATTGTCTCGATCGCCCCGAGGAATTCTCGTGGTATGTTGTTTGGTTGGGGGCCATGTTATCCGTGTTACTAAAGAAGAACGTGGCGTTATTCTCCGGGATAGCGCAGACCGCCGTAGAAGCCGACGGGTCTTTACAGCGCATCTGATAATCATTCTGTCGTGACTCCAAAGATGAGTTGAAATAGGCCTTCACATAGCTAACCGTGGTGGTAGCATCTGATTTCGGCGGTCCTTGGGACCAGCCTCCGTTGCCGTTGCTCCAGTGCGATACTTGCAGGTTGCCCGCGGTAGACGGTACTCCTGTTCCGTTCATCTCCGTAAGTAGCTCGGCGTCCGCGTAGAATAGTACTCGATCTGGTAGAAAGTCAATCCGATACTCGTGAAAAGCTGCTGTGGGGTCGAATGACAAGTTGATCTTCTTGAAATCGCCGGTTTTCGAAGCGTCAAACCCAGCATCTTTCGATTCTTGGGATTGCAAGACGAGATTAACAGGGAAGGTGTTGTTATTTCTATTAAACTCAGATGACAAGAATTCTATGTCAATCTCTTGAGTGTCGTTCATATACTGATGAGAATACTGTTAGCAAACCATTTCACTTTGTATCTTATTTGATATCGACTAGTTTCTCCGCAAAGAGGACTTCTTACCCAGAAGAAAGCACTACATGTTCCTGGAATATCGGTGACCTTTATGCCTGCCCTGAAAGTTCCGTGGAAGTAATGGGTGTCCGTTGTAGAAACATCGGCGCCGGTGACCATGCCATCCTCGATATCGCTCTTGACCACGAGATTGAGACCAGCGTCTCCTCCTTTGGTCCCAGATCCATCGAACACTTGCTCATTTGCAATATTATTTGATATCACATTTTGTGGTGTGTATGATTCGCCATAAGGACCTCGCGCAACGTCGCTAGACATGTTGAAGTCCTGTCGTGCCCATCCATATTCTCCATACTTCTGTGATCCGTCCGTGATATCCAAATGGACGAAGTCACTCTCTAATATATCTGTGAACAGATGTCTCTTATTATCAGAAGCCGTTATTATCGAGTATCCGCATTCGCAATCGGCCAGCACGAGATTAGAGAGTATGGTCAAGGAGGCCAGGAGACGTAGAGAAGTCATCGTGTGGTAGAGTATTCGCCGAGGCATCGCGGATTCGAAAAAGCACGCTCTGTGTAGTTGTCGACTAAGCAGGGTACCGGCGCAATATAACAGAAGCAAGGGATATCGTATTCGAAGGCTTGAGCAAAGGAGTGACCGAGAGAAAGCAAAGAACCGAGGCAAAATGAGGGTCTATAGTGAACTGAACCTGTCTAGTTTTAAAAGTTCATGTGAGACAAACACACTAAACAGATGAACGGCTATAAACAGCACATGCATCCCAAAAATAGGAAGGAGGCCACTAATGAAGGGAAGGAGAAATATCATTGTTAGAACTTGGTGTCCCTAGATATGCAGGTAGGAACGGTTGGCCGTCAAGAAAATAGTACCCCCGATATTTAAAGTAGGCGTTTTCTTAATCTGCCTTCAGTCATACGTTTGTAGAGAGGCTTGCAGGAAAGAACTAACGCCTCGACGGGTACCTGCAGCGCGCCGATAGGAAAGGAACATCGTGGCTTCATGATAGATGTATACGAATCCCTGCAATTTTTTACAAGCAAGGGATGATTACCTACCGCCTTCAATGTTATTGATAGGCACTGCAGCTCATGAAACTACTAGTTAGGTATCGAGTATATCACAAAGTTTTCATTGCGGAGAAGTGATTTATTGAATTCTGACGCGTGTTGTAGTATCTATAACTCGAAATGAACCACTTCCTATCGAACTAATTAATCAATTTGTTGCGAGTCATGTTTTCCGATTTGCCAGGCTCAAGTTTCCATCCTGAGATTCAAGTTCACTGGCTCTATTACATGACATGACGAGAAGACTTAAAAAAGGAAACGAGTTGTAGGAAGGAGAGGACGGAAAAATCGAGTCAAATGCAGACGAGCGAGTGCAAGGAAATCGGCGGATATAAAGACAGCCGGTAATTGTGAACGAGGTATCTGGCGGCGACGAAGAGTCGGAAAAAAGTTGAGAAAAGGCGACAGCAGCATTAAAATAGGGTAATTGCGCCGTAGCTAATAGAACAGAGAGGAAAAGAAGCTTCAATCATGGACCAGCCAGCCAACTGCATCAGACATTATATCGCGCGTATCACGCAGTTGCCCCCACCCCCTTTCCACTGGTCACCGAGAGAGCCACCCTATTCCAGGCCCCCCATTCCGGTAACGTCAGATGCAGATAGATGTCGGATGCAAACAGTATGAAAAGTAACGGATTCCCTTAGCAAAAACCCCCCCGCGCCGGACCATCCCTGATAGAGAGAAAAATAATTCAAGCGCAGTCGTAGGAGGTATATGCCATTAAGACTCTCCCACCCCGGACCTCCCCATTACTAGAGGAAGAACAAAGAAAATCGTAAGCCTCGTGAATAGTATTTAGTACACACTCTCCTCGTCGCCCCCTTGAGAAATCATAGAGGGTGTCGAGACGTTGGAAGACGCTTCAACATCGTCCACGTAGCCCACTAGGGCTTGAGAGTGAAGGCGGAAGGCTTCGCCCATTAGTCTTGTAATGCTATAGATACGAGTTAGTCTTAGTATATTATACGGAATATTAGATTGTCAACTTACCCCCAAACCACTACTTCGTCGAGCATGGAACCCCACAGATGCGCCACAGTAGAGCTGAGCTGTTGGGAATTCATAGCCCCTTCCGCATCCTTATCGAAAAGCATCCTAACCTTGAGATACATGGCCATCTCCTCCTCTGAGGCAGCTTCTTCGTCATGTTCCAGACGATACAACCAGAGAGTGAGGGTGATCATGAGATCCATGCCGCACAGAGGGTGTTCGATGCTCCAGTTGGTCGGAGATGTACGAGCGACCCAGCGTACGCCTTGACGGACAGCTGTTTCGATGCAGTTATAACATTCCTCGATCACCTTAATCATCTCACTAGAGCGCTTGACCCTATCACGCGCATTGGACATGGCAGCGGCGACCTCATAATGGTCATGATACCGAAGTGCTTCTTGTACCGTCTTCAAATCAACCTCTAATCGGAGTCGGGCGTTGCGAAACATTGCCTTGGCATTGAAGATTAAGGGGTGGCCCTTATGAGGTGCGCTTAGCGGGACCGCATCGGCCTCGGGCTCGCAGAGGTCCAGGGATTTCTCCCACGTCTCCAGAGCAAGTCGAAGCTTGTATTCGGTCACCACATCTTGCAAAGCCTCGGGGCTACGCTTGTGGTACCACACTTCTAAGAATAGGGCATTGATCATAACACGCGTCGCAAAAGCGCTGTACTTCAACGTCTCTCCCTGGAAGAGCTTCTCGTGGGCATCCATGAACGTAATGGCAGGGGAGGTCTTCAATTGCTCTTGCCAGGTGGCTTCATCTGTGACCTTGGAGTTCCAAAGCGCCTCTTGGGATGGAAGTTGAAGATTTTCGAACTCGTTGAAACTGATAGCAGGCGTGTGGTTGTAGGTCATTGTGAGCAGTCCGAAGAAGATATAGACAGCGTAGTACGTGCGACGGCAGCCTTCGTCCTCGATCCACTCATTTCGCGTAGGTTGCGCACCTTCGCGCCCATCTTGTCGAAGCTTCAACTCGTACCGGTTACCAGCGACCATGTTAGCCAACAAACTCTTGATCGAGCAAGCCCATTCAAGTCCCTTCGGGTCTCCACTCCAGCTGGCGAAGATCATGTTGAGAAGTGAGCCCTGCATGGTCCAGAGAGGGCATTTTCGAGAGCTGAAGTTCTCCTTGTTCTGCAAGAACTGATTTACCAATACCTTGGATCCAATGTGGAGCAGGTAGGCCTGGTCCTGGTCAAAGGCGTAAAGAGCACCAATTGATAGCACTGCAAGCAGTAACGCCGGTGATACCTGTGTCACGTTGAAGGACGCAGGATGCAAGAACGGTAAGTGGTGATGAAAGAGCGTAAAATACGTTGATAGATAACGATTCAAGGACGATAAGTTGGGAACACGGAAACCTTCCGGAATCGCACGTTCGCTATCATGTGCTCGAATATTGTCTAGAAGTATGTTGCGCTCTTCGTCGCTGTGGACGCGAGGAATGTTGAAGCCCGCCGAGTTCTGAGGCGGATTAGTGTATGCGCTTTTTGTGTGAGTTGTAGATAATGCGTTCAGGGCCGCTGGGCCATTGCTGAAAGGGGGTAACGGATCTACCACGGACTGCGGCGCAGGTATAAAATCGTTGTAGGTGAGACCAGGAGAAGGGGGCGAAAGGCTGGGTTGGGCCTGAATGGCACTCACATTGGCAAAGGGATGTTGCGGATCGAACGAAGCGGATGCACTTGATGCGGCAGAGTGAGCTTTGGCATCCATCGTTGTCTGCGAAGCGAACGCATCCCAAGGGGCACTGGTAGGTAGCGTGGCAGCACTAGAAGCATAATTGACCGCGGGATCCACCATAGGAGGGCCGGTGGGAGTGTAGGACATCGAAGGGCCAGATTCGTATGCGCTTGCATTGTCGTGCATCATCGCCTTATGATGAAGGTCCGCGACTAGCATAGCAGCATGTTCGACATCGAAGGCTCCTTCGCTACTAGCTTCGATCTGTTCACTAAGGGTCGAGGCGTCGATGGCAATAGAAGACTTTGAAGGTCCGTTGACAGCTCTTGACTTGGATACACCATTGGCGCCAGCGCGACGTTTTCCATCGCTGTGGAGAGGAACACCTCCATCCTTAGCATGAACTGTTCGGTCGTGTCGGAGAAGTAAGTCGCGTCGTACGAAGGTACTTCGGCACTTCATACATTTGAACGGGCGCTCTTTCGTATCTATCATTTATCAAGTCAGCATTTGGCAAGCTAGAGGTAGATCAACATAGGTTGCATCAAATCAGAGTGATTGAAGGCGTTGAGGGGTAGCTGATTTGCGACGAGGGGGACGGGGGGCGGAACAAAGAACGATTGACGGGACACAGAGGAGGGGCTTTTTTTGGAGGGCGGTTGGAAAGGGATTGGGGACGAATTGGGGGACGAATTGGAATTCGCGCCACATACGCGATCGTTCATGTCTACTTCGATGTTCGCTTCTGCTAAATGCCCTGTTGCAAAACTGGCACTTGTACTTCCTTTCTGGTTGCGCGAGAGAGGGTTTTCGGGTGGCCGGAGTCGATGAGGCAGAGGCGGAGGTGGTAGGAAGGACTGCCACGTTCGCGCCAGGCATCTTGAATAATGATTGTCGCGTTGGTCGGGTTAAGGTCTGCGATGATTGTGGGTGATGTGAAAGAGGAAAAGGTATTCCAATTCAGTGGGCTTCTTCGCTTTTGTTGACAACGTCTATGCGGTCGACACTCCGAAAACTTGGGCAGTTATTGTTGAGTTGACCCTTTCACAGGCTGATAGTTGAAATCGCCTGGCTCCTCGCTCGCACACGCGCTCTCCCGTGGGATTTAAAGTGTGTCTTCTTGACTAGATTGTTGATAGTGGATCATTTGTATCGATATAGGAATCATAGAATAGACTGTGTTTTAATAAGTGACGGCCAAGGCCGGGGAAATAATCTCGAAGCACAAAAAGTGTTCGAGCTGATGCAGTCGTCTATAAAAATTGACGATGCAAGTAAGTAATCAACGATGCGCGGGTTGCGACCGTTAAAAACTAAGGAGGGGTTCGAGGGGTGATAGGACGTTTGATGGAGGATGAAAGTATGAAGTTGGGAATTTTAGAAAAAAAGGAGGGGGGAAGGGATGAGGAAAGAGGGACAATGCCGGGTCAAAATGAGGGAGGGAAAATTGAATGCGCTGTGCTTTCGTTGTGCTGTGCTATGCAAAGGTGGCTAGTGACTAGTGCAGGGAGGGGAACAACAAGTCGGGTAGGTGGGTTGGTTTAGAATTGGGAATTTGGCACTTGGAGCTTAGAAACAAAATACAAAGGTACGTACCTTTCTACCGCGTAACTGACGAGTCTCGACACGCTGCGCTATGGTACTATGCTATGTACTATGCTAGAAATTAAAGCGGCTGGTACGACGAGAGATAAGTAAAATGGTTGCTAATTCAGCGGGACCGACCAGTCGGATTGTCCAAAACAACTGTGGATAGGACGTGGGTTGGTAAGTAAGGTACATTAAAGCAGGTGAGGCGGTTGTGGCTTCCTTTGATTGAAAGTGGTTAAAAATGGTAAGTTACGAGTTACGCCGCAGGTAAAGTGGCCCGATCAGGTCAAGTGAGGTAAAGCAGGTAAAGGTAAAGTGGACGCGGGTCGGCTGCACGGGCTGCTAGAAGGTGGGTGCTTCTCGCGCTGTAATTACCTAGGCCGTTGCTGGGATACAGGCGGTGTTATGCAGGGTTTCCCAGGTACCTTGGCGGTGGGCTGCAAACTCTTTACAGGGCAGCTAGGGCCCCCGGGGATATGACTTTTTAGTGGAGATTAAGACTCTTGAAGCACCTATTTCTTAAGATATTTCCTCGCTTCGCTTCTTCGCTTCTCGATAGCCCCTCTAAGAATGGTAGATGCGGTGTGCAATCTAGAATATTTTATTCACACCGCTAATACAGATATGCTAATTCTGCATTGAATAGTTATTCTACGTGTTAAGTGTTATCAGATGGCGGTATGTTACGGCGGTTATGCAGTTGTAGTTGTTAACTTCAAGTGCTAGGTGGTGGTGCTTTAAACATTCATCCAGCGGAGGTTGAGAGGGGTAACTGTTTGAAAGTTCAAAGCGTTTTGTAGAACAAAAAAAATAATAAAACAGTGGGATGTAGGCGGGGGGGAGACCTTGGAAAGTCAGCTCCAAATTCAATTCAGATCATTTCACTCCAGCCACAAAAAGGGGAGGGGAAGGGGGGGTTGATTGAGCGGGGCAAGGAAGGAAAGGAGGGATGAAGGAGGGATGGAAGAATGAAAGAACGGAAATGGAACCATGCGATACCCTGCAATGAGCCCATGGAGCTCATGGCAGTCCATGGCCGAGGGGTCCGTTCTTACCAAGCAGGAAACCCGAACACGTACTCCATCGACATTTCCACATCCATCTTGGCGTGCCACGTTAAGATTTTGTGACCCGTGACCCGTTCGTGTCGTGTCAAAAAGAAAAGTTACCTACAGCTTGCCTTAAACTTTAGCTACTAACCAAGTATATCCCTAATGTACCTATCGTAATACAGCGTTCCTAAGACTCAAATAATAAAAACTCCTCGGATCCATCCACATCCAGGAAAAGCAGCAACAATGGAAATCCCCAATCCAGTTTAGTGACGATACATTATTATAGGATGCCAACGCGGCTTTGACTATTTCTTTTAAGATGGGTTTAACATCTACATAGTGCCATCTCGCTATGTACGTGTTTGCATCTAGCATCAATTAGAAACTCTTACTACTCGTTAAAAATGATTATTTACATACATTCGGTATGATAAGATCGTGTCTCTTTTCATCCAATTATCACTGTTACGGATCATACGCAGGAGGTGGGAGATGAATCACTAGTCTTATAGATCTGCCCACCTCATCTCCGTGCTTAGACCATAAGATTAAATGTTCTAACTTCCAAGTTCTTAGCCAAAGACAATAATAGGTAATACATAATACATACAAGTATGTAGAAGATTTGCATCCTAAACATCTTCCATACATAGCAGCCTAGGTAGCTTGTGATTTTCACGCCTATATTGATTCAAAGAGATCGTCTTTGTAAGAAGACGATAGTCAGTAGGTAGACACTGACAGTTTCCCCTCCATCCCACTTCGTCGTCATTAGCCTCCAGCGGTTGCGCCATATCCCTCCACGTCATTGGCCTTGCTCAATCCAGCTCTCGAGACCAATGCCTTTGTAAGAAGTGTCCTCTGGTACTCTGATAAGTACTATGTCCATAGGGAATAATATTTCCACGTCTCCTATTAGTGAGAAAGATACCCAAATATCATCCGTGTAATGTTTCTCGCCACTATCGTCGCGCGAGAACATCCCTTCATACGCCGCCACACGGATTTCGTCGCCAATGCTGACATTTTGAAATCTCAGTCAGCCAAGATCCGGTTCGGATGCGATGAGAAGGCAATGGTTGTCACGTATATGTTCCCTAAAATGAGGATAGTTGTGCGTAATCTAACGGCGGCTACGAGGAGCAGCGAACCCCCGTCCGAAAATAGCTTCGGGGGAGGTAGATAACTGGTCAATCAGCTGCAAGCTGACCATCCGCCTCGCTTGCATATGCAAGAAACTGGAGAAGTGAGGCTAGTGCTGCCGAAAAAAGGACATCTCAAACCCCCAATTTTAAATTGAAATGCTATACATATCAACACCAGCGTGCTGCATATGTACAATGTTGTAATGTGAGAGAGGTGAAACGTGGATGAAATCCGCTGGTTACTATCGAGAACGTGATCTCAATGGCCATCATTCTGATCACGATGGCTTCATTGCCCGAAATCCTCCACGATTGGGACATATCTGGAGGCTCCAGAATCGGCCATATACCCATGAATCAAGTACCAGGTTTCCTCCCACTATGGTTTGCCGACTGCAAGATGCTACCTCACCGTCTTCTTGAGTGGTGAGGGGTTGAACAGTTGGGAGCGGGGCAGACAACAAATTTCGACGAGGAGCTTTGCTTTAAGACTGGCGATCGTTTAGTCCACATGATATCCATGCGTCTATGTACTTAGCCTTAAGTTATCTCAATAGATAATAGACCTTGTCCGGGCTCGTCGAGTAAGAAAGAAAGATTTATCTTATTGGTAGCTTTCCTACGTCCATCCTTCGAGGCATTGATACACAATTTTGATTTTTTAAAGAATTATTATCTAAGTACTGAAATATCCAGGGATGATAAATACGGAGCCATAGTCTTAAACATATCATATGGATATGTATTTTTAGCAACAGTTGTTGAGCATAATACTTGAAATTTCAAATATGCTACTCAAGACTCACATATGTACATAGACCTTCGTGGCCGATTAGATTAGATTTTCACCGTAGATTACCTTGACGGACACCAAAACTACATACATAATACTATGCGTATGTAAAACTCGGAAGTCCGTTCCCACTGCCCCACGCCTCTCGCAGGTTCCCCGATACTGGATACTCTGAAGGTCACGGGACGAGATATACAGACTCCTCATGTCCAGCGGAAGTGGAGGAAACCTCAATGCTCTTAATATTCTATTCCGGAACCGAATCATCTTGCCCCGTTCTCGACCGCGTGGCAAGACATAAGAGGTTTGCAGACTAGAATTGTATGACATAGCTACATTTAGGGAACAGTTCATCCCTTGATAATTAATAAATCCTACAGACCATTCAATTAACTTACATGTCGATAATCGTACTTACCTTAGGCAGGTATGTACATATGTATCATCGAAATACCGAGGTCCCGGCAAACTATTTGACACAAGGATTGGCGCTATACTGGACCTCTCACTTTCTAGCAATATATGAACACATTACTTTTTAATATCGAAAGCAAAGGATTGTTATACTAATGACAAATCGCCGGTATTCAGCTCGGCGTTCTGATGACTTGTCAGATATCGGCCGGTGTTGGCCTCTTTTGAAAGAGACAAGACGGGCAGCGGGTAACAAGCTCGACACGCTAGAAATATGAGTGGAGCGTCCAACTTACCCACAGCACTAAAATCGTCAAGGTGTCCTGACCGTCTTTAATGTGTCCCACTTCCTGTACTATGTACGTACTTCTCCGTCCGAGTCTGGAGTACAGTAGATCTTCCGCAGCTCGATTACCCTGGTTAGCTCCCGTTCTAAAGTTGGCATCGAGTGAGAAGAGTTCGTCTGACGTCGACGATATCGACGACTTCCAGGGCTCGTTTTCAGATCTTCTTATCTGATGGACTGAGGCATAATGGTCAATTTAGACCCGGATGATGTGCATGTAGACGGTGTGGGCTTATTTTTAACAGAACTCATACCGCCTCGAGGCCCCCTGGATTCCGACGGTCTACGATGCAGGAGTTGGGAATGGTTGAAACCTTGAAAGACGAGGGTTTTGGTGTTCGCGGGAGTCTTCCGGCTGAGCTCCACGTGTGCTAACCCAGATCGTCAAGCCCAAATAGGTCTAGTGTAGGTAATATCCGCCTAGACTCATCAATAGGAGGTAAAAAGGATCCACTTGACGCGATTCCCGAGCTGCATATTCCATCATTATGGTGCTTTTAAGGCAAGGCGTAACTGGGCTGCCGGGCTGCTGAGCGTACGGCGTACAGCGTACATGGCATTCAGAAGGCATGACAGACACCACTCGCTTTGGCTTAAACAGGGGAGCGGAAAATCCTTCTGATTGGCGTCCCAATGATCTGGAAGAACCACTGGCATCGACGGGCATTCTGGCGCAAAAGCCGAGATGACGGCAGTCCGTCTTCTCGCCGGATCTGGAACCTATCCCCTGAAGATCAACGCTTCTAACATAATAGGCGGCTGGACATACATACTTCGTACCACATATATTCCATGCCTTATACCACGCGACTAATAATATCAGGATTAATAGTATTTGTTTCTTATGATGAGTAATATAATACCTCAGCTATTATTCCGTCGGATTTGTGCGACCGAAATATGGACCTGGAATGACCCGCCTCTCCTCCGATGTTGAACATCGCGAACTCCGAGGATCCACGTGTAAACCGATTGTTTTTACATCTTATTGGAAAAAATGATGTTTTCGCTCTTCGCCCTTGAATAGTCGGAATGTTCGCGATACCAGAACGAGCGATCAGATTTTCTCAGGCAAGCAAACCTTGGAACACGAAGATATCCCCCATCATATGATATGTCATCCAGGCTAGATCAGTGTGAGCCATTCACAGTGATCGCTTGATATCATAATGTGGTTGGAAACAAATTCGACGATATCCGAGTTTCTCAGATCGTATCGACTATCCGATTTCCCCTTCTGATGAGCGAGACTACATGAAATGTGGTTTTCATAGAAGGGCAGGCGGCTAATCCCTTGCGCTATATCTGGAATTGGTCCGTCATGATCTATCACCCGCGTTGAAGGCGTGCGTTAGGAGACAGTTCCGCAGCACCCGTTGTGCTCACCCGAATGATTCCGTGTTGCACAGCTCGTCTGTACCACACAGTTCGAATGCAATTGGCTGTACACGAGTACACACGAGTACAATTGGCGCAGTCTGTGTGGTTGTGCTGCATGGTCTGCCGGATCACCCCTCATTAGGTCGTAGGAATGCAGAAGCAATCCACGTGGTATTGCGGGAAGCCAATTGGGGGCAGAAAAGCTGAATTTTTACAAGCTTCGCGCACCCCGATCTTGTTTATTGAAAGGTCGCAGGATTGGGCAGATGACAGGTAGTCTCACAACTATTTTGGTCAACTTGGTTAAGGTGGTAGAAATAAGAGTTGGAGGATTTTGGGGGGTCGATGATTACTACCGCTCCCAGGCAATGGCGTGGGGGTTCGTTGATGCTCGATGCAGCCTTTCTAACTCAGGAGAAGCACTAAAACTCATGATAGACCATGATAGACTTGGAATAAGCCTGGTTTATACTCTCAACCAGTTTCATAGCTCGATGACGTTGCAACATACATAACACTAACGGCAGTCTAGGAATCCCCCTGAGATAAACCCATAGATTATTGATCAAGAATCAGATTAACGAAAGGGATGCATCTATACCCATCTATTATACCTATCTACAGATTATACTATTGGTCACTCGCATGAAGGTGCCTACCTAGGTAGGTATGTTTGGAGACCGGAGTCGTTCTATCTGCAGACTATGTCATTTGGACGTTTCTTGCATCACTTCAACCTCTTTCTCGTCAGTTATAATTTAAGAGATAAGTCTCCCTTACGTCTATTTTACCTCGGGACAATGGAAACAAGTTTGAAGTGCTCGATCTGAAATTGGTCTGCTACTGATCTATGTTCTGTTCTGTAAACACTGAACACTGAACACTCAACACCGAACATACCCCTCTAGATGATCATGTTAATCGGTTACATCAGCCCCGTCGGGATTCTGGTTCAAAGGGGTTACAGGGATGCCGACTTTCTCTACTATGGTAGCATAGGATGAACAATCTAACGGGCGAGGTTCAATCGAATGATCTCTACTTTCCAAACACCATACTCGATAACAGGACAATATAATTCAGGGGTATGTTCAACGGTTGCAAGCATTAACATTAAAGCAGCGGCTTTCCATCTCCGACCCACTTACACAGTACTATTTCCTGTTTGTTCATTGGATGGCGTCCGTTTGCGAAAGCTTCTACGTCTTCCATGCGTCTTCCAAATATTCCGTCCGCTTTCCAACCTGTTGACGGGTATGATAGAACAATGGTTGTAAACGAACAGAAACCCACGTGTGTTTGACACGCGAGAAGAAACATTGAAACTTGTATCAGGTATACGGGTCAGATACTACCTATTATCTAGTGTCTACCCACGCAATCTATGTGTTCTATTCCCGTCGCATACCGCATATCTTCCTATCGCTTCACCGAGCCTCGAAGCATTTAGCGCGATGATTACGGCGTACACTGTGGATGTATGTATGCATAATACCGTGTGTTCACCAGGTTCGCCAGGTTCGCTAAGCGGAACGAGCACGAGGTCACTGCAGCTCGCATGCATATATCCATACGTATGCGCGACGCATTTCGTGAAGGCGACATATCGACCCCTCCCCCTCATAGTTCTTAACTAATGGGACGAATCAAGCTTCGGATTGGAGCTCTCATTTTGGCGTCTTTTCGAGATAATAACCTTGGCATCGATTGTTGGTCTCGGTCTTATAACTATCGACGGAAGGTTTATGAAAACATCATAACAAAACTTATTTGCCTACTTGACTACACCATGGATCATTCCATGTGCCTCCACACTTCATGATGACATTTGATAACGAATATCAACCACTAGTATTTAAAAACCAACAGGACGCCTACTTACATACCTACCTACCTAAGCAACTTGGAACTAAGAGGTAAGCTTATTATTCCAAGCTTCCAAAAGCAAAGTTGTATCGTACTTACATAGGATAATAATAAGTCGCATCCATGAATACCTATGATACAGTGTAAGTTATCTCCTATAAACACGGAGAAGCAGTTGGGAACTACGACGTACAGTATCAATGAAGGATACCAACTGTAATCTGGCCATTGAGGTCCCCGACTAGATCCTTGCTCGGATCTCAATCGATTGTAAACTATTATTTTCCTCCCCCTTTTAAAATCAGACCAGTCACTCGGCATCTTTTCGAATGAGCGGTCGGCCAAGGTTACAGCGCACAAAAAAAAGTGTATCGTATTATGTTAGCTTATGCCAAATATGCCAAATATCTCAACTAGACGCAATTGATGACCTGGGATGACTTGAGATGACCTTTTTAAGTTGACAGTTGACTAAAGCTGACTGAGAAGATGACCTACCTACTATGTACTGTACCTAAGTAGGTAAGTAGGTGATAGGTATTAGGCATTGTACAATACGGGATGATGACTTGAAGGGATGGATTTGACCGAGATGATGATGGGTGTTTTTTATCGATAATCCTTCTTTATTCGCATGCTCCTTCTTTTACCAGAAGGTGCATTGATTCTAGCATAATAGTAGGCAGGTACAATGGTACTATGGTACACCGACATGGAGCAAATCCGAATTTGCGGCACGCGTACACAGACCACGCCAGCGGGGTGTCTTGATAATATCTTAGTCGTCCTCGTCGTCTTGGTACTACATAGTAGGCATTCTTGGTATTCTGCATTCGCCAATGAACAACAAGTTCTATCATACCTCCTATGCAAAGACCGGATAATACATAGTATATCTAAGTATATCGAGGAATAAAATATGCACATGCTCAAGACTTTACTTGGTACACTATTTAATACCAGACTTTTCTATCCGGTCCATTGGGTCTGTGTAATGTGAAAGAATAGGTCCAATCATAATTCCCAGAAGGCAGGAAATTTAAAGGGGTCTTTCACAAAGAAAGAGGGGTATGTCACTAAGAACCATGTACTATTACCAAATGAAGAATAGTCAACTCTAACTTACCTACCATAACGGTTACCTTGTGAACTTTTTATGAGCAATTATGAACATAAACCACATAATACGACGCAAGTATGAATAGTACTATGGAGTACAAATCAATACAACCAGTACAACCGACGTGAGGGAAACGAGTACCAGCATCAGCACCCAGCACCCAGTACCCAAGCACCAGCACCTGGGTGACCCCGACTTCCAGATCTCGCTCTTACCTGACCTATCTCGTACCTACCATCTACCATCTTTACCTTACCTCCGGGTTGTGATTATCGCCTGGGAACCAAGGGAAAAAAAACAAACGACCCCCCCTTTCGTCGATTAAGCAACATTGAACAACTTCTTTCTACCACTGCAGCTGCACCACCACCAGCTCTAAATCCCATAGGCTGCAACCCTCCTTCAACCTTTTTTTTTTCTTACGGTTTTCGGTGCAGGGCTATGTAGGCAGATATTTGTTACGGCCAATACCTATCACCCTATCACCTATCTAGACCCATTCTCTTTCAGCCCTCAGCCCTTAACATTAATTCATTAACACATTAACATTAACACATAAGCCCGGGACAACCAGGAGACCTACCGACTAGCCTTTCTCGTCAACGAATTGCACTCCTTACCTCACTTTCCTTTACCCGCCCATCGACAAGATTCATCAACCATTCATATCATCTCCTGTGCCATTCTACGCCGGCAACGAGACCCTTAGCGCTTGTAGGCAAAATTCAAAGGGGAGGAGTGATCTTTTTTTGATTGAAGGAGAAGGGGGAAAATTACCATTGAACTAGACATTTTACTTTTCTCTACCTACTTACTAGGTAGTATTTCGTTCTTTCGTTCTTTCGACCTCAATTCTGAATACCGGACACTGGGCACTGGACGTTGAACACATCAGATCGGTTCGAACACGCGATACCCCCAAATTAATGATTTCGAAGACGATAGCGACGACCGCGAGATTTGTCAACGCACACCATCGCGTTTTCACCTTCGTCCCTCCTTCATTGTGAGACGATCTTTAGCCGGTTGCCTTACCTGTCTACGCGAGTTTGACGGCTTAGCCTCTCTCTACTTCGTATACCCTTCCATATTGACTCTGGCATGATTTAATTCTATTCTTCCGGAAATCACTTTTAATCACGCTTGGCGCATCCGACGTCACGATGCTCATGACGCAGTCCCCGGTGTCCGCAATCGTAACAAACCAGAAAGATAACAAGTACAATTCGCGCAATCGATCTCGGTCTAACACACTAGACAAGAACCCTGATTCTGCTATAGAGCTTAGGAACCCGGCATCGTTGGGTCAGTCCAGCGGTGACCGCGACTACAACCCTTATAATTACAAGATGAACGGCATACTAGGAACTGCGCCTCCCGGCACATTGTACGTACGAGCACTTTACGACTATGAGGCTGACGACCGAACAAGTCTGAGTTTCCACGAAGGCGACGTGATTCAGGTCATCACACAGCTCGAAAGTGGTTGGTGGGACGGTGTCATCAATGGGGTCCGAGGCTGGTTCCCAAGTAATTATTGTCAGATCATCACAAACCCCGAGGAGATCCCAGAACACATGCAAAATCTCGATGAGGACAATGGAGACGATGAGCTAGAAGATCAAGTAGTATATGAGGAGGAGTACGATGACGAGAATGAGTCAGATGCTGACTTAACCGGGTTACCTTTCGAAGGCGAGAAGACGAGGAAATCTGGTGCCGATTTCTGGATACCACAGGCCACACCCGATGGCAGATTATTCTACTACAACACCAACACTGGAGAGAGCAGTATGGAGCTCCCACTCGAATCGCCGACTTCTAGCGCCGAAAACGGGCCCCGGGACCGGATGAACGTAAATATGCCGGAGAGGACGAGGCTACCATCAGAAGTCATGGTAAGAGGTTTGATGCAAGATGAAGATGAAGATTCGGAGGCAACGTCAGCTTCGGAACTTGAAGGTGAATTGTTAATGAAGAGCTCGATGGGTTCCTTGGTAAGTGCAACCATCTACGCGTAAATATCATTGTCACCCACTCACAAGTGTTACGTAGCCCCCACGACGTCGTGGTTACGGTAGCGACAGCGTCGGAGTCTCTCCATCGCCATCCATGGACTCTATCAATGGCTCCCAGGGAATACGATCCCGAACTGACACATTCATCAATACTAACATCGCAATGTCCGCCGGAGGTCAAGTACCGACATTGGCATCGGCTACATCCTTCACCGGTGCTGGTTTTAACCTTCCGCAAGCAGCTACGATACCTCGCTCCTTTTTCGATGACGGCACGACGCAGCCCCTGTCGTGGAACCTTCTCATAGCAAACATGAAGCATGCTATCGACCGCTACCGAGATGCAATCACGAGTAATAATAGGTCCGAGTATGTTTCTCGCGCAGAGGATATCTCTGATCATTTGCGACTGCTACTTGCTGCCGGTTCGGGTACTACAGATAACCACTCAGGCCAACCTTCTATCATTTCTACTAACAAAGCGCTCTATCCCCATTTCCGGGATATGATGTCTAAGTTTTCTAAGCTTGTTATCTCGTCGCATATAGCTGCTGCCGACTGGCCGAACGCCGAGTCCGTCCAGAAGTGCATGCAAGAAGCCGACGGTGTGCTCGGAGGTGTTTTCAGCTTCGTTGAAGTCGCAAGGCAGCAAAGGGGAGAAGAGATTCCGCGACTGTTTCCCGGCTTTGTCATTGGTAGCACGACTGGTGGAAGCTGGCAAAACAACGGACTTGGTCCTCGCGATCCCATCACGTCGAATTTCTTGGAGGACGATGATATATATGCCGAACCAACGGGAATTCTCGACGGGAAACTTCTTGAAAGGCTCGACGAGTACAAGAGGATGCTGGTTTCCAGTATCAGGGAGCTAGAAAAGAATCTTGGAATATCGGACAAGATTGTATCTCCGTACAAACACGAACTTGTTGGCAACAACGTCTGCATCGCCGGCGGAAGGGTTTTGGAAATGTTTAAACCTTGGATCGCGATGATCGAGTCCATTGATCTTTCGTCGCTTGGAAATACCATCCAAACACCTCAGCTTGCCGACTACGGCACCAACAAGCAAAGTCTCTATGATAATATATCTGACCTTGTTTTAGGGTGTCAAGCTGTCGCTGGTCCGCTAGGCGATGAATGGTCCGAGGTTCGCGGTGAGTCGTTGGAAGGCAGACTCGAATATGTTAGACAGTGCGCTAGAGCATTGGAAACAAATTCTTCTCACATTGGCTTTTCACTCCAGCTTCTCTCTGAACAGGTACAGATCAACATGCAGCAGCGGCAGGAGGCTCGTATGCGGGAGGACAGCATAGGGAGGGAACCACCCAGAAGAGATACCATGCCCTCTTACGATCCGATCCACTCCCGTTCTGGTTCTCGTAACCTGTTAGACGCTAGGCCGGCTCTAATGGGATCTATATCCTACACCGAAGGCGAATATCCCGCGAAGCCCAGAAAGACTAATAATCTTTCAAAGATCGCGCAAATCCTAGGGGAGGGGTCTGTTCCCCAAAGCGCCATTCAACAAGTCGAGGAGACGCCTGCATTCTTGCGACTTGATCTTGAAAATGACCTGTCTTGGGATCTTAAGTCGACGCCGCCGGCAGTTAAAGGTGGTACACTCTTGGCGTTGGTCGAGCAACTGACGAGACACGACAAGTCGGATTTCAGCTTCAACAACACGTTCCTTTTGACATATCGATCATTTACGTCAGCACGAGAACTATTCGAACTCCTGGTCAAGCGCTTCAATATCCAGCCACCGGAAGGATTGAGTTCCGCTGATTACGATATTTGGAGGGATCGGAAGCAAAAATTAATCCGCTTTCGTGTTGTGAACATCATCAAGACTTGGTTTGAGAATAATTGGATGGAGGAAACGAGTGATGAGACTAAACAGCTCATCAGAGATGTCTACGCTTTCGCACGAGACACCGTCAAGTCCACGGAAACCCCCGGTGCAAACAATCTCATGTCCGTCTTAGACCAGCGTCTCAACGGCAAAGAAATTTCTTCCAAGCGCATGGTCCAAACGTTTGCTAACAATGTTCCGCCGCCAATTATGCCAAAGAATATGAAGAAGCTCAAGTTCCTTGACATCGATGTTACCGAGTTTGCTCGCCAGCTAACAATTATCGAATCGAAGCTATACGGCAAGATCAAGCCGACGGAATGCCTCAACAAGACTTGGCAAAAGAAGGTTGGCGAAAACGACCCTGAGCCGGCACCAAATGTAAAGGCGCTTATCTTACATTCTAACCAAATGACGAATTGGGTTGCCGAGATGATTCTCGCCCAAATGGATGTGAAGAAGCGAGTGATTGTCATCAAGCATTTCGTTTCAGTCGCAGATGTGAGTATTGATATAAACTCGGTTCAAGTCTTCAGATTACTAACGATACCAGAAATGCCGGGGCCTTAATAACTTCTCTACTCTAACATCGATCATCTCCGCCCTTGGTACTGCTCCGATTGCTCGTCTAAAGCGAACCTGGGATCAGGTTCCAGCTAGGACTCAAGCCGTTCTAGAGACAATGCGACGTCTAATGGCGAGCACGAAGAACTTCGGCGAATACAGAGAGACTCTACATGCAGCAAATCCGCCATGTATTCCTTTCTTTGGCGTCTATCTTACCGATCTCACGTTTATTGAGGATGGTATTCCGTCGATCATTAAGAAGACGAACCTCATTAACTTTGCCAAACGCGCAAAGACAGCTGAAGTGATCCGTGACATTCAGGTTTACCAGAATTCACCGTACTCACTTCAACCCGTGCCCGAATTACAGGATTACATTCTTAGCAATATGCAGGCAGCTGGAGACGTACATGAGATGTACGACAAGAGTTTAGTAGTTGAACCGCGTGAGCGCGAAGATGAGAAGATCGTAAGGTACGTCGCCACCAGAATTAAGTGATTAACATCGGGGCTTACCTTTCCATCGTACAGAGTTCTCGCTGAGTCCGGTTTCTTATGAGCCAACCCCACTTGGCATCCATACCAGGCCGTGCCACACAGCTGTATGCTTGACGTAATATTAAACCAGGTCGTGCACAAAATAGCAAATAGGCTTGTTTGGACTATTTGGGTTACGATATGGGTGGGTAGGGGTTATCATTCATCGTATTGTAAACCATCTTTCCAATGCTATATGGAGCCAGCATTACTTGGAGATTATCTTTACAGCACACTGGGGGTTCCTGGTACCCCTCGGCTTATGTTCAAGCAGATTCTCCCGGCTTTGGAAATCGTGACCGGCATTGGGAGTCAGGTACAGGGGTAAAGTAACCAGAGGAGTACTGTGGGGGTGGGGAGCTAACTAGTTGTGAAGACAACATTGAATGTGTTGTAAAGTATACCCCGTCCTAACCTCACCCAGAAAAGAATAGATATGGTGGGAGCAGGAGTAGCATCTACCTGTTTAGGAGTACGTTTGAATCTAACCACATGTCGATTGATGAATCAAACGGGCCAGGTGGACAGTGGGGAATCTCAAAATCGTTGCTAAAATATGGACGACGGATGTCCATCACGAAAGCAACCGCAACGATATGATGACGAGGGATAAATGAAAAAAAAAGTTCAGGGGAACGTCTTGTCGAGGATTGTGGAGGAAACCCAAAAAGTTCAAGGGAAATATCTGAGGTGGCCCATGGTTTTGGGGCAATGTCACCTACACCACATAGACTTCGTTCACTATTCAAACAACTACACAGTTGGTTCCTTTGTGTTATTTTTTCTATGTGGAAGGGTCGTTCTCCGGTATTCCAAGAGAGCTTTTGGGCCTTCGCAAGAACGGCTTTGTATAATGCCAGATTTACATGTCAGTCTAGGCGAAATGTCCTTTTGTTATGGGCTATATACATAGATCGGTCGGTCCTCGGTGACATTTCACCCACTGGGACATAATTTGCATCACAGATTCATATACTGAGTCTTTTTTTCATCCTGTAGATGTGGTTGTTCGATATGAGTGAAGGTGTATGTATGTATGTAGTCGGCCTCTTTCAGCCTATTGACCAGGGTTATTTCATGGATAGATCTACGAATTAGAAGAGTATTAAGCGAACCAATTAATTTCTTTCCCAAGACATTCACTCTATACATATTCTAAGCTGCCGTTTTCCCAGTCTGACTACCGTTACCGACGTGTAGCTAAGACTGTAGGTACCTACTTCGGTTTTGAAGGTGCTCGAATGGGATATTACACGACGTGCTTACTTATCCTCCCTACCACGCAACAGGGTGTCATTGGTGGCTTTTCTCCAACCCCCTCCATCCTCGACTTAAACCCGAGCAGACGAAACCCCTGAGGATCGTAGGCACGCGTGGCAATCGCCATCTTATCTTCTAGGGTTCTGGCTATAAGTTTCGTCAACTATTGCATGCTGACTGTATTAGGTGATGTTTGTTATACCTGGGATTTACGGAGGCGGGAGAGAGGGGGATAGATACATACCTAGTAGATAGGTCGGGTAGCTTCTGGTACTTTGCTTCGATGTTCTATTGCGATGAGCACTAGAGATGTACAACATACGCGATTCGGCCCGCGGGCGCGGAAGGATTATTAGGTGCAGACGCCACGCGCCCGCATGGCGATCGGAGTTGGATGTGTTTTAGATGTACTGTCATGTAGGTATGTATGTGGGATATGGAGATGTTCTCGCTTTCGTACCTACCTAGGTATACAGGTAATTTGCGTTATCTGATGCTATACTGCGACGACGGAAAGGGTGTGGTTATAAGTCAGGAGTGTGTTGATCATATCATTTCCGATCAGAAGGATTCTCGCTTTTCTTCAGCTTCTTCTTTTATTCGTATAGACCTAAGAGGTATTCTATTTAGCATGTACTCATTCTAAACAGCGTACTTTCTAACTACATCTCAGATACCTAACTACCTATATCTCCGTCCAGATAGATATTTCCCCGCGCAGTATATACAGCTAAATATCATATACCTAGTAGGTATTATTCATCTCGGCCTCATCTTACCCCTTACTGCGATCTGACCCTACATGTCTGCGTTTGTTTCCGCTGTTTGAGATTATCCCATACGTCTGGATATATGTATGTACCAAGTTAATCCCCGAAGCTTACTGGCGCCCTCGTGGCATCTATCCTCTTTGAGGGCTCTCTGGCCGTAGGTGCGTTCGCGCCAGCTCCTTTCGCATGCCACCTCCAAGTTCCCCGCCATTCAGCTGTGAACGCCACCACACCACGTCCAAGTTCGAGAGATCCGTGGTCCGAGAAGATTGCCAAGCCCGTTACTCTACATATTTTCGCTTACGTAGCTACCTCCAGCTACCTGCTTCTACTGTACCTAAGTAAACGATATCTTGTTTTAGGGCGAGGATACCGCATGGGGTACATGGCCATAGGTTCCAGCAATGCCAAACCCACATGAGCCTGTTCGTCGATGCTACATCGCACAACCAACCCCCCCCCTACCAGTCTGACTTGCATACGCCACTATCCCACGAACTACATCTTGCTCGTGTGCTCTCATGTATTGTGTATAGAGGACTTGTGTTACTCCAGACACATGCGAACACTGCGTCCGCACACCCCATTGGCCGATATACGCGGTCTTAGTTCTGTGTCAGTGTAGGTGTAAGTGTATAGTGTCATGTATGTTTGAGGAGAAGAGACATTCCATATAGGTAAACTCTTACGGCCGCAACTTGCCTACCTAGACAAGTACTTAACTGCCTAGGTACTTATGTATGTAACTGAGATATTTTGGAGGATTGGCGGATCTGCTGTGACGCCGAAATCAGTCACGCATAGTTAGATTATGCTGTAGTTATCTTTCCTGACGTTCTCTTTCTAGGTACTGTAGGCGCAGACTGTGTGTACATCGAGGTACATCACGAAAACATCGCACATATGAACACACCCTCTACCCAGTAAATATTAAAAATGCGCATACTTGGATTGGTTGAGAAGAAGAAAAGCATGCGCATACACGGCTAAGAACATGAGCCACAATATTTGCCAATAATAGCCACAAAAGCAACCCTCAGGAGAACGAGATTCGAAGGTCTATAGCATTAGAACGACCTAGAATGCATATCTCAAATGGTCATGTAGTATATTGGAGAGGCAAGATATTCGGGCGAAATTATACTCGGCCGGGTTCGAGTCTCGGCGACGTCAGTTTCCCCTGACAGGCATGCCACATGGCTCATCTGTCAGGCCTCCTTGCGCATACATATTCTCTTATCGTGTCAGGGGCAATGATTTGATATCCCTAGAGGTAGACATTGATAACAGACATCATAACTAATATGGAGAAGGTAATGACATTAGACATTATAATAGGCCACGGTGGTTTTGTAGCTGGAAAAAGGATATAGACAAACCCTAACCCTAACCCTTGAACCATGGTTCTTGCTAAGTTCCAAAGGAAATAGAGATAATAGTAATATACTTCATGGTGCTGTTTTCAAGGCTACGAGAGTTTTTAATAAAGCATCTCAAGTGAGTTTCTAGTTTATTAGGCTTGCTGATTACACCAAGATACCTACCTAGGTACCTCGTATCAGAAGAATGGATCACCCCTATATCCACCAAGAACCATATGGCTTTGGAATTTCGTATATTCCCTTAGTCATAAAAACTTTGATAGGTTTATCTCATGAAGAACAATTGTAATAAAAAGTGATAGAGCTATATTCAAATTTCGAAAGGTACCTATTGTCGAAGAGTTAGGTTATATCTTTCAATAATCCGTTCCGCCTTATGTGGATTCATGGCGCTGCCTAGGTGAGCATCAAAAAGACCAGTTATACTACCCTCAATTTCACCATAAACTTACCTATCCAACAAGTTGAAGTCAAGATATCATATAACAAGACGAGTTAAAACTAATAGGTAACAATACATCAAGCTCGAAAATCCAAAGCCAAAGGGGGCTCCAGCTCGACACCGACCTAGGTTCCTCCCATCATAGGTTCGTTCGTCCATACTAATCAAACAAGGGGGAGCTCCGAAGCCTCGTAACCTCATAACTCCTAGAGGTCGTAGGTTATCATGACACATATCCAGCAAGACTGACAATCGAGAAATAGACAAACACAACTCAAATCAGTGGCGGTGCAATTTGTCCTTGATCTTCTGGCCAATACTCTTCTTCTCCTTCTTATCGCCATGCCCTTCACTATGTCCCGCCGCGTCGGCGTCGTTGCCATTAGCGACATGCATACCCTTCTCATCCATCAGACCTGCACTCGTTAGCATATATCCCTACGCGCAAACCCCTATCCACCTCATCGGCAACAACGCATGGCATAACTTACGGTCAGCCTCTTTCCCAGCCCCAGGCTTCGTCGCATCGAAGTCTCCCCCATCAGCCTTCAACCCACTACTCTTAACATACTGCTCCCCAGTGCCCTCACCCTTACTCTTCGCATTCGGTCCATCTTCCTCCTCCTCCTCCCCTTCCCCGCCCGCAGTCTTCCCCACACTCTCATCCGAAACCCCCGCGTTCCCTCCATGCTGACGCGCCACTTCCTCCAAGGGCTTCGGACCCGGCCCCTCGAGCTTCTGCGCCTCGTTCGGGCCGTCTTCCGCGTCGTCCACATCGGTCGGTGCGGCCTTGGGGTTCGTCTGTGGGTTCGACGGGTCCCGTGTGTCGGCTTGGCTCTTAGATGAGTCTTTGGGCCCGCTCTTGGCTTTGAGGTCTGTGGATGGGTTGGCTGGGGTGTCGGCTGCTTCGGCGGCAGTGCCGGTTTCTTTGGAGAAGTGAGCGGCTGAGGAGTCGGTTGCGCCGTTGGCTGTTTCTAGTTTCGCGGCTTGGGCTTTGGGGTCCTCTTTTAGAAGGGGTGTGTAAGCTCTATGTTCATCATGTTGAAGTGGGTGGATTAATAGGGGGCGGGTTACCGATGTTGCCGGCGTCGTACGGTTCTCCCTTAGAGGGGTCGCCGGTGTGGCCGGAGATGGGCTCTTCACCACTTTGTTTGCTCTCACCCCATACAGCCTTGGCGGCTGCCGACGCCATGTTGTTTACAGTCTCCATCATGTAGGTAGGTAATTAATCTAAGGCGGTAGTATACTGTAACGAATATTTTCTAATAGCTTAAGATGATATGCTTGGCAAGCGGAGAGATGGAAGTTTATTAAGATCTTTAGGTCGTATTAGGTTGTATGAATCCGGGGAAACGAGATACAGCTAACTCTAAGAGAAGAATGGATTTAAGATAGCATATTATATGGAGATCTATGTTACACATATAGCACGGTAAGGCAGAGTGACGGAGTGACAGTCCAGAAAAGACCGGATATGAGTGGGCTCTCCCGCTCAGTGACGTCTTTCATGATGGCATACGCAGCATACGGTAATTTCCCTGCAAGGGTCTGCAAGGGAAAGCGGCTTAGGATGCTTACGAAGCCGTGAAGGCATGGGTATTGGACTTTTGAACAAAGAGAAGACCGTATTCTCTCTTTCTTCTTGTAACGTGCATGTGGCTTGACGACATCGATTAAAGGCGGGATTGGAGCTTCGGATTGGTCGCCACCATATACGAATTAATTGGATAGGCTGATAGATACCTAGAATCATGTATCGATCTCGATCTGAGAAGGAAGTTTTCTATACCAATAAGGGTAGTTTGAATACCATATTTAGATAAAGACGATATTTCCGAGTGTATAAGTGGTCGAGAAGGTGTAGGTACATCTAAGACAGCAACCTTAGGTGGGGGTTTTAAGAGCTATGAGCGATGACGTTAGTGGAGAAACAAGGTGTTGACGTCACTGTGTCAGCTTGTTTTTAGCTCCGAAGCTGTAAGCTCTGCTAGCTCTCCATTACCTATTTGAGAATTGGAAACCACAGTGGACGTAGTATTAACCGGTCGGGAAAGTCGGGCATGTGCAAATGTAGCTATAGAGATCACCGTGATTGGATAACATGAAGCTATTCCCATTACCAGGCATCCAGAGTGCCACTGACGTTTCTATCTGGCTGCCCGGGCAGTCTCGATCGTCATCATCTTAAGAACTAATGTCGAAAATAAGATCCTTTAACATCCGCAAATACCCGATCTTATTATTCTATAAGTTTAAGATCAAGACATGGTAGTTCTCTCATTTATCCAACATCTCCGGTTTACCACGACTCTCAACTTATATAAAGATGGTTCAATTCCAATATCCTCATTTTCAATTGCGTTGGAAACTATTGAGCCTATTTACTTTACTGACTCTTCTATTAGCATAACTGGAAATGAAGAGTTGCTGGAATAACACAATTAGACTTGATGCAATTTTGAATGCTTATCTCACCATCGAACCTAAACTTAATCCTTAATCATAATTTCCTTCTTTAGTTTACTTGAGCTACCTACGTACCTAGGTAGGTAGAAACTTTTCTATCATGTTTATTCTACTACGATATTTCAATATAAAATCTGTAGGAAGTAAGCACTATGGTAGGTGCTTCACGTGGCTGAGGAACCCCCACAGCTCCCAACAAAACGTGGAAGGAATCAGGGACCTAGCGTTATGCATGTGTCCGAAGTATTGGCTTAAAACTTCCTATTGGCTCTGGCCTGGTGACATTGCCTAAATGCCCTTGTGACTTCTTCGTTTATCGTCAGCGCTATCTATGGATATCTTATCTACTTTTGCAGCTACAGTGAGGTTCCAGACCAGTGCGGACGCCCCATATTTACCTCTGTTATTGACATAACAGCAACTAGGATTTTATCTATTCTACCTCATTCAATTCTATTAGAATCTTAGCCAAAATAAGATATAAATAACTCTTCAGGGAATTAATCAATATTAATTACTCAACTCTTGAGTTTAAGACGTTGCTAAGTGATAAGAATAAGAGATATTTCTCTAGCTGTTATATCAGCAACATATGGAAATATGGGGCGTCCGCACTGGTCTGGCACCTCACTGTACGTACATAACTTGCTATGTACATATATGAATCTAGTTGCCTAGTTTTTATCTATGGCTACACTCACTTACTTTATTTCTACTTTTATGCTGGGAGTAGATATTACCTGAGTTATGTATTTTGATCTGTGTAGGTGTCCTTGAAGATCACCATGCGCCTGGGTGCTGCATTAACCTTCATTACCTTCTCCGAGCTTGCCTCTGGTCGCATTTATCAACGGCGTCGTCTGTTTGCTCCCGAGTCACAACATGTCATTGGAAATAGTCCCACAGCTGATTATCGACTATCTCAGCAACCAATATCATTAGTTTCATCCAGGATACCAGGGCCGCTGAAAGGCTTCATTGCTCTCGGCGACTCCTACAGTGCAGGAATCGGCACCGGTGTAGATGGCAAGGAGGATGATTGTCGACATGGACTAGGCTCTCATGCCCAGCTCATTGCTACTGACTTGCTTGCTAGTCATGGCGGACGGAATTCTTCGGCTTTTCAATTCCTATCATGCACGGGAGCTACAACCCAGGATATTATATCCGGTAGCGGTGATAGTCAGGTCGACACTTTCAATACCTCACTGCCGATAGATTTGGCACTATTATCTATCGGGGGTAACGACCTCGGTTTCTTCGATGTTATCAATGCGTGCGTTTTCCGCTTTTATAACTTCTATTCGGGCACGTGCGAGGCCGCGCTCGCAAACACCAAGGCCCAACTTGAGAGCGACGAGTTCGATCAACGCCTAGATATCATTATCATGGAGATACTCGACAAGGTCCGCTGGGAGAAGAAACCTGATTTCTTCATCACCATCACCGGTTACGCTCGATTTTTCAATGAGCTCACCGAGGAGTGCGACGATATGAGTTTTGGTATATGGTGGAATGGGCCAAAGCTGAAGAAGGATCTGAGGATAAACATGAACGCTATGGTCCTCACCGTCAACGCTAAAATCCGGAAGACGATTGATCTTGTGAACTCTCGATTCACCAAAGATAAGCTAGTATTTATTGATTACGACCAAGAATTCGATGGCCATCGGTTTTGTGAAGAGGGTGTGAAGGAACCGGACTACGACCGCAAAGACACATGGTTCTTCCTCATCGGTGGCCCTGACAATGCTAGGAATAACACCGAATCGAAACATAATTCCGACCTCGCAACTTTGCCCCCGAACTCAGCCTTGGTAAATCCGGCATCGTGTCTTGAGCCAGCCCAGAGATCCGGGGACTGGGGCGAGCTGGCCCTGTGCTATATGGCGATGGCGAAGCAAGAACCGAATCTACAATTTGCCCGGGGAGACTTCGTCGCGGAGAACTCCATGTGGTATGTCCCCACGTACTATGGGAAGACGTTCCATCCTAGGTCCCTTGGCCATGAGGTTATTAGGAACAAGATATATGAAGCATGGCGTGCGCGGGAATAACCATCGTCTGTTAAGTTGCGCGTAGCGTTCCAATACGTCTTACCGTGGGGGGGATCATTATGAACATTTAGGGAGAGTATCTACTTTAGCGATGCATTTTAGAGGTTTTGATAGGAGTTACATGATAGACGGCATACCAGTGGAGAATGGATATTCAGATTGTGTGTATTATGAGTTTATTAAGATCTAGTTAGGTATCTATTTACCTGGCATTAAGTACCAATGATTCGAGTCTGGGTACCTAGTATGTATGCAAGGGACGGTTGAGCCCCTATTGTGAAAAGGAGTTGCTGCTTCGTAGGCTTCTAGGACTGCCGTACTAAATTGGACAGGCTATTATTAAGCCGAGACTTGGGCAGCATAGAACAAGCTGCACTTAGACAATTAAATTAGTAGAATTGCTTTGCATCTCTATTAAATCCTGGAAGTACTCATTATCACAACACGCTACGCAATATTGATACTAAGCTTCTGACAACCGTCGAGGACTCTGTTCTAAAGCCGGAAATGCCGACTTGTTAGTCTCGAGCTGAAAAATCCCACCGCCCTGGGAACACATACACTATTGGCCGTTCAGCGCGGCCGTGTCGGTCCCGGCCTTGAATTTTTCGGATTCTTGGCTTAGATCGGCGAGAGGCTCACATATTACACTTCGACCGATGGATATTCACTGTTTGAAACTGCCCTTGAGTTCGCGACCGCGTTCATGACACATAAATGCTCACCAGCCGTATCGCCGATGCTCACACCGAACGTACTAGGTAGTCAGCCCCCACGGAAGATTTATCTGGCTTGTCAACAAGCCGTTGGCCTTCTCGTGTTCTATATGGAGGCGTAGGCGGCGGCGATGAAGAAACGTCCGGCCTTCATTTGTGGTCATTCACCACTGTCGGGCGTTATGAAGTTCTTTCGAAGGAATACTGAGGACTTCGCCGCCTGGGTCCGGCCTGTGGCTTGACCGCCACTTTCGCCTGATATAGATTGTAAGGGAATACTAGGCAGGCAGGCATAAATTAGCAAAGCAAAAGTCATCAGAAAGATTAGTAGAGGGTCCCGTCGGAGCACTTGGACCCTCTAATGGCTGGGGAATTGGTTATATATGGCATAACATAAGTGTTCACCGATAGGCTCGTGCCAATGCCTCAAATTATCACAGTTACTCCATCGCAGCGCGAATAGTAGCCTATCCCATAGCGCGTTCCGCTACGACGGACTAACCCAGGTATCTCGGACGAGGACCTGCAAGTGTTGGGTCTCGACCGAGCTGGGTTGATGGCGGCCACGGACCTGGCATTCCGTGTTTCATAATTTCTCGCATCTGCGGAGGCGTCGAGAAACATGTTATATTCACCCACGTCATAGGCGTTCGTTTCCTAGCTTTCGCTTAGTGAGTGGTGAGTTTTGCCTTTAGAAGCTTAGATGGGCATGAGCCGATAGTCTTTGCTTAGTTCATGATTAGGTGCTTTTTTCCAGCTTGATGTGAAGATAGTGGAAGGATTTGAGGCCGGCTAGCTTTACCTAATTGAGGATTAATGAGGTGCGTATAGAGCAAGGGTACGCGGTCGGAACATCATACAACGGGACACGCCAGCACGCGTATCGACGATAATATATCTTTTACTAAGATGGCGTGCTCATGTGGTATCGTTGGAGGAATGTAGTATTCGAGCCAGTCTAATACGATTTTTCACCCTGCTCACCCTGTTCACCTTAAGGCGATGACGGTAAATCTCGCTGTAAGGCCATGATGAGCCTTGTATCCCCGTGCACCAGGTCGGGATGATGATTGACTACGGATTCGGCCCCATATCGGGAGAGAATAGGACTTGCTGCGATAGGAAAAATTCTTCTTCAGTGGCTTGATCGTATCCCGGCTGACTTGGTGCCGCCCGGTTTAAGTGATGTTAATGCCGGACAAGCCAGTTTAATTAAAAGTGAGTCTTGATGAGTTGTACAACAATCCAAGAGCTTGGTACTGTACCCCTTCCGGCACACTTCCAACGCCGATAGAAAAATCTGCTAGACGATGATGGTGATTCGTAAGGTTTTCTTCCCTTTCTTGTTAGAAATGGATCGGACAGAGAGCTATCCCATAGATGGTCCTGTCTTAGAGACCGCCTCAAATAGAATACGATAAGTTTAATTACAAAGTTCCGTCAGATCAAGACAGGAAGTCCTAGCTCAGATAAGTTTAGGTGATCGTCGGAATCGAGAATGCAGTTTAATGGAGCTGATGGACCCAGCAGCCCCAGCAGCAAGGACGTGATGTCATCCACAATTCTTTTCTTGGTTTCTGTCACTTTTACCACTTTTACCACGCGGTAGTCCGTGCAAGTCAAGATGGTTCCGGCAGATGCAGAATTTCTGGAGTTCGCTGCAAGCTTAAATGGTTCCAGCCCAGGAACCTCGCAGGAGTCTTACGAAGAAAGCTGTGATAGGGTTGACTTTATTACCCCTTTTCGTATACAGTGGAATCAACCGAGATAATAGACAGAAATGCAGGTGTTTAATAGATGTTAATGCATGATTAACTAAAGAAGCTGCAAAAAGGCGGACTGCCGTAGTCTATTAAGACTAATGAAAGAAATGTATGCATATGATATTGGCATTTAATTGATTGGAATACCACATGCAGTTCGAGTTGTGAGATTCGAGATTCAATGTTTCCCAAAGGTCCCACAGTAAGGGGAACATTGAAAGATGGATGTACCTAGGTACTTTGGGGTATCGGAACAACCACTTACAGTATGTACTTCGTACCTCTCTACCAAGAAAGTCAATCTAACCGCGAATGGAGGGAAGTACCATTGAACTTTTGTGGCTTGCCAAGCTGAGGTGAAGTCAATTTATGCAAATTGATTGGCTTGACGCGCTGCTTTAGCATAACAAAAGTAAAACGCGGCGACGCGCTCTTGCCTTCCAATCAGACGAACTGTCTCAATTCCCGTACGGTTCCGTGGAGTCTGCAGCAGCGACGCACGACCCTCCCGGCCAATCAATTCCACTCCGTCTGGACAATTTTAAACACTCGTACCATGCAGCCATGTCTTTCTGCACTCATTGCACTTTTCTGCACGAGCCCAAAGACTTGAAGAATTTGGGAATCAATCCGGTGTAACGGACTTTATCTCGTTCACATTCTTAGACTCACCCATCTACCACTTAACTTTTTACTTCTTCATCTATTAACACTATTGGGGACAGTTATCATAGTTAGCTTCATTGACGGTTCATGATTCTCGTCAAATCACTTCCAACAAACGGGATCTTGGACATTACAAGCATTAAGCATTCGCAATTCATACTGCATAGCCCATATTCCATATCGTAATTGGATGCAGCTGGCAAGGTTCTGGCCTGATGGGAAGACCGCAGAGACCGCATATCTATCATATTTAACCAACCAGACAGGCAAATGCCATTCGGAAGACCCGTAAAACTAGGATTTCGCTACTACATTCCTTGCAAACAGCTTTAGTCTAACAGGACTAAGCTGCTAAGTTCTAACAGGACTAACGAGGATTGAACGAGGATTGCGAGTCTTAACAGCAGCAACTCTTTTTTTTCTGATCTTCCTTCTTTAAAACAATCCTTGCTGAGGAACTTGATCACGGCCTAGTCGTGTCAGCCCTCGAGGCCATTATCCAATCCTCTTCCGTATTTTCACTTACGCAGTACACTCAAGGCGGGTCTACCTAAGTGGATCTCTTGCTGAGTTGGCTTTCTTGATTCTACCAATCCTGGTCGTCCATTAACCCCATTCGGTCTTTTCTCTCTAACCCGAGCCCTGGCTCAATCTATTCTGCGTGCCGGCCCTGCAGCCTTCGCGCAGTTCTTGATACACGCTCTTTGACTCCTCCCTCTTTGGTCTCCTTGGTCTCTCTGGTCTGACTGACTAGACGACCTTATTGCTCGACCATTCGACCACTCAACCACTCGTCCACACGCTCTCTCTTACGCCTACCATAGGCAACATACATACCTACCTACCTAGGCATATTGGAACCACCATCAGGCCAAGGTTGAGACGCATTCGCTATCTCGATCCCCCACGGAATCCGCCCTTCGTTCTCCCCTTTCCCCTCTCTTCTTCTCGTCGCTCCCTTCCATTCACCCTCTTTTTTTCTCCACCACTACTACATACACACACGCATACGCATACACTTTACATGCTACTATTCAATATCATCAATTAATGACGATATTGACTCTACTGAGGTGTATATCGTTATTTGAACTTTACGACAATTAGTTCACTTTTGAGACCTTCTATGCTCTAGTAGTCTAGGTACACCAAGTGCCTGATTCCTGGCGCGCCACAAGTCAACCCTTGCTTCGTGGCTCCACAGCTAATTAAATTCACCCAAAGTCAGTACTAGATCGTTCCATTTACCATGTCTTCACATCGCTACACACATTACAAGGAGTAGGATGAACGGAGAACCTGATCTTCTAATCTACACATCAGTTACACGTCCATTGTACCTTCGTCTCAACTAATATCGAAAGCAAACAGCATAGCTTTACCGAGCGACGAGAACACTATTCTGGCCGAGATGGCCAAACCAACGCGTTATGCGGCGAACAACGAGCCGCTACACATCTTCCAGGATGATATCTTCAACAGCCAGCAAGCACCGTCCATCAGCCGAGCACCGATGCCCTCCGTTGGCAAGCAAACTTCTCCCCGCCGCGCACTGCAGAACTCGAATGTGAATGTGATGTTTAACCCCCCGAATGGTCACCAGAAGCAGCATTCTCCCTTCAAGACGGGGCGCGCCGCCGCCTCGGCTCTGGCACCGCTTGGATCGTCACATAGCGGTAAGCTAAATGCCGTGTCGATCTTACCACCGACATCACACAGCCAGTCAACCGATTCCATCCAGAAGAAGCAACCTATGATGTCTAGGTTTAAGACGGTCGTCCAGAAGCCGACGTTAGAATCGAGCGCAAGCTTTGGAAAAGAGAATGTTCAGCCGGCTCTATATCCTGCGCCACCTCCCTTCAACCTAAACTTGGAGAACTATTATCAGAACGCACCTAGCCGAAAGCGCACGCTACTCGAAGCAGCACCGATCCAGGATCACAGACCGCCGAAGAAATCCAAACTGGACGAGTCTGCTTTACCAGCTCACGACTCTTTCCCCCCTATCGTGGACAATGGCGCCAAACCTTTATACAGCTACGCCCAGTTGATTGGAATGGCTATCTTACGTGCACCTCAGAGGCGACTCACTCTCTCACAGATCTACAAGTGGATTTCTGACAACTTCTCTTTCTACGGCGCACAGGATGCGGGTTGGCAGAATAGTATCAGACATAACTTGTCTCTCAATAAGGCATTCATTAAACAGGAGCGGCCAAAGGACGATCCGGGTAAGGGGAACTATTGGGCGATAGAACCTGGCATGGAACACCAATTTATGAGAGAGAAGACGAGCAAGAAGTCAAATGCGAACATGGGAAGCACCCCTTTCATGTCTAGCCGTGCTGAACCTCAGCGCCTTGAGCCTACTAGTTACCCTGATTTGGCGTTGCCGTCTCTGCCTCCTGCACTTCCCGTCCAAGCGCACCCGATTGTTCACGATCTCTTGACCTCTCAAGCCCCGAACCAATCCGAGCCTCAAGTGTCGTCGGATGCCACTATTCCGCTCTCCGATAACGTCGGCCCAGAAGATCAAGCGGAGAGAAACCAGGATCAAGAACTACCCGTGGAGTGTAGCGCTTACTCTCCTTTACCAGCCGCAATGCATTCTTCTCCGCCGATCCCACGTCGCTTGGAGGCTCGTAGCAACACACCGCCTCCCATGAAGAGAGACCCTCCTTCTTCTGGTCCACATAAGCGTAGCCATAGGCGCAAGTATGCTTCGATGGATGCTTCTGTGGATGATAGCGGGTATATCTCGTCTTTAGACTCTTCGGTAATGCGCCCTAAGGGTAACCGATTACTTAGTTCGGGAACCGATCGTCCTCGAATCAAGCGAGGCCGCGCTGAGGAAGAGATTGCACGATTGCGTGCTTCCTCGTACGACAGCCCTACTAAGGGACGCCCTTACGACTTCATCCCGCCGTCCTCCTCGCCGTTGAGGCAGGCTAGCGGTCAGATGCTGCCGCCCTTGACTCCGGCCGTCAAGGTGAAGCCGCCTCCAAAGCCTCCTGCTTCTGTCTCACCGAACACCAATCTACGTATCCACCGAGACAAAGTTCGATCCATGCTCAACTCGCCTCTTCGTCGTGTTAGTAACATTCAAGGTGCTGAGGAGATAATCCCATGGAGCCCGGCATTCCAGATGGATGATTCGTTATTCAATTTCAATGATCCTATCACAGAACCGACCGACTTTGATATATTCCAAGATATATCTCTTGACCCGTTCTTCGCTGCTGCGGATAATGGTTCACCTCTCAAGCGCTCAGCCAGGAGAGTGCGCCTAGATCGTACCGCTTCCGCTAGTGCCCTTGGCGAGATCACGAATTCGACCTCTAAGAGATCAATTACGTCTGCACCTTTGCTGAGGGCTCCTGCTTCATCGCTAGCACTATCGTACGAAACTCCTAGCAAGGTGTTCGAAGGCATGTCTTCTCCCAGCAAGTATTTGCAGTCTCCTACGAAGAATGCTTCTGCGTCTCCTATTAAGAACGACTGGAACCTGGAAGAATTTTGCACTTCGCAATTCTTCGAAGATGACCTTGAAGACGGTGGTATAGATATTCTTCAGGGGTTCGAGAGAATTAGTGGTAGTCAACCCCCGAATGGAGCCGCGTCTACTAAGATCTCGAAGCCTGGCCTAGGCCGCAGCTTCACGACTTCATTTTAAACTTCCTGCAGTACTTATCCGGCGGTTACTATGGGAAGCATGCCCAATTTCACGATGATTACGAATAATGACTCGACTACACACCACCTACCTCTTCTAAGAGGCTGCTTTCGACTCGCTTCAGTCGAAGACATTGCCGATACCTTTGACGACTATAGACCTTACTGCCTACCTTCTCGCCCCACGGCCTTCTTGCCTACTGCTTACATTCATAATGATGACACGTGTCGAGTACATACCATTACTACTACAACGCCTACATGACGAGATCTGGATTTTCTCAATAATTTTCTTTTTTTCCTTGATTGGGTTTCATGCCGCGTTGATACATGCTGAACCAACTTGTCTTTTCCTATCACCACCCGTATTTGAGAATCTGATCGTTCAGGTTATGAGGAGGCATACGAGAAGGCGTTAAAATGCGATGTACTTGGAAACGGAAGCCGGCAAAGGGGGGAAACTCGGGAAATATGTATGAGGATCACGCACCTCGAGAGGAGTTTTGAGAGTTGAGTGGCACCATTCCTTTTGGTCCAGGACGGACATACCGCGTTTGGAGTGTGGGCTTCTTTTTTTTTTCTTTGCTTTTTACGGATGGATAGGCACTACCTCAGTCATGTAGGACAACCACACCCGGAGTTGGGACTGGTGGTTCTTGTGCTGCTTGGTTTTCCATACGTACGGTTATTAGTGCTCAATACTGCTGCCAGAACGATGGCCTTGTTATTTTTCAACTGCTATCTTGACTACCTACCTATCCGTGATATGATGATGTCCATTCTGGTATAATTACATTTGTATAAACATGTCCCATTCCACGACACAAGACTAGGTATTATATAAGTCCATATAGGAATATGCCATATCTACGATGGGGTATCATTTGAAGTTATCTCGGCGTAGTCAAACCAGCCTACTACCATGACAGAAATCCGCGAAGAAGCTAAATAAATCTATATCACAAGGGGGATTTCCTCAAGGCGCCCGGGTCCATTCCTCTTCAAAATAAACGATCGATGTTATAACGCCAACCCCGAAGATGATCTCTCTCTTTTTTGTGATTCCGCTTGCTGATACAATTATTAGGTATGCATTACAACTCTTCCTCGCACTGCTATATCCGCCTCCGCTCCTTGCTTCCGCCAGCTTGCTGGATGATAACTGTCGTTCTCTCATATTACTTGACAGTATAACAAACAGCTCAAGTTTATGCTCCGGCTTCTCCTAGTAGATGCCCATGCGGGTGGCCCAGCCGGCGTCTTTCTGGTTGACGTTGATCTGGTAGGGGAAGGGGTTGGCCTCGCTGGTGGTGATGGGCGGGATGTGGTCCTTGTGGGAGTTGACGCAGGTGACGATCTTCATGGCGGTCGTTAGGAGGGTTTGTTCCATAGCTTTGCGGACTTTAGCTCGTTCTGCGACGGGGTTTGTTAGAAGAATATCACGGTTTACGTCTTGTATGCATGCTTATGAAGAGAGTAGGGAGTAGGGAGGTAGAAGAATGGAGCTGGAGAGACAAACCGCTATCGGTGCGCGGCTCGGCCACGGTAACTTTGACGGTCCACGACTCCCAGCATATCTCCTCGTCGCCGCCGCCGTACGCGCGCATGTACCAGGTCTTCCGCCGCTTCTTCTCGAAGAACTGGACCGAGATGTGCCCGCGGCCGCCGCTGCCTCGGGTCTGCTGCTGCGGTTGCACCGGGTGGGACAGCGAGCGGGAGTGCGTGTGGACATGTGTCGTGTGCGTCGTGCGCTCGGCGTCGAGCTCGCGCTCCAGCTCGGCCGCCCGCTTCTCGATCATCGTGTCTAGCTCGGCATCGTCGACGAATGGTAGCGTGATATCGAGGACCTCGCGCGAGCGAGGCGTTAGGGACGGGAAGAATCGGTGGAAGAAGATCGTATGCAGGATTCCTAGGGAGGGAGAGGCCGGGCGGGTTAGCTTGGACTTAAGGTAGTACGTATAACAAACATATATATATGTATGTATACACGGATTTTAACTTGGAAGACTTGGAAGCATAAATGGAGATAGATAGGGGATTTGGGGGCTTATAAATGGGTAAAGGGGCGCGCGGGTGGGTATAGGGGATCCATCTTCCCACCGTCGTGGTCGACGATGGATGGACGGAGACGACAACGATGATGACGGACGCGGTGCATGTGATTGGATGCTTGGCTTCTGTCTAAAAAATGTATATATTTATACCTCGCACTACATCTCGTACGGACGCTGGATCGGCGAAGGCCTCGAGGATGAATTCTTGTGGTGTTTGTTGGTCCATGGCGTAGTACGGAGGCGGGCTTGTTCTGCTTTGCTTGTGAAAGTTTGGCAGCGGATATGGATGACCTTCCCGAGGTCTAGGGGCCACGATTGTTTGTATCATCAGCAGCCCGTTCTTCTTGTAATGGAGGGGTTCTTAGTCGGCAAAGGAGAAAGGCTGAGTCTGCTGAGGGGAAAACTGGATTTGCTGGATTTGGCCTGGAACGTGGGGTGATTGGAATGGCACGGGGGAGATCTGTCACGCTAAACTCCGCTAAATTCTTAGGTACAGGCTACTTCCCAACATCTCTAATCGAATGCGTCATGTCAGCCACAATCACTCCCGAGAATTCGCTGAGCATGTGGCTTTATATCCTATAAGGCTCTACAAGGCTCTGCAACGCACCTACCTACAATAGTAAAGATCTAAGCTGGTGCTAACCTGGAAGCTGCTAGGTGAATACGGTCAAGCGCTAACTCTTTAGTTCCGCAGGGGATTAGGCGCCTATCTTATCAATTGATTTAGTTAGGTACCTACCGCTGTACGACCAAGTTAAGGGACGACTCGCGCGCTTGGACCGAGGCACACGTCAGTTTATTGAACATTTAATTCTAATTTTGGCGGTTGCAGGTGTCTTCTTAGCTTCTAGGGGCGAGCCTTCCAATGCTGAATCATAAGTCGTTGGCCGAAATATCCATCCGAAACCTTCAATAGGATCGAATCTTCTTCAAGAGCATTTTAGTTCTTGAAGCTTCTTCCCTTCTCAACCATGATATCAGCCTCCCGAAGATGGTTACGCCGTAATAGAACGCCAATTGCTATCGGTGTCGGCGTCATTGGCGCTGGTTATTTAGCGACTCAATATGTTCTTAGCAAGATCAACGACGCGCGCGAGCGCATGAGTAGCGATCGCATCGCGAAGGAAAAGTAAGACTATATGTGTGTCCGAATACCAATTCAATCGGATCTAACGATTTCGTAGCCTTCGTCGACGGTTCGAACAAAATCAGGAGGACTGTACCTTCACGGTCTTGGCACTGCTACCGACCGCGACTTCTAATATCCTCGAGACCATGAATACCGAGAGGATCACATTAGAGATCCAGCAGATGAAGAGCAAGGGCTTACGAAACAGCGGGGAGTCATCGGCTACACCGCCTAGCATTGCTGATACGACGATGACCGAAGAAGAAGGGAAGAGCACAGTGAGTTTAGAGAGCGGCGTACATGCGAGTCAACTATCATTGCCGCCCATGTCTACTGCAGGGGATGGCTCTCAAAATGGCAGCCAAGCTTCCCAGAAGCCTAGCAGAAAGACCAAGAGACAGTTGTGGGATGATTTAACAATAAGTTGTGAGTTAAGCCTCGAGGAACACAAGGAGAAGGCTGTGGTTTCCTGAGCTACCTAATTGACAATTCTCTAGCAATAACACGCGCTTTTACTCTTATCTACACACTAGCTCTTCTCAGTCTGCTCACTCGAATCCAACTAAATCTCCTCGGACGACGAAGCTACCTATCAAGCGTGGTGTCACTAGCAACTGGGACAGCCCAATCAACAATAAGCTTAGAGAACAACGACGATGATAACCCGGAACACGCCTACGGTAGTGACTTTGAGACGAACCGGAAGTACCTGACTTTCAGCTGGTGGCTATTACATCGTGGCTGGGTCGAAATCATGGAGAACGTTGAAGGTGCCGTCCGCGAAGTCTTCGGACACCTAAGCCCTCGTGACCTTCTGAGCTTCAATACCTTCTCCATCCTCACCCTCGAGGTCCGCAAGAAGATGGAAGGCAGGTCAGAAGAGGAAAACAAGGGAGCACGACCAGGCGCCAAGTGGCTACCATTCCTGCTGCCACCAACCAAGATGGAAGACTTCGTTCTTAAGGAATCAGGTGTCCTAGGAGACCACGCGCCATCGACTGCCCAGCCGGGTGCTTCCTCATCTGCTCCTCCTGAGACATCTCTCCGTCGCCTCCTGGACGAGACATCCGACCTTATCGAATCACCTGCTTTCACGCACGTTCTAACGCTTCTCCTCGACGCCGGTTTCTCTACGCTCCTGCACAAGAAACTTCTCCCAGGCGCCTTCGACACGCCAGGCGGAGCTTTCACTACTCCTCCTTCGTCGGATATGGGGGCGCTAGCAGGTCAACAGGCAGCGCAATCAGCGGCATCGTCGAAGATTGTCCTACTACCTAAGGTCCTGTCGGTGCTAACGAGACAGGCACACGTCATCGGCAACGGTATGCCTAACGAGTACCTACAGGATATGGAGCAGGTGCGTGACCTTGAGGCCTTCGCGGCCGTCGTTTACTCAAGCAACTGGGAGAACGAGATCCACCCAGATGACGGTGCCTTCGCTGAGGCAGTTGCCAAGCGAGCGGCTACGGACGAGAAGGAAGCAGCCGGCGGTAGCGGGAGTAAGTTGTTAGGATTAGGACCTGAGGGGAGCGGTATGGGAAGATTCTCGCAAGGCTCGACGGCGGGTGAGGAGAGTATGGTTTTAATCGATCCTTCGCAGTCACAGTTGCAGAGCTCGTTCGAGAGCGCGTGGGGTAAGGCTACGGATGCAAGGTAGAGTAATGTGGGGAGGATTGGTTAATAATGGTTTAGCATGGACAATATACATCACGTCTAATATAGCAAAAATGGTCTTTACGTTGGCGAGCGGCGTATTTCATAATATAGGTAGTCTACGTTAAAAAGGACGGGTACGACATTACAAAATTCGAGGATACCTACATCATCAATACCTACATCATCATAGCGTCGGTTGCGTAGCCGCTAGCACCAGCTTGCTTCATAGAACATTTATGTAACAGTAGTATCTCGGACCTCAATTCTTGCTTAGTTATCATTTGGCTAGGGTTGACTCCGTTGGGGGAGTCGAATATGATATCATCTCTACTTAACCTAGATCCTTCTAAGTTTAACGTACCCTTTTCCTCTTATGGGAGGCTGTCCTTTGACTTGGACTAACCACTCATGATGTCTATGCATGGCAGAGCGGCAGATTGAGGCGTCTAGCTGCCCCGTCTCTTTTCTCTTTCCTTCATGGTGCTTAACGTAGAAATCGAATACGCACCATCTCCATAGCCAACTGTAAATGCTTAAGGCCCCGCGCCCACCAGGTACCCTCTTTGAACGCCCAAGGTAGACTTCGCCCTGAAATACTGCATCGTGGAACTCATCACATCAGCCCTCTTACAAATTTATCCAAGCCCATCTCGAACATCTCGTTCCGAACGCCTTCGCCGCCCTTGTGCTCAACCGGTGAGAGCGGATTCTTGACAACTAGATGTAAAAACATTAGCACGGTTGTTTCCTGGGTGTATATAAACTGTATTTTTCAACTTCTTCTTTCACAGCCTCAAGATTATCTAATCGCTCGTTCCGCACAAGGCTTATAACCTAGGCACACTTCCTTAAGCACTCCCATCCTCTTCTCTTATCTCCCCCTACCCCATGCCCAAACCAGCCCAACGCACAAACCAAACATGCAAATACGAGGGAAGCATATAACAAAAACTCACCGTATTCAACCCAGAGGTTAATATAAATCTGATGCAAAACATTACGCATACTCAGAGCACCAGGCTCAGTGAGCATAGCGAAGCGGAGGTTGGTCGGGGTCTCGTAGTAGTGGAGCTTGTAGTGGGCGGTGCGGAAGGCGATGAAGGCGTCGTCGTCGCCGCCGAGCTTGCGCACCATGTTGCGCAGCGAGAAGACGGTGCCGAAGATCAGCTTCGCGTCGTCGTCTTGTCTACGCTTCGACGCGGCCGACAGCGCGCTCGGGATCACGGCCGGCGTCGCGTGCGATGGGTGCGACGGCTGTTGCGATTGCGGACGTGAGGACGGCGGCGAGGTTAGGCTTGGGGGCGCCGGGGGAGGCGGCGCGCGGATGTGCCATTGTTTGGAGTATATGCACTCCGCTGCGAGGCGTTAGCTGGATGTAGAGTTGTGGATGGAGAACTGTCGGTCTAGTTGTGTAGCTATCGTAGGTAAGGGAGGTCAGGCTTACTATGGCGGTCGAAGATGTAGAATGAGTAGACCTGTATAGGCATGGCTTCGGTAGCTACTGGGTATGTAAGCTACTACGTACTATAGCGGGCTCGCGGCTGAAATCACATGCTCCGCAGTTGGGCGAGTCGGTACTGCGGTATGTTCGTTGAAATTGCTAAAAATAATGGGAAAGCTTTCCGGGTTGGAATTGGAACGACGACCGGCAAGTCGGCACATGCTGCTATGTACGTACTTCAATCACTATTTTGCGGGCCGGTCCAGGGGGGGTCTAGATGCAGACTTTACGCATAGGATGTACTTGAGGTACTTAGGCGAACTTTAAGTCGCACCTACATACAGTAGCGTGGGATTCGTTATTATGTATCTCTTGTATGCAGTTACATGTATCCATACATCCATACTTATCAACATATGCCTACTAGACCCATGGGACATGAGATTTTCATAATTTCCTCGACAGATTATTCGTACAAGTGCTTATTTTTACCTCAGCTACTCAAGGGTTCAGGGTTGACATACATACGGTGTACATTGTTAATGTTATCCGTACCGGGAATCTGCCCTACCAATTCGTTATCTAGGGGTCCGCCTGCCCGCCTTGTGAGAACTCTCGAACCCCTCCAGCGGGGATTCTAGCTGCAGGAGCAGGGATGGTCGAGGTGAGTTTGGGGGCCGTGATTCGCCCAATAGCGCAATTAGCTTGCTGGTTGGGCTGAACCTCTTGCACATGGAGCATGGGGGGGAGTGCCGGGGGAAGGCACCAGAGAGAAGAAAGTGAGACGGGGAAAGAAGAAAAAAAGAACCTTAAGAGGTAGGCTTGAGTACTTTTGTACCTAGCTACCTAAAAACTAATCGTTTTCTTCACTTTCTTCGTTTCTTCCGTTTTGTCCAACGTTGAGCTTTGTCCTCTTACTATTACCTCAAGTATATTTCCATCGATGTGTCAGAAACGGTGTCGACATCTCGAGATTTGATATCGATATTCATCGTCTGTGCCCCTGGACGGATTAACGTAAACCACCATGACGGATCCTCTATCTACTACAGACTCGACCGCTTCTACAGTAGTGTCAGATGGAAACCTTGAACTAGGAGAAGCCAAGACGCCAATGCTTGAAAGTTCCTTGAGCTTTCCCTCGTCGCCACATATTACAATACAGCAAGATGTTGATGCGCCAGATCGACCATCGCTTGCCCCTCACTTGTAAGTCCAGGAAGGCTATTGTCCCCGCGATTGTCTTGGCTACCTTAGTATCTACCATATGGTCGTCTATTTGTCTAAGACATCGATTGTAACCTCCAGATCTGCACCGCCTACCGTGTCAAGTTTCCCAAGTCCCATGAGGCATCATAGAAGGACGCCGTCTCAGCATCGCGAAGTCAAGGTTAGTGGGGGATCGTCGAGATCACAGATCGCATCATGACCTGGGACCATGAACTAAGATCCCGCGCCAGGAAACTCTTAATGCCAAGACCGAGTATACCAACGACGATATAGACGGAAGGTCGCAGCAGGCCATTAATCAGTATACCATCAAAGAGGAAATTGGAAGGGGCTCATATGGCGCCGTACATCTGGCTACAGACCAGTTCGGTACTGAATATGTAAGCATGAGTTAGTCACTCGAACCTCAACCCCTCTAATCGGCTTCGCATCAGGCTGTCAAAGAATTCTCGAAATTGCGCCTCCGGAAACGAGCCCAGTCGAACATATTGAGAAGACCCGAGGGAGGTAGGCCGCGACTCGGCCCTGGGCGAAGTCTATGGAGCGCCCATAAGAAACAACTCAGTCATCATGAAATTGCAGAGGCGAAAGATGCCCTGTTCTTGATACGAGAAGAGATTGCCATCATGAAAAAACTCAACCACCCCAATTTGGTACAGCTAATCGAAGTACTGGACGACCCCGAGAACGATTCCTTGTATATGGTTCTGGAAATGTGCAAGAAAGGAGTCATCATGAAAGTTGGGTTGGATGAGCAAGCAGACCCCTACGACGACGAGCAGTGTCGTTTGTGGTTTCGCGATCTTATCCTAGGCATAGAGTATCGTAGGTTTTCATTGGGCTACAGTTTGGTTGTATACGTACTAACTTTGCATAAGTACATTCTCAAGGAGTTGTTCACCGAGATATCAAACCAGACAACCTCCTACTAACAGAAGATGATGTGCTGAAAATCGTCGACTTTGGAGTATCCGAGATGTTCGAGAAGCCAGAGCATATGATGACTAGCAAATCTGCTGGTTCACCTGCCTTCTTGCCGCCCGAGTTGTGTCAAGTCAGACATGGCGACGTCTCGGGCAAAGCAGCGGACGTGTGGTCCATGGGTGTTTCGCTATATTGCCTCAAATATGGAAAGCTTCCCTTCAAGCGGGATAATGTGTTGGAAATGTTAGAGGCGATCCGAACCGAGGACTTGCAAATACCCACTCAAGACGAGGATCCGAATTTCTTGGATCTCATCACCAGGATTCTAGACAAGAATCCGGAGACAAGGTTAACTCTTCGAGAGATAAGAGTAAGTTTACCTATCCCATCAAAACAGTAGATACTAATCAAAGTAGAATCATCCGTGGGTCACGAAGGGCGGTGCCGATCCCCTACTGTCGGAAGAGGAGAACTGTTCAGATGAGGTGGAATTACCAAATGCCCTCGAAGTCAACCATGCATTCACAAGGAAGATGGATCACCTAGCCTGTGTAGTAAGCATTTCTGTTTCTCACGAGTTGTTCATCTTACACATATTAACACACGATCGTAGCTGAAAGCGATCCACCGATTTAAGAGCCTCACATCCAGGAGTAGATTTTCGACCCCTGAGATTAGGACGCCTCAGACTCCATATGCGCCGAAACTAGAGGAAAAGGAGGATGTTTCAGAAGTTGCAGATATCTCCACAATCTCTACGGACTCAACGGCGGTTCCTGAGACTCCCCCACAGCCAGAGCGGCAGAAATCGATCGCCGAAGAGGCGGCGGAGCTCATCAAGCAGCGCAGAGCTTTCCAAGCAGCACAAAAGCACGCCGCGACTCACCCGCCGATGCCACTTGGAGAAGGTGAGAAGGGCCACGCCCATGACCTAACGGAAAAGGCACCGCTCTTCCTAGGTATCGGCACTGGTGGACACGATGATTTCACTAGTTCCGAACCTCCAACTGACGTCGTATCCGATTCACCTACCGGGATTGATTTCGACGTCTATGATCGTGCCTTCGAGACGGAAATCAAACGTATCCGTTCTGACAGGAAGAAAGGTCGTGCCAGGACCTATCTCACGAAGCTCGTAGGGGAGCAAGAGGTAGACAAATATGCCAGTGATGATTGTATGGTTATCGAGGCTGGAAAGACGTTGGCATCTAGCGCATATGCACACGGCTCGTCGGCCATTGAAAGAGGATTGAACCACATAAATGAGGTAAGGGAGCAACTTCATCGTGACAAGAATGGTGCAGAGGGGGAGGATCGTGGAAGCCCAAGCAGCGTCTCGGATGCAGTGGGGGCAGCGAAGGAGACGGGGCATAGATTCGCAAATTTAGTATCGGCCATGATGAAAGACCCCAAGGAGAAGGACACGAACTAAAGATAAGGCTTAGTGAGCATCCGAAGTCTCCGGTATGAGGAGGGTGGAAGAAGGGTGTCTGGTTCGAAATAATCGCGATGTGACGCGTCACATCACGACGCGAAAATTCCCGCGGGATATTCGGACAGCAATAGCGAAGGGGAGACGGAATCGCGATTCCTAAACTTTCCATCAAGCGGGCGTTTTGGCTCTAGGACGGCAAGGTTGGAAAAAGTGGACTTGAACGGGACCGAATTTCGTTTCATGATACACAAACAGGTATTGCGCGGGCCGCGAGATCGAGATAATGGGACGGATTGGAAGACGTGATTTTCTGACTACCCATGCTGTCATGGATCCCCTACTGCCTTACTACCCACAGCTTATTATCTAATTTCTGGTATACCGTATACGGAGGGAAAGAAGAGCGACGATCAAATTCGCGATATATCATCTACGTACCTAATCAAGTAATAACCAATGATTCGTCCATGATATGACTCGAGACATCCAGTTGGCAAAAAAAGAGAGCAAACTCGCAGATTCGCAGGAATAGAAACTTGCTCATAAAATGGATTGGGTGAGACGAAATCAAGCAGAATCCTACGCGATCGGGTTCGTTTGCTCGAGAGAGATTCGGATGTGGCTACCGAAGACAGCTTAACCACCCTTAGAGGTATTACATACATACAGCCGTAGTCACGAGTGGGAATCATTGCCGCATCCGTCCACTCGCGAGCCTCCTTGCCATGTAGATTTACGACGAGCTACTTAATCTACCGTACACCCGTCGCGCTATTCTGGGAGGCGAGGGCTGGGGTTTGTTAAGGGTGTACTTCTGTAATCCTACATGTCGTGTATATGACATACAGCCCTCTTTTGTAATTTTTTTATTGGTTTTTGGGGGTTTTTTGGTCACCGCGCGGGAATTAAAGACCTCAACCTCACCGCACTCACTTGGTTACGGTCACTTACATGGGGGAGGACACAGAAAGGGGGCAGGGAAAGGGAAAGAGAAATTTCGCAGGAATTGGCCATAGAGAGATCAGAGCTGGACACACGTGTAGGACCGGGCCAATATCGTAGGTAGATATTTGTTGCATGTCGGGCGAGGTAGGTAGGCTGGCTGCCGGTTGGTTGGTTGGTGGGAAGGGGAAGGGGAAGGCTGAGACCGGCCATATAGGTAGGTAGGTATGTACATACACCGCTAATCAACAGCTCGATCGTTATCGCCGTCGTGTTTCATGATCGGGGAAGGGCAGGGGAGGCTGTCGCGTTAGGACTTAGAGATAGGAGGGCCTGGATCTTTGGATGTCTGGATGTGATGATGTATGTTCTACCTTGCCTTGCCTTGCCTTGCCTTACATATTTAGGTAGGTTCTGTAGGTAGGTAACCTTCGTATGTTATACGGCGTATATGGTCCGGTTTCTTGCGTGATGAATTATGGCGATAGCTAACTAGAATTGCGTATTGAGACAAATTCTTTCTTGTTCTATGTGTGTTATTCCTGCTTTCCTTGCATGCTCGCTTACTCGATCGATGAGTTCAAGACATCAATAGCTCCCGCTCCGCCCCGTACCGTGTTTTGACCTAGGGAGATGCTCCCTCCGTCCCCCCTTATGCAGTTGCCAGCCAGATTCTCTCTCCTACCTCTTCTCATCTCCCTGGTTATCTACCTAGGTAGTCTGTCTTTTTTTCTAATCTCTTTATTTCCGTCCACTTCTCTCCTCCTCCATTCCTCTCCACTACTACCTTTGCGCACACGGACATTGCTTCGCGGGAAAATTACCCATTAGATAGATGCGCGAACAGCAAAGATATCAAGAAATAAATCATTTAAAAAAAGTTCGAAGAGCCAGATGGGACCCCCAAGGTAACCTAACCCCAGATTTCTACACTTGCCGCACCACACACCAAAAGAGCTAGCTCGGCAACCGAAGAATCTAGATCCTCGTCAAGGACCAGCACTCTCGGCCGACCAAGACTTCGAGAAGACCTTGGCGGGGCGCGTTGTCGGGTTTGTATAGGTTAGGTATGTTTAGAATCTATAAGTTTTCATTTCCCTTCCTTTGCTTTCCTCCTCTCGCTTCTTTTTTTGCTAGATACTAGGAAACAACATCCTTGATTGTTCGTTCTTTTTTTAATCGTTGCTTGGCCACACTTCGGCAATTGATAATTGGAGGGGACGGCCCGTCTTCTGACACCTAGATAATCAAGGCCTTGCGGCAAACAGCAAACCCAGGAATCGCGCGAAGGGTTCGGTGCAATCTCATGGCGAAGACGGACTCGTGATACTACAGAGCCTTTCTTTGTTGTTGTATCGTGCCTTGGGGTAAAGGTAAGGTAAGGTAGGACTCTTATTAATTACTAACCCCCGTCGCCTGTCGGAGGGAGAGAAGAGACAAGACTCGCCTCGTCTCGTCTCGATAACGAGATGATGGGAAAAAAGAGGAAAATGATAGACACATGCCCCTTTTTCTGTACTCGTGTTCCACGCGTCACTTTTGACGTCTGCGTAGCTTTGTCTCGGTTCTTGACCTCTCTCGGGGATTACCTACACGTTAGCCTGAAACATTGACATCCCACGTTTTTTAACTCCCTACGTACGTAACGATACACGAGAGATGCCGTAGATGCCGCCTAGTTTCTTAACATGGACATGTACAGAGACGAGGGATTTAATGAGACGACAGCCTCAACCCGCATGGCCGGCTACGACGGTGATTGGATAACTTCTCCAAAAAATGAAGGCCATATAATTTAGATCACTATCATAACGTTACCTGATATAGCAGTTTATAGCAATTTCAGTGTAGAGCATCATCGCATATGACGCCACTAAGCGACCGTACGACACGCAGGGGAACGATATACCCAATCTTCCCCCCAACTCCTTGAGCTTCCTCTTCTAAAACAGGAAGCCTCATGGTTGTATATCCCCAGGTTTTTTTGGTCTCCGGTTTGCTCATGTATGCGTAGTGTATGTATGCCGAGGACATAAAATGGCACTTTGGCGTGGGTGTGACAGCCGAGGCGACTGGATAGATGCCCCTAGGATCTAGAACTAATCGAATATTTTCCCGGTAATCTCGTTTGAGTTAATTGCGCGGTGTGGGTGTACAGTCAGAGGTCAGAGGTCGGCTGCCTTTTTCATGTTACTGTCTGGTGTTGGAGTTGGCCAGCCAAGCTCAAGTAGGAAATCCTATCCGACCTCTGATTTGCCTTGACCGGCGCCATCGTACCTAGTGAGCCCCGGATTTAAAAAGAGACATCCGGATAGGCGTACATTCTAACCATGATTTACGAAATCCATTATCGACTTTCTCTGCCCCGCGTCTAAGCGGTTGATGAAGACTGGAGAATGATGGAGATGAAGAGGCTAAGCTCTGGAGGAATTGGCCCGAATCAGCGCTATGCAGGCGAGCTACCGACCCCCAAATTAACCATTTTGGTGGGCTGATATTTGAATATTAGATATTCAATATTGTAAATTTTTTTCAGCTCCCTTAAATCCCGAGTCGTTTGGTCTCGGGTCTACAAACTTGCCGACCATACTACCTTTCCCCAACCTTTCATATAAAGGAGAAAGACATAGAATCCGAAGCTTTTGATTCAAGCGAGCGGTGTAGTGCGAGGTGCGAATTCGGAGGGCTCCCGGCTCAACTGCAGACGCTGGCCGGGATGAATGTTGTAGATAGGTTAGACACCTGGCAGGTTGGCAAGGTAGGAAATACTACCATGGCCGGTCTTAAAAACATCACCGCATAAGAAATAGGCTTAAAGTACGTCGAAATTCCCAATATCGCTTGATAGCTAGGTATGTATGCGAATGGGATATGATATGGCTTTACGGCCCCCATTACAAATTAGGCCATATCAGTAGGTATAAGTATGGTATCGAAGTATCCGACACCGTGAAGATGATCGACGCAAAGACATCGCTGAGACATGTGGTAATCGGAATACCAGGTATATGATCTTCATTGCATGGTGGCCAAATACCTTGGCATTGATATCTGTCCGCTTCGGGTTTGTTGATGGCGTACAGGTAACAGGTAAGCGCACAGTTAGTTCGTTGTCACTTTTACTTTTTCCCTGCGGGTGCGCAGGCGCGGATGCGGGATTCGCAGACTTGCAGGTCGGCTGCAGATAGAACTGATGGAGGAACGGCCACTTGGCAGGAACGCAGACGGCCAGTCGCCGATGATGGGATAATCAGATAATGCGTCCCTACTGTACTCTATACCCCCCGTAAACGTTATAACTTCCAGATAGAGATGCATTGGTTAGTTCGCAGGGATAGGCGGAAGACGCTGGACGGAGATGACATCTAAATGTGTTTGAGCTGACAAGGCTCAATCACAAGCTTGTAAGTAATGGGTTCATGACGTCAGCTACCAAATTGGTAAAGATTTCAACAGGCGATCAGGTCAGAACGTCTTCTCAGGTGATCATGATATATGGCTTGCTAGCCATATGTGGATTGGCCAATGCATAGCCAATAGATCAACTCTATCCAGCGAATCCAGTAAACCAAGCAGCCAAGTAGATTAAGCTTGCGCTTGAGAACGAGACGGCTATACGGTTTCTGTTTTCCTGGAGCAGATCGGAAAATGTAAGTTTTGTCATAACTCGCCAACCCCTCCCAAACTACTGGGTCCAATTGCGATCTCGTCCGTCCGAGAGCCAAGAAGTCATAGCCCTACAATACACCCGTAGTACGCGTAGTACAAATTGAGATGCTGCCGCACGCCACAGCCGATTCGGGGCGGAGAAGGCACTTACCCTTTTATGTGATCGTATAGGCAGACATATAGGAATAAGCCGCTGTTGGAGGTAGTCTGGAGGCCTCCGGGACGATAATAAGTCAAATGAAAACGAAGAGAAAAATGTGAGGGAAGCTTGGCGCGCAGTCGAATAGCTCTGGCCCGCATGGGAGCAAGCTTTCGTGCTTCGACTTGATATGCATGTAGCTTTAGCTACAGCAGTAGCTATGAGAAGCTTTCGACATCATGACTGGCCCGATGCAGCAAGGATAAACGTGCAGCTTACCCACCCCAAGAACCCTCCTAAGGTTCCCACGGGTTCCGTAAGTAGCGAAGGCGCAAAACTGCAGTAGGTAAAAAGTCGGCCCCCTTTTTTTGCCAGATCATCGATGCATGCTGCGCATGTCGATGCTCCCCTGTCTGTAATACATAGCAAAGCTGATATGTATCCGACGGACAGACGGGGAAGAGAAAGGATAGGTGAAGTAGGAGCATGTTAGAATAGTGGGCAACTTGTAGCGGTGAGCGTATTTGAATTGGCTATGTTTTGCATTCATAGTGGCGGCGAACGCAAGGTGACCGGTAATCACGAATAGTCGCAACATGTGGTCTCGGGACGCCGGGGCCGAGCTAACTGGCCGTAGTATGAGTACCCAGATTGGTATGTTCCAGTTTCGTTATTAGTATGTATTTCTCATTATTAGCTGAGCATGGAGCGTGAGGGAAATGCCTCATCTAATAGTCAGCAGAAGTACACCATGCAACGTTAAGATACTTAAGCAGGTGGCTAAGATAGCGGCTGGCTGTGCTCCCGTAAGATACTCCAACAAGTTAGAACAATAAGTTAGATAGGATATCGTTGTTCCGAGGCGGGTATAGTGAATGTCACAGTTGAGGCTACCCTTTTGATGTACCACTGGATTGGTAGTCGACCATGTTGCTAGGACGTGGGGGTGAAAGCCACAAGAAACTAGACTAAGATCTAAGCTGGGATGGGTAAGGACAAAGAGGTAGAAGTAGTAAAAGCTCGTAACACACGAGTTCCATGATAGGGGTAGGGGATAGGGGTAGGGCTTAAGAACTGTGAACAAGAGAATCAAGTACCGAATGCCAATGCTTCTTTATTTCGATAGGTGAAAAAAAATGACGGGGATGTTGGGAATGACAATAATAATGTTAGTCTGGAATGGACAGAAGCCAAGAAGATTGCCAAGGGTTTAATGGTTCGTAAGGGAGATGGGGGACAAAAAATAGTTCTCTCGGTAATAGCCGTTGTTAATCTGGCATGAGGCTCTTTGTTTAATAAACGCGGGTTAGATTGTTAGATGACCTCGTGGCATCTGGATACAACACAACGCACCCTTCACTTGGTTAGGCGAGGGTGGGAAGGGGTCCTGATTGTTTATCTTCTTTTTTTGTCTTGTTGGGATGGAGGTGGGATGATTGGTATGATCTTAGATGGTTAGATGGTTAGATGGCTACCTAGTCGATGGCGGGATGGTATGTAGATGGTAGACGGTTGATAATTCTCAAAAGAGATGGATCGTGTGTCACTTAAGAAAAAGTCCTGCAGATTCTAGATTAACCTACTGGGGAACTAAAAGCCCACCAATGGCAACTCCCGCAGTTCTTGTTACTTGCAGAGAATTCCCATTTCTGTTACGACATTCACTATTATAATGCAAGTATTCTCTCATTTTTTAGACTTTAGACTTTAGACTTTGGTTTTAGACTTAAACATCTGGAGTTAATTGATAAAGTTACAAACTTTGGCAGTTACACCCTGTTTCTCGCCACCACCAATAGCATATATATGTCGCACATTCGATTAGCGAGTATATTAGTCAGATCAACTTTGAGATACTGTGTAACTCTTGTTTGCGTAACGCTTCAAGGTTTCCCACCACTTTTTCCACCGCTGCGTCGACACCAGGTCAGTACGTACCGATGGAAGGTAACCCCAAATCAGTAAAGTGTGGATGTGACTAGGGATAGATGCATGTAGGCATGTATGTACCTAGTAGTATGTAGGTGAGGAGCTGGGAGGTTACCTAAATTACGACGTACTGGACGCATTAGAATGATACGGTACTGAATACTTAGCATATCCCACCCACATTCTGATTGTTAACATGCATCCCACTCTATTTTTGAAAGGCGATCTTTAGAGACGATCTCTTCTTCTGGCATATTTCTCTACACGAGCTACATATAACATAATGATAGGGGAAAGTTACCTGGTTGCTTATTCTTTCTCTCCTTTGCCTGCATACTTAGGTATGTACTTATTAATCTCACGTATCTAGTATTTCATATTATAGATATAGAATGCGAATATTTAAATACAAAAACCCTGACATCACCTTCATCGCAAAAAGCGGTCCAATACTTTATTTTTAACTCCTTTTTTTTCTTCTTTGCAAGGCAGAAGTCGGCAGCCAGCAATCGATTATTCATTCCTCAGCCTAGACAGAAAGAATCGGCAGTACCGTACCTCTTTTTCTCTCCACTTGGACTACTTGAACTACTTTTGACTTGGATCGGCTCAAACCTGGCTTCGCACGAATCTTAATTCTAGCTGCTTCCGTCTCTCCTCTTCTCTCTCTGTCCCTCTACCTTCTCCTCTCCTTCCATTCGCTCAGCGCGCCTTGCCGCCCTGCCCTTCTTCTCTTTAGTCCTGGCTTCTTAACAATGACCGTCTTCACTTATACAAAACGAAGTCTGGTCAGTCATTATCTGCGCCGTCTCTAACATTAGCTGGAACCCTTCCAAGGTTCCTATCGATTCGCCTCCACTCGAACCACAACCACCATTCACAATACGTAAATACATACATAAATACGTATTCGGTTTATTCGGTTCGTTGCCGATATCCCGCTTTGAACCCCAGTGTCTTAAACTATCAGCCATCATCCATCAACCTTCAACCGTCAACCCTCATCATTCCACATAATCGCATAGCCACATAGCTTGCCCTACCTCCTAGGTACCTAGGTAACTTACCTAACCTACCGGAGAAAGACATCAGACTATAATACATAATACACACTACCCATCAGATATTATTCACTCACTACTAGTGGGAGGATTTAAAATAGTTTGGCTTCCCCGTAACTAGCTGCAACTCTTTCGAATACGCAATTCGCTATTCGTTACGGCGGATACACAAACAATATCTAGTAGTGGATTCTTGAAGACTCTTTCTCTTCCTGATTCCTACGTGCGACCTTTTTTTCCATCTTATTTATTTATTACCTAGTTTTTTATTTTATTTCTACTTCTCTTAAACTTTCCTCTTTAAGATACCAAAGATACCAATACCAGTGCGAATTCAGTTTATTGGGGAAAATTGGGAAAGGTTAACTATATTTCCTTATCCTGGGCAAGCCGCAAACCGAACCGCAACGAGCGCAATCAATCAATCAATCAATCAATCCAAAATATTTGAATAGTTCGGACGACCCAACGATCTTAAAAAAAAAAATCAACAGCACCAAGCACCAAGCACCAAGCACGGCAAGCACGACCTAGGCACCAAGTACCAAGCACCAGCAAGAGGCTAGAAGCTAAACTACTCTAACCGTAGTCCCAGTTCGCCTCCCCACACTCTTGCCCTACTTTGATTATTAACTTTACTTGTCACGGGAAACTACAAATTCCCAGCATCCCGCTTCTAATTAATTTCTCCCTTTCCCACTTCTTCATTGCGAATCGCACCCGACTCGGTCATAACGCTGTTTTGCAATCCGTCATCAGTGTCGCCAACACCTGGGCGTAGCCCACCCCCCAAAGGCGACTCGAGCCGCCAACTACTTTCTCGATTCGCCGGAACTAAGCCTTCTCCTTCCATCTCCCCGCCGCTGCCCCATCGCCAAGTGACCTTTTACCTATTCGAGACTTGGGGACTTGAATCGCCTGAAATCGACTTAAATCGACTTAAATCGATTGGAAAACCCTCCGCTAAAAATACAATCGCCTGCACAGAAGCACCCTCACCTTTTTAATCTTTCAGAAATGTCGAGCGCTTCGGAAAAGACGGTTTCACCCAGCGCCTCAAAGCAATCATCAATAAAATCATTCGAGCTCGCCACAAAATCTCCGAAGCTACGACCGCAGAATGGTCAACCTATTAACGATGTCCTCCATCCCGAAGGTCAGCCGAGGCAACCCGAGAAGGCTTCCATCAAGGATAGGTTAACCCGCATGTTCTCCAATAAAGACGACCTTCCCAGATCCGGCCTTGTTGATGCCTCACAACCCTCCAAGCGCGCTGTCCCAAGCCCCTCTCCCAGCCAAACTGGTGTCGCATCACCAGCAAAGCCAGGCTCCATAGCACGCAAACCATCTTCCGCCGACCCAGCTGCCACCACAAAGTCCGTGCAGCATCAACGCTTTGTCATGAATCCAGATGTCGCTGGCGGCCATGAACATCACCTTAAGGGTAGCAAGCGACAAGAGAAATTGTCCGACATGTGGAAGACTCTCCTCGGAAGGAAACAAGATCAACAGCCCGAAGCCGATTTATCTTTGGTCTCAAGCTGGGTCGATACTCTGAAGCAAGAGAAGGAGTCGCTAGCCGGCGACAAGAGAGGAGGACCCAACCAGAGCTCCACTCTAGTTGAGAAGTATGGTAAATGCCAAGAGGTTGTAGGCCGTGGCGCTTTCGGTATCGTGAGGATATCGCATAAGAAGATGGAGACCGGAGAGAAGCTTTTCGCCGTCAAGGAATTCCGTCGCCGACCCGAGGAGACCGAGAAGAAGTATAGCAAGCGCCTGACAGCTGAATTTTGCATTTCTTCTTCTCTACGTCATCCGAATATCATCCACACCCTAGACCTGCTGAAGGACCAAAAAGGCGACTACTGCGAGGTCATGGAGTATTGCTCCGGCGGCGACCTCTACACTCTTGTCCTAGCTGCCGGAAAACTAGAAGTCATGGAGGCCGATTGCTACTTCAAACAGATGATGCGCGGCGTCGAGTATTTGCACGAGATGGGTGTAGCGCACCGCGATCTGAAGCCCGAGAATTTACTCCTGACGAGTCATGGCGCCTTGAAGATCACCGACTTCGGCAACGGCGAATGCTTCAGAATGGCGTGGGAAAATGATGCCCACATGGTTTCAGGTCTTTGCGGCTCGGCCCCTTATATCGCCCCCGAGGAATACATCGACAAGGAGTTTGATGCCCGTGCTGTCGACGTCTGGGCTTGTGGTGTTATCTATATGGCGATGCGAACCGGAAGGCATCTTTGGCGTGTCGCCAAGAAGGACGAAGACGAGTTTTACGAGCGGTACCTTGAAGGGCGCCGCGACGAAGAAGGTTATGGCCCCATCGAGTCGTTACACCGTGTAAGTTCTCTCCAATCGTCCTAGGACCTAATGTCCTTGCATGATACTAACGAATGACATGTAGGCTCGGTGTAGGAATGTCATCTACTCCATCCTAGACCCCAATCCTACGCGACGTATCACAGCATCGCAAGTCCTCAAGTCAGAATGGGGCCGCGAAATTAAACTCTGCAAGGCTGGCGAGGAAGGTGTCTAAGCGATGCCGCTTTTTCCGAACGAGCACCTCCTCTTTGAGCAAGGGACGAGGACGTTTTAATGGTCAGGTCTGATCTAGGAATGTTGTGTATCTTCGTCCCTTTGGTGTCCTCATCCCTCATAGGAGATGGCGACCCTGACGTGCTTTTGCTGCCTTGCCGAGGAATGAATCCTTCATAAGCCTATCAAACCCCGCAAGCACGAGTTCTCAAACCCTCTTCATGAATTCAACATCCTTTCATTCTGCATGGAGTTCTGGTGAAATCACGGTTTCTCGCATCATCATTTCATTCTCGAGTTCGTATTCCTCATTACACATTTTAGTCTCGGAACTTTCGGATCGTGGTACCAGGATTCCACGCGCAGCGCATCAAAACAGGATTGGTGAAATAGATGCGCCACGCGCTCTGCGAGTGAGCGTCACGTAGGGGACAGCTCTTGTATTCAAGTCATTCATCGGAATAGACGCATAACTCGCATTTCTCCCGGGCAGCTGCAGAGAAAGGAAAAGGAACTGGGCGGCTGGGGGGTCATCTTTTGTTCTCGGTTCGGTTCAGTTGTTCGGCGGCGTGTCTTAAGGGCGGACGTCACATAGCCAAGATCTGGTTTGTTCATTCAAGGGGGCCTTCTGATTCGGAGCACTCTAGATAGGTGGTAGGCGGTATAGTTGAAGTTTAGAAGCTCGTCTTCGCGTCTTGTATCTTGACATTCTTCCAGGTGTGGGCGGCAAATAAGGAAACGTCCAGGGCTTCATGGGGACAAATCAATAATACCTTTGGAATATCAGTATATACCAGGCCCCCTTTTCTCGGCATGTTATAACTAGGGCGATGATAGGTTGGGGGATTCCCTGTTGCGAGCGCACGTATAGACTCACAACCCTCCCGCCGCCTAGGTAGTAAACAAGTTGGGTATGGACAAACATGAGGTTGTCCAAGCAGATCTGTCTAAATGGAAGTCGATCCAAGAGGTCAAGAAGCGTAAATAGTCGTGCGTATCGACTCTAAGTACATACAACAGACAGCTTAGATTACACGAAATACGAAGGACACGACGTGTCTATGAAAGTAATGTCCAGTTCATGATTAAGAGGTGTCTCGTTCGTGATTAGACTCAATAAACTCCCGGCCGTCAACATCAATCCCACGTACACACAAGTACACATAACGAGTACTCACATCTGCCAATAGCCTAGTCATGACTGAAGGCTAACCTGGAGAGAGAACATCCATACACTCTAACACGCCCAACTAAGCCCCGTGACCAGCAAAACAGACCGTGTTGTCGCTACGGTCTCCTCCCCTATCCTCCTATCCTGGGACGACGTTACCGAGAGTGAAACCTTTCTAAGTTACTATATTATCTCTGGGCTAGCATAACCACCTCATGTCAGGCATGGATGACTAGAGCAATCTCAATAAACACCTACCAATTATCCCGCATAAAGACTATCACAAATCTACGATCGTGGTAGTCGATCATACCGATGTCAAACAAAGTAATGCCAACCTCCCTGTCTAAAACGCCCGCCAAAACCCCATTTTTCGAGTACCGAGTAATCTGGTATATATACGGCATTATTCCTATAGACTACCACGTACGACCATAGGAGCTAGAGAACTCGGGATCCCGTCCGCTCTCCCATAGATAAGCTGGCTACCGCCGGATTAGTAGTTGGGTCGGTGACGACCAGCGAATCCCCGGTGTTGTACGTGATATTCACTTTTTACCGTTTCCATTTCTTTTTTACTATCCAATCCATCTTTCTAAATTTTTTACTGCATGCCGTACCCACTCTACTCTGCTCCAGCCTCTGAGAGGCAAGAAAAAAGTTTTCATAATTAAAAAAACAAAAAAACTTTTACACGCTAAGGGGGTTAGTCACCTGTTAGACAGGCAAAAGTGAAGGTCCGCCTGGGGGTCGAACCCAGAATCTCCTGATTGACTCTTCGATCGAAGTCGTAGTCAGACGCCTTACCATTGGGCCAACGGACCTTGGTAAATCCCAGAATTTCCGGGGTCTTGGTTGAATTTTGGGCTTGTTCTTGGTGTATATGAATCCTTGGTTTCGGGAGAAAATATAGTCTTCTAGTTACTAAGTAGATAAGTACTAGTTAAGGTAGGTCCATCAAACAAGTGATATTGGGTAATTACGCAGTAGTGGAAACTTTAGGTACAAACCTCTTATACAACTCTCACCTCGCGCATGTGGTATCCATTAAGTAGGTAGAAGTAAAGTGATTCGCAAGGTAGGGGATAACTAACTACCTACCTAGACACCCAGACCGAGACCACATAAAGCTGTCTCGCTACTCCTTTGTATGTCCTACCGAGACCTACCTTACCATCCTCGTATATCACCCATAACTACCTGACCCATTGGTTGAGAGGCACAGCAACATGAATCACATAAAGCACGAGAAGAATATAGAAGAGTGTAGATTCAAAATCTATTCATCACAGGGCCCACGAGTCGGGAAAGAGCCATATTATGTATTTACCGGAACCCACTACCGTGAGAGTCCCGGCTCGTTCCTGACACGAACCGGCCTCTACGCAACAAAGCCCAATCCTTCCCTTTCCCTTCCATGAGCCACGATGCTCCCGCAGGTAGTAGAATAAATACAACGCCTCCCCCTTCCGTCCCTCCGCTCGGCATGCCTCTTATGTGGTCGTGGCTGCCTTGGGAATTTCCCGCCCTGCCTTCAAACAGATGTACCACACCGTCATACTTCGTCTCTTTAAGACCGCCTCCCCTCCGCCGTCAAGAAAAAACATGTTTTTGAGGCTCCTCCACCTCCGAAAAGAGACGAAAGATGACAACCCACCCCGAAAAACGACAAAAAGGAAACATCCCCTGATCATCTTTTCTTCCATCAACATCGGTACCGGGTATCAAGGCCCCCCAAGAGACAGAGCATCCCGACACGGCCACTCCAGAAAACACCCGTCGCTAACAGCGTTCGAGATATCCGCCGCGGCTACTCGTGTCGAAATGCCGTCACCTCGTAGCGACATGGTCAGTTTTTAAGACATTATATCCCCCGATCCGTGCCCGACCTTATGCCCCACGAATAGAATGCCCATGTCAGAAGAACAGGACCATATTTGTGACATCATTGAGGGAGCATGGACCGTCGCGTTACGATTAGATGTGGCCCGTTAGCAAAAAAGATACATCGCCTCCCAAAAAACATAAAATTCCTTATCGGGGCATGTACACGCGAACAGGCCGTTATGTGGTTCGTACCGTGGCGTAAAGTCATCAAGTTGCAAGAAATGTCAATTCGATCCGCCGCGGTAAGATTCGTCGCACAAGGTTCACGAGTGGAACAAATCCCAGGCTCTCTCACATAACCTCAAAAATTCTTCACGCTTCTGTCGTTGCGTTTCGGGGCTGTCTCGTCCCGCTCCGAACGGACCTCTTCGAGTAGCCGCAGGTCCATGGCCTAATGGAGGGCTACTGCCTTCCTCGTACTCGGCACGAGTTCTTCGCTTGCTCGTGCCTCGGTTGGGATCCAAGGGGTGCATTCCGTTACGGGGCGACGGAGGAGTAGGGGGTTGGTGGCCAGTGTAGTGAACGAGTTTGGGTAATAACTCCGGTCGTCCACCGGCTAACTCATGCTGCACTTCCTCAGCCGACTTATACTCTCGGCCCCGACCTGACATGGGTGGTTGCGAAGGAGCTGGTGGTGGATGACCAGGCGATGCTAACGGTCCATGACTCGAGCCGGGATACAGAATTTGGCGGCTCGATTCCGCATGTGAGGGAAGCCCTTGCCCACCGAATACATCAGATATGGGAGGTAGGCGGTTAGCTGTTTGGTTTGCCGGGATATGGTGGATGTGAGATGTGCTGGAGAGATTTGAGGGCTGGTTAGCAAGATGTCGGGTCAAAGGCTGAGGGTTGTGGCGGCCTGTAAATGTTTGGCCTAATGGTGCGGACTGGATGACTCGCTCATTGGCAAACTGCTCGTGGGAGGGTGCAACAATGCTCAACCCCGGTGGAGCCTTATTTCTTCGAGACATTCCTGGAGTCTTCGCCGCGAATTGACTAACGGGATCCTTATCCTTCAGGCTATCAGGACCGTCACCTTTGGCGGATTGTTGTTGTAATCGAGCCTCGATAATACGGCGTTGTTGTTCCCTAACATTCATGCTCTGCTGTAGATGTTCCTTCATCACAGGATCTTGGGTGACAAATCCGGGGGATAGACACGCTATGCCGACCTCCTGGATACCAAGACCTTCTCTTCCTAATGCCGGACGTGCTGTCGCAGCGCCTGACCCAGTAAGGGTGTTCTTGGATAAATCCAGCTTCCGGGGGCGATGGCGAGTCGACGGTATGTCTGGGGATCCTGGCTCCTTCTTCACGATAATCTTTGGTGCCGAACCTCCCGAAACATTTCGCGAACTATAACGCAGAGTAAGTAATTAGTTACCAGATTGATCCGATGATAAGATCACATAAAAGAAATGTTCTTTTAATTGGTCCAATTTTTTGCCTTCTGGATTGAAGGATCGGTCGAGACCTAGAAGAAAATAAGACAAAAAGAAAAAGGAACCTTACGCGCTTGGTGGTGAGGACTTTGCCGCGGTCTGGGCAGCCGATCTGGTGGGACTTCGGCTGGCTGGACGTTGCGTCGTAGAGATAGAAGCGTTGGTGTTCGGGGTGCCCGAAACCGCAGCTAAAGTGCGTGGGACGGAAGGTGATGAGGCCGGCGCAGCGGCAGTTCCAGTAGTAGTTGAGGAACTGTTACCCGCAGGAGCCAACTCAGCATAAGCCGGTCTATCGTGGGGAGCCGGGGAAGGGGCCATAGCGATCACCGCGCTCATGATGGAGGTAAAAAAAGCTCAAGCTTTTTTTCTTTCTTACTTAATATGGTAATTCCAGGTACGGTGGATGTTAGCTTGGAATTGAGTTTTTTTTTCTTGTTATTCCTTGGTTTCTTGTTGCTGATCCTCTCTTATTTTTATTCCCGGCTGAAATGGCTGATGCGCCACACGGGAGTTGGCAGCAAGAAAAGGAAAAATGAGCGCAAAGTCTTGAAGCGTTGCAGCGATGGGACTGACAAGACGCTCCAGACGTCAGCGAAATTGATTGACGAAAA